ATGCTTTGATTGGTCAAAATGACCTTGCGAGGTACGTATCGGTTCGTACCGAGGCAGACATTGGCTACCTAGCAGCGCGGACGTACTCCTGCTGGCCGACACATGCCGTGAGTCGTCTAGACCCCGTATTTGCTCATCTGATGAAGGGATTAAAGTACGGGGGACAGGGGATTGTGGGGAGCAAGGGGTGAAGAGAATTTTTGGCCTTTCCATCACGGGACCAATATTCTGACGCGCTGACCAGGAAATCACAGTCAGAGTTTTTCAGCTCTTCTTCATCCAGTCATCAGATCCGGCTCAGCAGCCGAGCTCGCTTGCCTTGTTCCCTGCTTTCTGGTACTGCCAGTAGTACATAGTGTGATGACGATGATGATGATGAGGGTTCGTCCACAGTTCACCGCGCATGGCACTGATGTGGCTTGTCGTTAGCTGCATCCGGAGGGGAGGCTCCCTTCGGTACTAACATGCAGTCGGCGCGCGGACCCCATACGAGGCCATCGCGACGGCGGCCAAATCAAGCCCGAGATCGACTTCTCTGCTTGGACGAGCTCTCTGACCTGTGCGATTCATTGATTACCAGCAGCTCACAATCTTGGCTCTCCCGCTAAGCATCGTGGCAGCCCACATTCCGCCCAAGAGCAACCACCGCGCTTCTCCCCGAAAAGCAAACAGCCTCAAGACCACGCCCCCTGGCGCCATCTGATTATTAACTTTGCAGTCATATCCAACTGTAACTCTCGTATGTTTTCACCCCCGTCTCGCCATCGGACTGTACTCGCAGTATCCGCCAAAGCCGCTACGTGGACGAGTACGAGTACCTGTGCACTATTAACGAGGCGCCGAGCTCCGGCAGCTCTCGCGGAGTGCCCTCGGTCGTATATACGTACTATTTACGACATACTCCGTCTACCAACGCATAACAAAGGGGAGTCCCACTCAGACGCCCCGGGTCCCCATCCCCATGGGTAGAAGGAAGAAAGAGAAAAAAAAAAAAAGCAAGTGGCGGAGAGCAGGTAAGCGTGAGCAGAGAGAATGGCAGAGAGGGATTCTGAATGGCCGAGAGGCCCCGAGGATGGTGGGCGTACCCTCCCTGTCACGATATTTGTCTTCCAATGTCGTTTGGGACATGGCAGATGCTCTGGAAAGAGCAGCGCGAGAAGGATCGCGATAGTTATCGATAGACGGGGAGCAGATGGTGGATCTTCGTGCCTTGATCGGGGTGGCGACCCGATGCTGCATCTCCAGATGGTGGTGTCCCTGAAATTACCACCCATCTTACCACCAACTGCTGTTGCGCCACGGCCTCGCCCTCCACACTGCGAGCAATCCCAGCCGTTTGCCGTTGCAGGGCTAGTTGCTAGTTGCTGGCAGAAGGACGGCGAGAGCCAGTGCTTTGTTGGCTCGGGACCGAGCGTACGTGACTCCCAATCTCCCAGTCCTGCATTGTGCATGAGCCACAGTAACCAGTAACGTATGAGAGGGCGTCCCGTCACCGCAAATATATTGCCGGGGGAGACGCAAGCATGGGTTCCTTTGGTTGACCTGCCACACCTGCGCGTCTGGACACCAAATCGAGGATGCAAAGGAATCCTCTTCCCCCCTCTGCTCTTTGGCAGGCTGAAGCTGGTCTTGAGTGCAAGACTTTGCCCAACGGTATGAGCAAAGACGGCTCTTACGAGTACTTGTCCAGAGAACTTCAGCACAGTCTGCTGTATATCTACCTCTGCATGTTACCTTGCAACCATGGCTAAGCAGCTTGAGACCAGTGTTTTTCCGTCGCATAAGCTGTTCCATCCGTGTTTACCTCGCGTACATGGAATACCACCTAACCACCAACCCACCACTCAAGTAAGCCCGTACCTGGTAAAACGGCGGTCTCCCCCATAAGCGTAGGGATGGGACAAATAATTGCGATGAGATTGCCTCGCGCATGTGCTTGTAGTAACATCGAACAAGTTGGCACCTTGGCCACAAGCGATACACACGTTACGGAGAGAAAAAAACGAACCAAACATCATCCACAATGTATGTAGCAATTGCAGGCACACGGGCCAGGATGAGGGTTACACTCTTTCATCTGTCCAACGTGCTTCGGCGAAATTCATTCTTTTCGTTGCTCCATGCTTCTTACATGTACATGATGCAGGGAGAGGGAGCAGACGAAAAATAACGTAATGTACACTCCCCCCCCCCCCTCCTCGTCCGCCTTCTCCAAGTCCATCCCTTGCCCCAATGCTACGTGCGGTTGACAAGAAGTAACTAAACTGAGGAGCTGGGTCCGAAGCTGGTCTTTTGGGGGTCTGCAGGCTGGGGTTTCATTGTTTCTGGAGACCTTGCTGCCTCTACTCGGTTTGGTGTGGCTCGTTTTGGGGAGTTTGGGCGTGTTGTGTGTGCCAATGAGATGCGAGAGCCGCGTTTTCTACACTTGGTAGGTTTTATATTGCATTGAAGGGACTCTGTGACGGGAAATGATGGATTGCTCCAATGGCAGAGTGAGGTGACTCTAATGGATGGACCCTGGTGCCGATCCTTCATCTGGAGATTTTGACCAGTCGGGTTGGAGAACTGGGAGGGCGGTTTTGAAGGAGGTGTGTCAAGTTTCTTTGGTGAGGTGGTATTTGAGCTGTTTGAGTGAGGCCGAGAAACTTGAAAGACGAATAATCAATACGTGTGTCCTGGGGACCCAGGATATGAAATCTCACTCGACGTTTTGGGGAGGGCGATTACTACATCTGTCTCTTCCTCGGGGAGGGGGTTAACCTTGGGGGCGGAAAAGCAAGATTATCGAATATATGAAAGCAGTGATTGGTGAATATGTGAGATGGGGTTCTGTGAGGCATCCCTCCTCTATACGTACGTACGTGGGGGGGAGGAATCAATCCGATTTCAATCTGTACATGTACGTTGAACTATTACCATTCCTATTTGCATGCATACGGTCAAATCAAGGGATGCAGAGTATGGCCTATCTATTTGCATGGGGGGAGGATTCTGCGTGCGTGTGACACCACACCCTCCCGTTCCGTTGCGGCGTTGCGGAACGCGCGGAAGGCTATCTCTGTGGGAGAAGACATATACGGAATACCGGAAGGGATCTAGATAGAGTATGCTGCTTAATTGGGAGTTTTCGGCGGGATTTGGATACTACTGAGGGGTTTGAGAAGGATTTATAAGTCTGGCCGTTTTCATGTGAATATGTCAAGATGGTTATGAGTGATCATCGGATTGTCGACTTGGAGTGTGTAAGTCGCGTCATTTTGTAAGAGGGCGGAGTTTTTGGTTCCTTAGGCTGAGAGGTTTGTGTAGAACAGGCTGTTGGACGGCAAAGATGGTACGAGTTGGCTCGGGATAGATGGTATGTGAATATAGCCAAAAACGTATACATCTGCATGTAAAATAGGATATATAGGGTAGCGTGTCTACGTGCTTTCTAAACCCGTCACAAAATATCCATAGATGTAGGCAATGAGGTCCGGCTTTAGGCTGTTCAGTTCAACATGCCGGTTAACAACAAAGCGCATGTGTACATGTAGTCTCGGGTAACGGAGACGAGAAAATGCGAGATACAGGTATTGACTATTCTAGCTTTATTTCGACTACAGTGTTGTCCCCCTTTGTTTTCTTCTTCTCACGCCTCGTAGTCGGTAGTTGTAAATAGTGCGAGGCTGGTCGTCGACGGTTCGAGCACTATCCGGCCTACCCTGGATAGCATCCGAATTCATGACTCTGTTGGCGTTTTGGCGAGTAATTTGTTTGTGGGCACTAATTTAGAAAACCTGTCTAATTTTGTCATTTTAGAAACACTTGCCCAGTATTGATGGAAACACACTCACCGTTGTCAGTGTTACCAGCATAATACAACCCACAAGCTTAAGCCGAGCAACAATGTGCGTCACCATGTGTTAGCTTGATGGAGACTGGTGAAGTCAGGTAAGGACCGGCACTCGCTCCGGCTTGGAAAATCAGATAGTATCTGGGCCCCGTAGGGAGATTATGCCGAGGATACACATAGACGTGTAATTTAAAACGAGGTGCCGGTGCTCCACTAGATAAACACGATGAATCCCTAGATGGTACGGTACCACAAAGACTTTCACGGCTTCAACACATGCAGGGAGTACGGATCCGAGCGGGCATTGCCGGGAGACGATATGTGGGCACGGCAAACTCGTGGGGTCTTCAGGTATCAACCAAGGTTGAGAAAAGCTTGAGCCCTCGACAAACGGGAAACTTGCCGATAGCCGGCAGCTGAACCTCGCAAACCGCAATCTCTAACAAATCAGCTTCCGACGCGTACGAATTGCAGCGTATGCTCGTAATAGCCAACAGCTTTTGGAGCCAGCTTGTCTGAACATATGCATGAGATGACCTATCAAACTTGCCAACATGGCCGGAAATACGCGTATGCTGACTCGAAAAGGTCACCGTCCGCACAAAAAACGCGTATATGTACTCGGTAGATTGATGCTATTTTGCTGCTACTGTACGAGTAGTAGTTTGACGGGCTGCGTGTTCGTACAGTGGAAGCGCATGCAAGTGCGTGTTCAGAGGATGAAGAGCGAGAAAATACTGCGATTGAAGTGGACCGGATCGAAGATTGTTGCCTTATTGCTATGAAGTGGCCGCGTTTTTGGCTCGTTGTCTTGCGGTTGCGGTTGCGGTCAAGGCAGAGGTTGGTTCATCGTACTCGCTTTTGAAGTGACACTTGGAAGATGAGGAGGAACGCAGCAGGAATTGTGAGACATCAATGGATGAAACCCCGCTTCCTTCGAATCATGGTGCAATTGGAGCTGAGTGGCGTCCGAAATCAGGGGCATCAGGATTCGTGTTTGAGTAGATGCTGTGTCTAGTTGTGTGTTTGTTGTGAATCGATCAGTATATTAAGAGGAGAAGAGAGTATAACTGTGGGCACACTGCTCTCCCACAATCTCTACGACTGAGCGCGCGTTGACGCATTTCTGCTATTGTTTGATTTGTTTTCAGCTTTGATATTTGCAAACATGTTTCGGCGAGCAGTGGTTGTCTTCGCCATCCTCGCCGCACTCGTTGGTGTCTTTGTTGCCGGACAGACTGCTCAAGAAGACCAAGCGTTTGTCAGTGGCCGCAACAACACGGTTCTTATCCTCGCCGACAGCCATCACGGGCTGTGTAACGCACATCTGGCCACAGTCTCGGCACTGGTAGAGAACCATCCGTTGGGTGAGGTGCACTATGCTTCCTTCTCCGGCATGGCATCGGACATTGAGCGCATCTCGAAGAATGCCAGAGCATTCAATCCAGATGCAAAGACACACTGGCACCAATTCGACGGCCCGAGCATCGTGGACGAGATCAAGGCGGCGGGCGGCTTGCTGGAGATTGTGACACCGCCGGGACTGCCTGGGCTGAAGGCGTTTGCAAAGATGATCCCATTCTTCATGACGGCATGGTCAGACGAGGCACATCTGAGCCTGTATCAACAGACTGTGGATATTATCCAAAAGGTTGATCCTGTTGTCGTGATCCTCGATTCGTTGCTCCGACCAAGTATCGATGCTACTGTGAATCTCAATCGCACGCGCGCTTACATCACTCCGAATGCGTTGGCAGACCTCTTGAGCCCCGTACAGCCCCGAGGAGCGCACTTTCGGAGATATCCTGGGTGAGTGTATTCGTACCGGTAACTAGAGATTGTATGAGGGAAACAGCTGATTTTGGGACCAGGATTGCTTCGGGTCTTCCTTTCCCTGTCCCCTGGAAAGACATCCCGTCCAACATGTATCAGCAACTGTACTTCATCATCAACTACCTCATGTCTTCAACCATAAAGAACAAGCGCTCCTCGCTCCAGGCGTAGGGAATCCCGAAAGCTGTCAACCTCTTTCAAATGTATCAAAAGGATATTCCGTGGATCGCCATGAGCTACCCCGAAGCGGGCTACCCCCTCGAGTATATCCCGGATAACTTTCACATAGTTGGTCCTCTAGTGCTCGATGCGGCGCCAGCTGAGACGCAGAGCGCTGAGCTGACGGGCTGGATCAAGCAGGCGCCGACGATCCTCGTGAACCTGGGCAGCGCGTTCCGATATGAGGAGCCGAGGGCTGTCGTCATGGCTGAAGCGATTGCCGCCGTGCTGGATGCCACGGATGTGTGAATCTCGTGGAAACTACGTAGGGAGAGTAAGTATGGCGATGGCTTCTTGGGGGGGGGGGGGGGGCGAAGAAGTATGTTGATGAGGGCCGGCTGCGGCTGGAGACGTGGCTGGATGTTGATCCGACGTCTTTGTACAACACTGGGGATATCGCGGTGTCGGTGCATCACGGAGGAGCCAACTGCTTCTATGAGACGGTTCTGTGAGTTGCTTCATTGTTTGATGTTTGATGCTTCCATCCCTTGTGCTTTCATTGTCCATTTCACCGTTGACTTCCTCCCCCCTAGCCCTACTATCAAACTTCTCAAATGTTGCCTAGCAAACAATTGTCAATTTCCACTAACACGGATCCAACACCGGACAGAGCCGGAATCCCGAGCGTCGTGCTCCCGCTATGGGCGGACCGTTACAATTACGCACAAACGGCAGAATATTTTGGCGTCGGCATTTGGCCCAACAAGAAGACGGCGCCGGGCTGGGAGGCTGCGGCCTTGACCGAGACCTTCCTGGAGGCGTTGAGCGGCAACACGAGCGTGACGATGCGTCAGAATGCCAAGGCTATTGCATTCAAGGGACACGAATATGGGGGCCGAAAACTGGCAGCTCAACTGGTTGCTGAGTTGGCGGCAGGTGGAAAATGAGGAGTGACCGGACGATACGCTTTCATACAATGCAGATATTGTTTGCTCTTTGGCAGGGTGGACAAGGATTTACACCCACATGTGCCTTGGCTTATGTAGTTGCTCATATGTTACAGACGTTAGCAGGGCGCTTGGGAGGACCACCTGATAGCCCCCGGACTTTGGGATTTGCTCTTTGATTGATCGCTTCCCAGAGATCTGGTGCCCCAGCTTTCTCCACACTTTGGGGTGCGGAGGTTAGTTTAGGGTCAGGCGAGATCATGAGATTGAGTGTGCGGGCTTTAGCCTTTTGTGGCGGCGTTGATGTTTGGGATCTGCTGATGATGGCGAATTGTGTCGAGGGGAATGGAACAAGGTTAATAGAATGTTAAAAAATCCCTTTTCGCATTCTTCAGCTGGATGAGCTGAGTTGTCAGACATATGCTGCGTAACAGTGAGTGTGAAACATTATTGCAGAGCGCCATTCAGCTACGGCTGAGCGTGGTGGCGTCCTTGGCTTTGATGAGATGTTGGGTACACGTGTTTATTCGGTAGTCTAGACTGTGCCGCTATTTGTTATTTACGGCACTGTTTGATATTTTATGTCTCCTTCGAGTTGTTGATAGATGGCTATTACGCTGCTTTGAGATTCTGAATGTTAGAGTCAAGTACATGTAAATGATGTTGATCTAACCAGGTCGCGTGAAGTAACCAATGTTTGATCATAGTTCTGTATGACCTGGTAGAATTACAATTGTCAAAGAGCCATGCAGACAGAGAGGAGCCTCAACCCATTGCTCATGCAGGGTCCATCAGCGTCATCAAGCGTTGAAGCCAAGATTGAGCGGGCGGAGCTGCATCAGTTGCAGGGTTTGTATGGGGAACGGAGCACAGTGAAGAAGATACGGTGACACCAGCATGTGCTATAGATGCTCTAATTGCCAATCTACGTTGGTTTTGCGTCCAATTTGTTCGAGGCAAACGCGGCATTTGACTGGACTTGGGGGCCTTTTGGATACAGAACTCAAAACAACGACACTGTTCAAGCCATAGACTTGATGCTGGTGATACGAGTAGGATGATGTCTCTTGATATCAAAACCTTGGCACGAGTTCTAGTTGTCAGAGACTTGTTCAGTCCCTGCAAGAATTGATGCCGATCTTGGTGTTGCGGCAGGTCTTGCATGTTCCTGGATAGCGTTACATTCGACTGCGACTCTCCAACAACTAAAGTTTGCGAGACAACGGGCCGCCGTGTGTCTCTGTCTCACTGGAGGCCACGAGCGAGTTCTGATTCGATTCCACTGCGTGATGCTTGGCAGTGTTAGCGTGCGCAACTATACGGAACTATGCAGAGCGATGGACACGAGCTTAATTATTGTACTAGAACTATGAGGACTGTGCGGGGGTGAGATTTCTTTGAATTTGAAGCACAGACCGCAACTCCACGGGGTTATCTACAGACAGGCATTACATGTACCCATGAACCCTGCGTGGCTGTGGCCTCGGGGACTTTGGCTGTAAAGAGAGATGAGTCCATATCGTACAAGTATGTCTGTGGAAAAGGCGCGGATGAGAGATGACGCAACTAGCACTTGAGAACATACCTAGCTTCTAGGTAAAGCTCTCACGGATAGATGCGGTTGAGCAAGATACCATCTCTTCTGGCGTGTTTGCAAAGCACAGACAGGTGCATATTCTCCTCCCTAGTGCGTGATTCCATTTGTTGCGATATTCCGTAGCACCCAGGAGTTGCATCGACGCATGTTCCGTATGCACGAATCCTCTTTGGGGGCCGGTGGGAGCGCGCGTCTTACTTGGATGGTGCAGTTGAAGCTTTGAGCATGACCACCCCCTTCAAGCTGCAGCAACATCACGAGCAAGTTGTGGTTCAGTCTTGGTTGGGACGGCGGCGATGGTGTCATGGCCCATGCAAGTCTCGGTAGGGGTCCGCTTGTGTTGGTACATGTAGCTTACATCTCTTCCCTAGGTAGTAGAATGGATCGATGTTTTGTCTTGTCGGGCGTTGTGCGTCTCGGTTGAGCCATCTGGAGATAAGAGGGGATTGTTAAGACCTTTGATACACGTAGCCATGCGGATTTGACGAAAGACTCATCGATTCGGTGGATGTGGTTTAACTTGAAAATCAAGATTCAACATCTGCATTCTCGTAAGCACCAACAAGCACTCAATTGAGCTATGCTTTACAGTCTCAAGTCCTCGACTCTCCAAGATACTCTGTACAGTGCGCATCTCGTCATCACATGGGCAGCATCTCCAACGCCAACTTGCGTGGCGCCAAGCATCAATCCTGCTAGTGCTCGCCTCCACTAAACTGGGCTTGGATGCCTTCATCTTGTCAACTGATCAGTGGTCCTTTCAGCCTTTCAGCGGCCAAGACGGCGGAGAAGGACCCCTTGTAAGCCCGCCGAAGCCTCAGCTCCTAGTGTCATGTCACCGTTTAGTGATGCTCCGCCTTTTGCCCTTCCCTCTTCCTTTCTTCTTCATCTCCATCTTCTCTCTCTTGCGAGAAGGGAGTCCGTTCTTCTCTTGGATATAATCCCTCTCGTATCCTCATCAACTTGCCCAGCTCTAGAGTGTCGACAGTTCTGAGCTTGTCTGCGCGCCGGCCCCGCGTCTCTGCTGTGGGAGCTTCATCGGGGCGACTCATCCCGCATTCCAGCTCTGCGCCTTCGAGGCCGCACCGTTGCTGCCAACCTCGATTGTAAATAAACGACTCTCACCATGGCGACCGCGACGACAGCTTCGGCTGCGCCAACCTCGACCGTCCGGGTCGCGCCGCAAGGCGGTATCCTGGAGGGCGCCAATCCGTCCGTGTACGATCCGAAGAACCCTCTCACAATCTTCATTATCCAGGTCGGTACAGCCTTCCCGCTAGCTGGTCGATGTCGAGCAATGTTGACACAGGCGCATACAGGTCGGACTCATCGTCATCCTCTGCCATATTCTGCACTGGCCTCTGTCCAAGATCCGTCAGCCCCGAGTCATTGCCGAGGTCATCGGAGGAATCATCCTTGGTCCCTCTGTAATGGGCCATATCCCCGGTTTCAGAGACGCCATCTTTCCTGCTGCTTCAATCCCCAACCTCACTCTGGTCGCAAACCTGGGTCTTGTTCTCTACCTGTTCATGATTGGTCTCGAGACTGATGTCCGATTTCTGTTGAGCAACTGGCGTGTGGCCACCTCTGTCGCTTTTGCTGGATTGGCCCTGCCCTTTGGCGTTGGCTGCGGTCTCGCCTGGGGTATTTACAATGCTTTTCGTGATGACCCCGGCATCAAGCCAATTGACTTTAGCGTCTACATGTTGTTCGTCGGTATCGCGGTTGCCATCACTGTAAGTCCCTTCTTCGACTTGTCTGATTCGCTGTTTCGTGAAGCTAACATGACGACCTCTAGGCTTTCCCGGTGCTTTGCCGTATCCTGACCGAATTGAAGCTGCTCGATACCCCAGTTGGTGTTATTACTCTGTCTGCTGGTGTTGCAAACGATGTCGTCGGTGAGTACAGCTTGGCATCATGTTGGCATGTGATTCCTACTGACACGGTTTCCAGGATGGATCCTGCTGGCTCTCTGCGTTGCTCTAGTCAACGCTGGCCAGGGACTTACTGCGCTGTGGATTCTTCTCGTTGCCGTCGGCTATGTCATTCTCCTCGTTGTCATTGTCAAACCCACCTTGCGATTTGTGTTGCGGAAAACGAACAACTTGGAGAATGGCCCATCGCAAAGCGCCATTGCCCTCATCCTCCTCATCGCTCTCACCTCCGCCTTCTTCACGGGAATCATTGGAATTCATCCCATCTTTGGAGGATTTGTTGTTGGTTTGGTCATTCCACGTGAGCACGGCTTCAATATCCGCGTCATTGAAAAGATGGAAGATCTCGTCGGTTCCATTTTCCTGCCTCTTTACTTTACCCTCTCGGGTCTCAGCACCAATCTGGGCCTCCTCAACAATGGAACCGCTTGGGGCTATGTCTTTGCTACTACCTTTGTTGCCCTCATCACCAAGATCATTGGCGCGTCTCTTGCGGCTCGTCTGAATGGTCTGGTCTGGAGAGAATCATTCTCCATTGGTGTCCTGATGAGTTGCAAAGGTCTTGTGGAACTTATTGTTTTGGTAAGCTGATATGGAAAAAGTCTCCTTTACCAAGAATTACGCTGACATCTTCACTTTCTAGAATATTGGTCTTCAAGCCCAGATTCTTAGCGTCAGGACCTTTACCATCTTTGTTGTCATGGCTCTTCTCACCACCTTCTTCACAACCCCCGTCGTCTCCTTCCTTTACCCTCCTTGGTATCAGAAGAAGATTGCCGCCTGGAAGCGTGGCGAGATCGATTGGGATACTGGTGCTCTGATTACCCAAGTCAACGTCACACCTGGATCAGATGCGACCCCCGAGAGAGTTAGGCGGCTACTTGTTTACCTTAGGCTGGACAACATGCCCGCGTTACTCAACCTTCTTTCGCTGTTTGGAAACTCTCACGCCATAACCCCAACCGGATCATCCGAGGAAAGCTCAAAGAGAAATTACGAGGACGCAATGAAAGGCCCTGTCCGAGCTCATGGTCTTCGACTCCTCGAATTGACAGATCGTGACTCTTCCGTCATGACGGTGGCTCAGGTCGACGAATACACCAGGCACGATCCCGTTGTCAACATCTTCCGCAGCGTCAGCCAGCTTCACAACATCTCAGCCTCTGGAGAGGTTGCCATTATGCCAGAGGATCGCTTTGCAGAGGCTCTGATTTCCCGCTCATCCAACATGTCGTCAGATCTCCTTCTCATGCCATGGACCGAGACGGGTAGCATGGGAGATGCGCAGATTATTGCCTCTGCAAATGTCGAGGACAGGCTCGCATCTACCTATCTGTCGTTTGTCAGGTCGGTTCTCCGCTCCATTGACCACAATGTTGGCATCTTCTTCACTCGAAGCCGAGACGACGTCAAGAACAAAGGCCAAGAACAGGCTAATGCTCGCCGACAATACTCGTATGACGTCGCGAAACACGAGTTCCCGACTGCCCCCCTTGTTGCCCGCACTCAAAACATCTTTTTCGTCTACTTTGGTGGACGCGATGACAATTTCGCTCTTCAACTGGTTATACAACTGCTCGAGCGCGAGCGTGTAACTGCAACCATCATCAACGTTTCTGAGCTTTCTGAGAAGTCCGCATCGGCAAGCGACAACATTCTTGATGCTGTCATGGGCAAGCTTCCCCGTGATACAGCTTCCCGGATCAAGGTTGAGAAGTTTTCTGTTGCTCCCACGATTGAAGAGCTGCTCAGCCATGCCGACGCAGCTCCTGGCGCTACCGAGACAGATGTCTCCAATCCAACCTTGGTTGTATTGAGCCGCAGTGGTGGAGTCAAGTTGGATGAAGGAAAGCTTGCAAACAGGCCGAGAGAGGACGTGCAGAGCTGCTTGGGTACCCTTGCTTCCCACTTTGTTGCCAGCGGTGTGACGACAGATCTGCTGGTTGTGCAGGCCAAGTTGGGCGCTGGTTCGTCATGATGGATATGATACCTTTTCTGGACATGGTGCTTCGGAGTATTTAGTAGTCTGTACATCTGCATATATGAGCCTGCAGATTTGATGTTTATGTACTAGCTGCATCTCGAGTTATTTATTGGCAATACCATTACAGCCATGCTGTTTTTGCAGTACATACTGTTCCCCCTTGTGGCATGTAAGGCGTTGCCCATGACAGTGTTGACCGTGGAATCCCATGTTTTCTGCAACAGTTTTTGTGTGCAGGGCCTACCTCCTAGAGTAATCGGGTTCAGTGACATGACCGTATAAGGTGAGCCAGCGCCGGAGATGCACAACAGTCCATAGTAAGACAAATATTGACATCACCCTGTGCAAGTCAAAAGCCCCAAAACAGACCGGATAATGGAAAGTAAATCCGATACTAACATTTAATACTTTGTTAAATTCGTCAATCCAACTTCAGGTCTTAGCAATAGATAGTTGGCGGCAAACGGCAAGCCTGGAAAAGGGTTGACGAAACTATTGCAAGACGGGTAATGCCTGGTAGGCAACCTAACTCTGGCTCATCCTGTGGCATTGCACGGCCTCAGCGGCAACTTCCATGGAGTCCTAATTTCGATACCCTTGAGCTGATTACCTATGCAGTCAGTTGTCGTGCAAAATATAGTGGTCATGTCCACCTCGTTTACTGCTAGAGACCTAGAAGTCGGACAATGGAAAAGAGGCATCTAGGTTTGGGCAATTGTATATTTTCTCACGTTCTGTTATATACTAGACTCTACTTTTAAGAAATTCCTTCCATACGTGACCCTTTCGACATCTCATATCCAAGCTCATCGTATCGGTGAGTAAATGGTATCCAAACAAACGGATGAAGAAGATAAAAAAACAAAGGAGGGGGTATATATTTCAAAGCTCCGCTTACCATGCAACCTTTGCCACAGGTCCGTTGGGAAACAGTCGAACAAGCAGCTTGCGCAGTTCATCCAGGACAAGAATTCCCAAAGCCAGAGGAATAGGAATAAACCAATACTCAATGGGAACCGACGCCGTGAGGAACAATGTCTGAAGACCTGGGACTTCGGTGACGAAGATGGCAATGGCGAGACTGATGAGCATGCTGAGCAGCAGCCAAGGGTTACGACGCTTCTGGGTGAAGGGATCGGCCTGGAGGATGCTGAGGCGGCGGTTGCGAACAGACAGGATGTTGCCCCATTGGAGAATGACGAGGGTGACGAAGTAGACACACTGGCCGGTGTAGTTGAAGTGATTGAGCTCGTCCTGGGTGTATCCGTGGAACCCCTCGCTGTAGCCCTCGAAGAGGAAGAACAGCTGGCTGACGGGAATGCCGGCTGCCCTCCACATGTACAAGAAGAACATGGAGTGAGCGCAGAGAGTCTCGGCCGTACCGGTGAAGAGGTATGCCTGACCATAAATCTTGAAGTTGATGAGATGGTCCTTCTTGTGATTGCGAGGAGGCAGTGACAGGAGGTCAAACTCCTCCTTCTCCATGATGAGAGACAGCGACAAGAACAGATCGGTGAAGACACAAATCATAATCATGAGGAACGAGCTGAGGGGCAGAGGAACACCAAAGAAGACGTTGAGAATGACGGGCCAGATCTCAGACCAACTACCAGCGGGGAGAAGGTACGCAATGACCTTTTGCAGATTCTGGAAGACAAGACGGCCGAGACGGATGGCGTCAATGATGGAGTCGAAGCGGTCCAGCAAGACGAGATCGGCTGCCTCGATGGCAACATCGCTGCCCGAAACAATGGCAACGCCGACATCTGCAGCGCGGAGAGCAGGCGCGTCGTTGACTCCGTCGCCAGTCACGGCAACAACGTTGTTTCTCTTGCGGAACTCTTCCACAATGCGAAGTTTCTGCTCCGGCGTCGTGCGAGCAAAGACAATTTCCTGGTATTCACAGACGACGCTCCAATCCTCATCGCCGAGGCCGCCAAGGCTGTGTCCCTCGAGAAGGAGGCTGTGGCATTCTCCAGCAACGCGAGCGCTGTTCAACTTCTTGACGGCGTCGACGTCGTTGTTGGCCTTGATGGTGGCGACGGTGTCAGGATCTCGTTCGCCAGTGAAGATGCCCACGTTGCGCGCAATGGCAGCGGCGGTCAATCCGTAGTCACCAGTCACCATGAAGAATCTTGTGCCCGCGCGACGACACTCCTTGACGGTGTCCAGAGTCTCGGGGCGAGGGGGGTCCGTGATACCCAAGATACCGACAACTACAAGGTCATCAATGGCGCGGCTGGTTACCTCGTCGCTGAAGGCGTTGGTGCCCATGGCATCCTGAACAATCATGCTTTTCATGCAGAGGACAATGACACGCTCGGCGTTCTTGGACAGCTTGTCCTGGTATTCCTTGAAGGCAGTCTTTGCAGTTGCGTCAAGAGGCATGACGCATCTTGATTTGCGAGACCAGTAGGCTGTGCAGGAGGGCAGGAGGACGTCAGGAGCTCCCTTGACAAAGACTTGGAATTCGTTGAGAGCTTGGCTTTCCGAAGGGATTCTGTACATGGTGAGCATCCACTTGTTCTTGGAGTTGAAGGGGATCTGGAAGACCTTGGTAGGTTGCTCTGCTTTCCCGTTCCTGATCGGAGCATCGGCGGTGAATCTGAGGACGGCGCCATCTGTAGCATTGCCTTGGATGGTTCGGGATGCAACAGGGAGGTGAATAGTTTGCGGCGCAAACGTGGCATCGTTGCAAAGCGAAGCGGCTTGGTGAAGCTTTCCCACGCCAGCATCGACGTTGCCGCTGCCGAGATTGTGGTAGACGTCTTGAATGGCAATGGGCTCGTCGACAAAGGCAACAGAGTTGACATGCATTTGATTCTGCGTCAAGGTGCCCGTCTTATCGGAGCAAATGACGTTGACACAACCCAACGTCTCGACGGTAGAAAGGCCTTTGGGCAAGACGTTTGAGGCCTTCATGCGTCTTGCCACCATCATGAGTGTCAGGGCGACACCAACAGGCATGCCCTCGGGAATGAAGGCGACGACACAGCCCATGACATTGTTGAGCATGGCCACGACGTTCATGTAAGCAAAGTGGTCCCTACGCAGCCATCCGACCCAGGTAAGCAGGATAATCAGAGCGAGAACAACAGTCAACGCGACAATGATGTAAACGAATCGTGTAATCTCTCTTTGAATCAAAGTCGGGCGCTCCTCTGCAGAGGCAGTGGCATCCGCAATGCGACCCATGACGGAGCGAGGACCGGTCAGGACAACAACCCCAACGCCACCTCCGTTGACGACAAGAGTGCCCATAAGAGCAATGTTGCGGCTCTCGAGAAAGTTTTCATCCGTTTGGTCGACTGAAGCCTCGATTTCGTCCGATTCGCCGGTCAAGACGGCACGGTCGAAGCGAAGGTCGCCGGAATGCTCGATGATGCGCATATCCGCAGGCACCTTGTTGCCAATGTTCAAGTGGACGACATCTCCGCTCACGAGCTCAGTGGCCCGCAGCTTCATCAGCTGGCCATCGCGCAGCACCAGAGCATCCGAAGGGAGCAGGTCGGTGATGGATTTCATAGTACGCGAGGTGGACCAATCCTGGAAGGCAGAGAAGCCCGCCTGGAGGACAATGACGATGAGGACAAGAATAGCAAGGGCCAGGTTTGTTGGCGAGGGGGGGTTGCTCAGGGGACGCCAGCAGATGAAGAAGATGACGACGCCCACCCACAGAACGGAGCAGAAGCCGCCAAAGACGTAGGTGAGGATCTTTTTCCAGTAGTTTGTCTTGGGGTGAGGAAGTGTGTTCTTGCCATCTCGCTGGAGTCTCATTGCTGCAGAACTCTCCGACAGTCCAGCGTCCTGAGAGACGTTGAGTTGCTGGCAGAGCTGGCCGACTTGGAGCTCATGGAAGGTCAAGTTGGAGAAGTATTCCTCTTTCCCGTCCTTCTTGGGGGCTTTGAGATCAGCCAGCGCTTCCGAATCGACATTGCGAGACTCGGAGACGTGGATGGACAAGGTGCGGTATTCAATCTGGACGCCAGAGTAGGGCGAGGAGGGCAGGTCGCGACGGCTGGTGGCCGAGCCACGACTCAGGGACCTCTTTCGAGACAGCGGACGCGGCTGGTCACGATCGAAGGCGTTGCTGCGGCCAGCTCGGCCAGAAGGATGTGAGGCATCGTTGAAAGTGATGCGGAGGTCGACGTTGGGCTCCTTTTCGTCCGGTTCGGGGGCGAGGTTTTCGGACATTGCGAAAGAAGTAGAGAAGGGGGATATCAAAATGATTTTGATTTTCAAAGTGCTTTTCTATTTCTTTGAAAGAAATTCAAATTGAAATGAAAAGGGGCAAGAAGAACAGACGGCGGCGTATAAGCCAACAACACGACTTTGCGCAACAACGTCCTGACACAGACACAGCACGAGGAAGCCGGTCGAAGAGAAGGAGGTCAAGTAACCCAGATGAAGGTGAAAAAAAAAGCAGCGAGAACTGGAGGACAAGAGGCAGGCTTTATGCAGCAGCCTCGAGCGGTCTGGGATAATGACCCAGCTACAACAAGCTGGAAAAAAAAAGACAATTCAGGACGCTTGCAGTCAACAGCACGAGGGGATATCGGTTCCTACACCCTTTGGCCCTCGTCGCCACCAGGGCTGGGGCCGGGCTGTGATATCTCTCGCCAGCTTACAGTATAGCAAAAGGCACGTACATGGCTGCTATGCATACGGCCACCGTACGGAGGACCATTTCATCTCATGGCTTTTTCCGTATATAAACGACTGCGTCTGTCTGATGTGCCATGTTTCCCAAACGCCCCCCCCCCCCCCCCCCCCCCCGGTGGGAGGTGGACAAGGGAAAAAGGGGGGGCGTGTAGACAACAACGGAAAAAAAGTCGATAAATATTTCCCGCATATACATACATGGCAGGGAAGCAAGATATGAAGAAAGACGACTGGACCCAGCTATCCCATTATGCTATGCTGTGTCTTGTCTTTGTGTTTGTTGCCATCCAGCTTACCTGAACCAGCTAGCCAGCCGTGTAAGTGAATAAAAGCAGAGGGCGTGGAAAACAAAAAAGGAAAAAAAGGAAAGAAAAAAAACTGAAAACTATCAACCTGATCTGGGATGGCCCGAGAGAAAGGGAGGGGAATCCGTCGCTAGTCCCGTATAACAACAATCATAATACACGTATCAAAAGGAACATGAAGAAAAAAAAGGGACCCCGAAGTTGAAGCCAGCCAAAACGGAACCTATGCCTACTAATGTACTAGAGTACATCTGCCGGGTACAAGATACTTGGCCAGCGCTCACAGACACACAGTGTGACTCTCCTGCTCCCCGGCCCCGCTAAGCTGTCATTGGCCGCCCGTGCTGTGGATATGCAATTGTATGAGGGAATTTCCCCCTTGCCAGGCGGTAACCGTTGCCCCCCGCTATTGCATCACAGCGGGACATGGACTTACCGCATCAAGCATCGCTCTTGGCGCGTATCGCATCTCACCTGTACAGCAGAGTAGACGAAATGCACCTCACCTCACTACAAGGGTGCGAACCCCGCTCTATGCAATGCACGGCCCCCTCCTCGGCACTTGGCCACTCCAGCTGGGTTTTGCCATCTTGTCCTCACCCTCGCCCTCCCACCATCTGAGCTTCTCGCTTTCTTTCCGCCTCCTATAGTAACATTGCACGTTTCTCATATTACCTGCTTTTCACGATTGATTAATCAAGACGATCAAGACGTATGTGAGATGGTGCCGTAAAAGGATGCAAATATAAAATACCGCATGTCCCACATTATCCTCCTCTGCTTCTTGTTCCTCTCCTCACTTACACCGAATCGGTGCCGGTAGCATCCCGCCACTTCTCCTCTCGTGAAATCTCTTCTTTGCTCTATGATAGGCAATGCCTTCCTCCAGGAGCATCGGATATGAATGTCTCTTCTCTCCTCTTAACAAGGGCGCTGTGGCTTTCATCTCTTAACGTCTTATAGAACATATAGCCTCACGCAAATAGCGCAATACGCTCGCCAGACTTTGTTAGCAATCACAAAGCGCAACCCTATTTTCTCATATCCCTAGGTATCAAAAGTCATTCCAGAAACCACGAATGCCTTGAGCCAGCTAAACACTCGCTTCCTATACTAGTAATCTTCATGTCCAAGTGAACAGTGATCAACGCCAAGGCATCTTCCCACAACACTAAACACTCATTCTCCCCAAATAACGCAAAAACCCAGCATCAATCTTCACCTTCCAAACCCAACCACCACCATAACACCGTAAACATCCCTTCACCTTACAAAATCATGTCCATCGATGCCTTCACCGCCCACCTATACCCAAACATACCCCGATCCACACAAGAACAAAAAAAAACCCCTCTCACGACCAAGACAACACACACAGCCCTACCACATGCACTCCATAAACAATCCAAAATAAAAGAAAAAGAACTCTCCATCCGATCCACACACCCAAATTCTCAGTTGCATACGCACACAAAACCCTTGGCATCGTGACCCTGCACGTCATGTGGGGGGTGGGTTGGTGCACCCTGTCGGCATCTTCCGGGCCTCTTCATTGGGCCATAGGCAACCTTGAAGGTAAGGTATGTAAGTCAACATAACAGGCGCTTACACGTAAATCATTACAACGACGTGAGAGCGCAAAACACAGCATGGGACATTTTCATGTGAGAAGGGAATGAATGACTAGGTAGTATTAGATAAGTATATATTTGCCTATAGGAAAAAAGAGGGTATTTTTTTTTTTTAATATCTGAGAGTTTTGTAGCGTCCAACGATTTTGCTAAGCGTGCCAGGCATATAAGCGAGTGGTATCATCATCAACAAGACCGTATTGCAAACACCCTTCATATGCACGTGCAAGGTTCATGAGCCTAAAAAAAAACAAGGGAACCTCCTCCTCCTCCTCCTTCAACGCCATGACGTTTTTACTAGGTGCTTTTGCTCAAGGCTCAGGAGACTTGCGAGCAGCCTCGACGTCGGCAGAGATCTTGGTGACGACCTCGGACTCGAAGCCGGGGCCGTTGGAGTCCCGGTGGTTGACGGCGTAGTCGTCCTCACCGCTGAGCTCTTCGAGGGTCTTGCGGGCAGTCTCGGGGATGAACCAGGTGGTGAAGCAGCCGAGAAGCATGAAGAGGGCGTAGATCTCGAGAACGTGGTCCATCCAGGGAGCAGAGTTGTCCTTGGTGGCGCCCTTGGTTCGGAGGGTAGCAATGGCACCCTGGCCGATGATGGAGCCGATCTTGCCGGAAGCGGCCGAGATACCGTGCGAGGTAGAACGGTAACGGGTGGGGAAGACCTCGCCGGGAACGACAAAGGTGGTGGTGTTGGGACCTGATTGGCGCACTTTGCGTTAGTCTTTGATTTCTGGTATTGTTTGTATAACAAACAAAGGGGGGAAACTACTCACCAAAGTTGAAGAAGAACTGGGCCAGGACGTAGATGGCAAGGAGGCCGTTGGAAGGGATGTGGTTGTAGGCGAAACCCATGACGATGAAGAGGATGGTCAGAATGGCGAAACCACCCATCTGAATGGTCTTGCGGCCGAGGGTGTCAATGGTAGCGACGGAGACCCAGTATCCGGGGACGGCGCCGGCAAGGACAATGACAATGTTGCCGACGGCAGTGTTGTACAGGAAGTTGTAGACATCGGGGTTGCCCTTGGTGGAGTAGCCAATGACCTTGAGGATGGTGGCGTTGTTCAGGGAGAGGCCGTAGAAGGCCACGTCGAGGCAGAACCAAGAACCGGCGGTTCCGAACAGGAGGAGGAAGTTCTTGAGCTTGCCGTAGTGGTTGCAGAAGTCGCGGAAGCTGGCCTTGGGGACCTGGAGAGACTCCTGGGCAGCCTTGTTGGCGGTGACGCGGGCAATCTCGTCAGGGTGGCCCTCGCGCTTGCCAGTCATGTAAGCCTTGACATCGTCGCCGGCCTGCTCGACATCACGGGCAATGTCGAAGGTGTAACGGGGGGTTTCGGGGATGGTCAGACGGTCTGTAGTTGTATTACCCAGTTAGGAGACGATGCATTATGTCAATGGTTGTCAATGGCAACTCACAGTAGAGGGCAATGCAGGCGGGGACGGCACCGAAGCCGATCAGGGTACGCCACATCTTGTCAACAGCCAGCTGGCAGACACCAGTGCAGGTGGCAGTGGTGGCGGCAGAAGACAGTGAGCCCTTGAAGCCGAGAGTGACGAACAGCATGATGAGGGCAGCAGTGAACTGGCCGAGACCCTGCATGGCAAAGACGGCGCTCATCATGGCACCACGCCACTTGGTGGAGGCGAACCTGAATAGCAGCGAGTCGCATTAGTAAACCAATCTGGCGAAGCAGACGACGAGGTGTAGAGACACTTACTCAGATGTGATGATGGAAGATAGGGGATAATCACCACCGATACCCACGCCCATGATGACACGCCAGAAGATGATGAGACCGATAACGTCGCAGGCAGGAGAACCGCTGGTCAGGGCCTGGCCGATGGTGGCGAAGATGATGACGATGAGTTCGAGACCGTACATGCGCTTACGACCGACCAAATCGGCGGCGATACCAAATCCAACCTGTCCAATGACAGTTCCGGCAGAGGTGGCGAGCTTGATGGCACTGTCGGAGGAGGTGGGCATCTGGCCAACTCCCGGGAAGTAGACGATGCCCAGCATGACGGTCAACATGGAGGCAGTGAAGATGTCGTATGAGTCTGTGAAGAAACCAACGCCGGCAACGACAATGGCGCGGACATGGTACCAGCCAAAGGGAGCCTTGTCGATCTCGGCGAGGGCCAGACGACGACGCTCGTTGAGATCCTGGACGTGGAGGAAATCATTGTTGTAGTTGTGGTAGGCACTGTTGCCTCCGGCGGTCTTACCGAACGCCATGGTATAAAAAGGGGCTGTTGCTTTTTTGTAACAGAAGAAGAAGAAAAGGTGTAATGAGAGACAACAACACAAGCTCTATGTCAACTCTCCTCCCAAGAGAAAGAGGAGAAAAAAAGACAAGGGGGTTCTTAAACGCCTGTGGTTGAGAAGCAAAAGAGAGGGGAGGGGAGGGAGCAGGCCAAGGAATTGCCAACGACAGGCCCATGGGAGTTATATACAGACCAGGACCACAACGGCTTCCACGCTCCAAAACCCAAGGAGAATTAATTTTAAATCATGCTCAGGTACCTTGGCCCATCGTGGATCGAGTCTCTCGGAGGCTTTTCCCAGCCAAGACGACCGAAGGGTCTGAATAGTCTAGCCTATCCCCTCGGAGCGGGCCAAACCGATAATAGAAAACGCGAATGCAGCCACAGACGGAGATGGAAGGGCAGAGGATCAGGCACTACGACGCTATCTGGACGAAGCTATTGGCCACAGATGCCTGTCCGCGAGGTTTGATGGGAAAAAAGCCCAGAGCCATGCTGACCCGAGTGTGTCGTTGTGGAGGATCGGCCAATGAGGGGCCGCGATGCCACCACGTTGTCTCGATTCAACCCATCAGATACGGGGGAACGCATCTCTCCACTCCTCGCATCTGCATATGCTTGAAATTTAGATGCGTCTGCGCAGACCTGCTTCCGCAAAGTCAAAAAGGAAGCCCCAGGGGTCCTGGCTATGGCGGCAGTCGACTCGCGGCTTGGCACGTCTCTGGCTGAGGCCGTTGGAATGCCTCGAGGTCGAGCAGCTGAGCTTTCGTGCGCCTTGCCTCGAGGCTCATTCTGCTGCATCTTCCTAGTTTCGAGACCGAAACCGAGTGAGGCGGGTGGAACCGGTCGGTTGCCTGTTTAGGACACCGATGAATTCGGGGATCCGGACCCATGGCTGTTCGCCTTATCCACCTCGCCTTGAAGACTCTCCGCGCATGAGCTTGCCTGCATCGTCCCACGTGCTTGCCCCGGCGCTGCTGAATCTCCATCAAAGTCGGCCTTCGATTCAGTTTTCAAGATGGTGCTGAATCCACGCTGCCTGAAAGCCACTTCTTCTCGAGCAACTGCTGATCAGTTCCAAATTCACTCATGCACGCCACTTGCGTCTTCGCCTGCAGCCTGTAAGCCATGGCCTGCCCCCGGCTTCGTTGAGCAGCTTATTTTCAAGGTTGATTTTTTAATTTTTGAGCCTGTTTTTGGTCCTTCGTTTGCCTATTCTCTTTTTTTGCATCGCGTGAGCTCGACGAGAAAATTCGGTTCATCCCAGCATTCGCAGCTCTCAGTCGCTTCCCCCCCGCTAGCACCAGCCAGGGCCAGGATCCAAGTTTTTTCTTGTCAGCTTTTGCTATCAAAGGCTCAACATGTCACTCACAACACACACGCCAACCATGGCAGACAAGCCCCAGAACGACAACGACAACGCCAACGATGCGCTCGCCGACACGCCGGAGCTCTCCTACAGAGTGGTCACGCGAGACCAGGAGAAGCAGGACGCGCTGCACCTAGTCGCTGACAGCATCGCGCAGCAGCGCCAAACCGCCTCTGCGGCCATCATCTTCAACCCGCTCTGCATCGCGGGGCTGTTCGCCATGTGTGCTGGTGCATATCACCAATACCAGCATGCAGGCGTCGGTACCCTCATGACAATGATTTGTGGCTCCATCATCTTGTATCTGTCGTTCGTTCGGTTCTATACGTCGGGTTATATTCAGCGAGCCGAGGAATTTCGATGGAGAGACCTCATCACCGGCCCTGACGGCAAGCAAGACACCGTCATCGCAGCCGTCTACGGCGACAACATCATCGGTACCGTCGTGCTGAGGCTGGAGGGCGAGGAGATGAACAAGAAGAAGAAGGGCGCTGTGCAGCCCAGCACACTTGGTCGAGGCATCATCCGCGCCTGGACCACCAAGATGCGATACCGAGGAAAGGGAATCGGCTCGGATCTGCTGCACTACGCGGTGCAGACGACAACCCGTGCGTTTGGCCCAACCGCCAGCGTCGAATTCGATCCCAACCACCCAAACAGCAAGCACCCCATTCCCGACATGTTTCTCGGAACATTCAAGAAGCGCCAGCAAAGGGCAGAAAAGGCGCTGAGACAGGCGTTGAACCATCAAGGAAAACCGAGATGACGGTTACGTACACGGGCATCATGTAAAATAGTAGTACAATACAATACAACAATAATAGTAATGACAACCAAACATGGCATTTACATTCTGGATAACAGAGGCAATGACGAAACGTTGCGAATCGTCACACTTGTTTGTGTGCAGCCTCATGGTGACCCTGACGATTCCAGTACGGGAATTACCTGTACAATCCGCTCAGAAAAGGGCGTTAAATCCGTATAGCACGTAGCACCACCTACCAGTCCAGCAATTGGCAATTGAGCATGCGACGCTCTGTTGGGCGAAAGAGCCATATCGGCCGGGACACTTGGCGATGAAGGAATCGTTGCTTGGCAGTGGAGAAAATCGATGCCATCTGCTAGCAACACTAAGACAGCTCCATTGGCCATCCTTGAGTTGGTAAATAAAAAATTTCTCTTCTTTTCTCGTTTCGGAGTCTCCCGTTGTTCGTGTTCTAGACAAACCATTGGAATCGTCAGAGGGTCTTTCGGTGTCTCGAACCATGATACTAAAAGGACAGTCAGTGGCGAGAGTCGGTAGCCGCAACCAAGAGAGGCCAGGACTTGAGCACGTGGGAAAGGGACAGTGGCCAATATTGAATCGCCGGCTGAGACCTGTCCGGCAGAATGGCGACGGGCGCTGAGAGGGTCTTTTGGTTTGTCTCCATCTGACAACGGCAGCTCACGCACGTGGGCGACTGGATCGTGTCTCAAAAGCTGGGTTTGCTTGTACTCCACACCAACCCTCACTCGGGACGCGCGACTATCGACGGTGACCAACGAGCGCATGGACTGGTGAGATTTTTTTTCTTTTTTTCTTTTCTTCTTTTTTATTTTTGGTTCTCTTTCTTTCTTCTTCTTTGGAGGAAACGAAAAATAGCTCCGGATCCCACATCGTGCAAAGACGACTTTCGGATATTGGGAATGTGCTGGTGCTGACCTTGCGGATAGTGGACAGAAGTCAGGTGCTAATGTGCTCATCTTCTGTTAGTGCGCCAACTTCAATTCCGGTGCAAACCGCGGTGGAATCAAGTCGTTTCGTCTCTCAAGAGCCCGGTTTCACCATCGCTTTCATACGAGTACAGCCAACAGGATGCAGAAGTAGCGGAGTGAAGCAGCGCCAGACTCCAACAAGAAAGGTCTGTAGATAAGATTCACACAGTTTCACTATGTACTCGTATGCCTCGTAGCGAGCTTCTGCACCATGTAGCACTCGGTAAAGTACGTGCGGATGAGAGTTCCGCTAGAGATATCTTGGTAAAAGATCCGAAGCGGGTTCTCGTCTCACTTCCAGTAGTAATACATAAGGAGGCGTTCCCGCTCCCCTCACAGGACTACGGCCGCTTGTTCTCACGACGGCTCCCGGGCCAAGGTACTCGGCAACCAGCTACGGCGAAAATCTCGGCTCCCCAGGGCCCCCATCTCTGGTAACTTATTCATGTTGCTTATTAGTGCCCCAAGGTCTGGTTGTCTCGACTCAAAAAGAACTTTCTACTCGGTAGCAGCAATGCCGTAGCTTGCCGTTCTTGATGAGTGGGTGGTTATTAGCCTTGTTGGTGATGCGGCAATTGAATTGAGGACACCATAAAGCAGTGACGGAAAATTTTGACAGAAGTGGCGCAACAAAAAACGGCAACGTCTCCCACTAGAACATTGGCGTCCGCTGTGCCAGAATATGCCCTGAGCAGCCCATCATCTGGCGTTTCGGCCACGTTTGGCGTGAGCTGCGCTGCGTTTAGACACTGGCTGTCCATTTGTGTGTCGGCTCAACTGGTTTGGCTGTGTGGCTGCTGAGTTTTTGGAATGCCAGAATTTCAAGCCATCAATGTCATTCTACGCGAGCCTTTTGTTGTTACAGCTGGTCCAGCCGAGCCGAAGAATGGCAGAAAGGGGGGAGAGGAAAGAGGTGAGAGAGTGAGAACACCGGCCGTAGTGGGCAAAGCTCCCTCCCTATAAGCCGAGTCAGTTCTGCAACAGACAGACATACAGACAGAGATTAGCCATGCAGGTTGAGACATAGGGGAGGCAGCTCTTTAAGTCGTTCAAGATGCGGTGATGCTTTGGTCTCAACCAAGAATGCTACCACACATGCCAAGCATTCTGCTCGGGGCCGTCCGTCTCTCCTGTTGCTGCATTTGTCGCCCATCCTGTTGTATGGTGCCTGTGATAGGCGGAGCTGGCAGCACTACCCAAGTCGACGACGCAAATTAGCGGCCGCTGAACAGTCGCTGCCGAACAACGGTGGTCCGCTTTTGGAGGTGGTTTTTAGGGCTGGAACGCTGTATGTAGTCTGTGCCCTCAGATGCCATGTGGAGAAGGGAGTTGCTCGAAGCAAGGCTGAGTCGTTGCTCTCTCTGGGCTGCGGTTTGTCCCTACGGGTAATTGCACAGATGAGATGATTCATCACTTGTCACCACATGTCGCTGTAGCCGAGCTCAGCTGCGGGTATTCGGTACCAGGTCATCATACAGTACGCGAGCGTCCAGGCAGAAGAGGGGAGGCGGCTAGATAGAGGCACTCGGTTTGCCCTCGTCCAGGCGACAACAGCAGCTCGTAGGGGGGTCGTGCGTGTTCCTAGATGCCAAGGCTCGCTTTGTGATAAGCTCATGGCAAAATATGGGGAGCGAATGGACTGCCATTCCGGATGAGGCGTGGCGTGGCAGCGATCCGGTTCGACGTGGGAGGATCCAGAGAGCATGGAAGTGGAAGTGGCACGAGCCAGACAAACGCTGGAGGATGGCATCGTGGTGCTGCCGGTATGCAATAACCCGGACGTAATATGCATCTATGCACTATTGGCTCCAGCCCGGTGCGTGGTGATCCAGGCAGTGCGGACTCCCTCGAGTCGGCACTGTATCTCCAGCTCGCCAAAGGTCGCGGGTACACGGCCAGGATTCTGACGGACATGGCTTAGGGCTGCAAGAAGAGCGGGCAAGCTTCGACCAGCCGCTCCCCCAACCTGGCGGTTCCGTCGCTCTACCACTTTTCCGCAGCGATAGCGAGCGTGGTGATGCGTGAGAGAAGCGTGCATGACTACTGTATGTACGAGTATGTACGAGCAGCAATAGTACGGTCGTATTGGGTGTGTAAGTACATGGAAGTAGGTGCTCAATATGACCAATTCATCCGCGTGTGTGTTGTGAGCATGAAGCGGTCAGCCATGCAGAAGCTGGTGCATTGCATTGATATCAGTTCATCGCCCAGCATAGCATAAAGCATACGACAGACACAGCACGGCGGTGTGTGTGTGTCCGTGTTAGTGAAGACCTCTGAGACCTCCTCATTCCTACTAACACACAATTACACGTATAAGTGTGTCTAGACTACTAACATACCAAGAGATCAAACGGAACGGGAACGGGCTCCGCTAAGTGAACAGCTAGTGCTTTTCAAAACTTGTATTCAATTACGAAATACGAAACAACAGTACTATGAATTTTGCCCAGCTCTGGCTTCAATGGTCAAAATAGCATGGACTAGTCTAGACACGGTGAATCCAAGCCCTTCACCGCAACAACAACATCAAGCACAAAAAGACCACAAGAGCACAGCCATCCCTGGCTCCAAACCCAAATGCCTCATACTCACAGCCAGAGGGAGGCCTCTCGCCAGTTCCAGATGCACGCAAACCGGCAGCTGTGACGTAGGATGACGATGCCGCCTGGTCGAATCCAGCTTGGCTCTGCCCATGGCCCGGGAGCCTCAAGCCCTTCGTTTTGCTTGTTTCAGTACTAAGTCCAGGCCCGGCCCCATGCCTCTCGCCAATCACAGCCCCCGTATATATGCATCTGGCAAGTTGTTCAGTCCTCTGCCGATCCCCATAGTCCCGGCTCCTTGCTCCGTGTTTAGTGTCGTCTTAAACGGAAAAAAAAAAAAAGAGGGAAAAATTCCCACCTCAGCACGCCCCAGGTGCCTCCAACGTATATCGCTCATAGCCACCGCTCTCACGAGGTTCGTCCGTGATACTTCACCTCTGTTATGGAGAGACAACACCAGGGCTAATATCGCGCCCGCTGGGGTGCCCATGCCCGAGATGCAGCCCGGGATAGAAAATCATCACGGCAGGACTTTTTCTCACGCTTCCTTTCATTGTTGCCGCTGCAACAATCAATTGCCTCCCTTCACTCCCTCAGCATGTCCATTCACAAGCCCTAGCCCCCGGATGGATCCAACGCCGCGGTATGGCACGGCTTTAGTATCGAGAGCCACCTCACTCTCATTGTTGCACCGCATGTGATGCTGTTCTACTTCCTAGAAGGGTATATCCGCATTCGCACCAAAAAGAGCCGGGCAATATCAAATGCTTCTCCATCATGCGTCAGCCGTGTAGTCGCCGACTCCTTTTGCCTCCCCTCCCCCCTTTTATCCCAATGTCAGTGATCATAGGCAGAGGCATTATTTTGTCCCTCCAACTTGTGCCCGACTTGGATGGTATTCCTCTCCAAGCGCGTTAGCCCTATTTGCACTCTTCTGGCTGCCTGTAAACAATCCGCTCGAGTTGAAGCATGCCCTATTACCCCCGGAGGTGGTGTGCCCCCTGATGCCCATGTTGTTTCATTGTATCTTTACTTGCAAGCTACAATACCACCCCTATTGCCACAAACTCAGCTCAAGGCTTTCAATATTTCCATATAAACTGAAAGCTCGAGAAGGGTTTGCCCTAAATCATTAAGTCAAGACCAATCCCGATGCCCTACGGCGTACAGCAAGCTCTAGGTCCTTGATTTTGGATCACTGCTTCTGTCTATTTCTCGATTCTCCATCACTTGTCTTCAGAAATGCCTCCGTACATTGACTCGCAATAGCGGCGTGTCACAACAAAGAAATAAGTTGATAAAAGGGCCGACTATTTCTTCATCATTGTGCCATTCGTTTCTGACAAGAATCGGGGTAGTGGCCATGCTGCACACTCAATCCTGCTACAGAAAAGCCTGCGTTGTCAGAAGAACCAGTACACTCTCTTCTCTTCTCCTTTCGCTAACTTGCCTAATGATAGGATTGAACTTTAGCAAACATCAACTCCAAGCTTCCTTCTCATCGAAAGTTTCCCAGAGACGACCCATACTATTACCTGTCGCTTCTTGTTGTTCGACACACTGTATCCGGCTCGATGCAAAATACGGACGAACATTTATACGCATTCTACAAGAAGGGTAAACAACTCTTTTCAAGAGGGCCTTGAGTAAACTTGCTCAACAGCTTCCCCTTGTGAAGTGATCAAACATTCTATCCAAGTGACTGCTGATTGCACAGTCATGGGCAATTCAAGAACATCTTTGACTCGAACGGCTAGCAGCTATGGGCAACTGCTTGCTCAACAACTGCTCTAGAAAGAGGTTTAAGATAATCAGAGCCTTCGATCAATGCCTGACAATCACTTGTATGTTAGACAGTTGTCATTTTACGCCTATGACCTCCAATTCTGCTCTCTATCATTACTACCTCTGACAATCTTTAGGTATAGAGAGTAGATCTCTACAAAGACGGAAATTCTCAGAGAGTGTAAGAAGTCATTGATAGCTAATCACAGGCGCTGCTTGACGGGGTCCGTATCATATGAACGCGGTGAAATAGAAATCCCTCCGAGGTCTACTGCTTGCAAAATGAATACTTGCGACATGCTCACGTTACAGGTCGCAACGTCGACGTGCATTTGCTCCATCAACGTATATATACTTACAAGTACCGCATGCCATCTTAGTTCCACGCTACAATACAATTTTGCATAATTACTATTCAATAGCCCGATTTTCGTTGCTTTTCTACCCATCTTTCAGAAAATCTCTTTTCTTCTAAAACACAAACAAATCCTATCTCAAAGATACTTTGAAATGAAGAGGCATCCAAGTAAACCAAATGCTTTACCCGGCCCTTTAGCGTTCCTCTTTTGTTCACCCGTATAAATCACATCAACTTGACCTTCCTCTCCTACAAGTCTTAGGGGCCTAATAAACAACGTTGATGATGCGTTCTAGCCATGCCAATAATGATGATAGCGAGGAGCAAATGAGAAGAAACGAGATAAATTTTAACAAATCAGTTATGGTAAGTCTTAGGAACATGGAACACAAAAAAAGAATCTCGCAGTCAAAGAGGTGGATAAACAGCTTTATGTCCACCCCCCTGCGTCTAAGCACCCCATAAAGACCGCATTAAGTACTTCTTTACTCGTTCAGTAAAAGAAGTTGGCCTCTTCTTTACCTAGCTCCGATTTAAGCCACAAAGCCTTGCTTAAATCCAGATGCCTCCTTTCCGTTACCCAACTACTAGGTCTCTGACAGTAGGAAATAAACAAGGTAGAAATGACCGCTATGTTTTGCATGAAACTGTTTATTTGTTTAAGGCTGCTGGACTAAGGACTATAAGTCACTGCTGAGGTAGTACAATTTTATACTATAAGCTAGAACTAGTTTGTTTACCAGGCGTTGCCAGACTTACAATAGTTTTATTAAACCCTTTTCAGGCTTTTTATTTACCGCCAACCATCTATTGCTGGAACCTAGTGTTATATCGACAAATTGAATAATCTGAAAATATTAAATATTGGTACCGGATTGTCTTTCTGGTGCCTATTATGCGGTTTGTTTTAGGGCTTTGGCTCACACAGAGCGCAGGCCAATACACTTTGAGTTGTATAAACTAGATTCGGAAACTCACCCGATCCAGAATAGGCTATGGACTCTCTTTATCAGTCTTTTGTAAAGCCCGATAGGAAGGAGAATCAACATCTTAGCTTTTTCAGGCCATCCTCGGCGCTTCTCGAGAAGAAACAATTAAGATATCTCCGCTAGAGACTGTGCCTGCCACTTCACAAGAACGAACTGATGCAGCAAATCGTCAAGCTAGTCTTTCGCCTTCTCAGTGGATACATGGTTACCATCAGACGTAAACAGACCTCAACGATAGCTCTGCCGCTTGGTATTCCTTAGACTATTTACGCTTCTCTACTACTGCTCTGAAGCTGAGGCTTCCTTTGGATTGAGTCGCAGCATTGAAGAGCTGGCCAACAGATCGGAGTTCTGGCAATGAGCTTCATCTCTGATATTAACCCAAATATCATGAGCATCAACTACATCTCTCATTCTAAGCATCGCTGCCAAGTGAGAGACGACACTTAAGTTGAGTACATTATTCCGAGCTCCCTCGGAATAATCCATACTAACACAATTCTCAGCAACTTCCCGAGCTCTTGTCGATATTCCGCAACAACTATGACTTGCTCCTCATTCTCAGCATAACAGATTTTATTGGGAACCGACTAACAGAAATCCATTTCGCCTGTGGAGAGCAAATCTCGGCTTTTGGCCAGCCCTTCTTGAAGACATCTCCAATAATCTTAAGAACATATGTGGCATCAACTATATCGTGGAGCTACAATGCCAAAAACCTTTTGCCTCCATTTATGAGTGCCTTGACTGCCAGAAATCTGCCATTGACGCGAAACTAACCATGCTGAGGGATGCGCAGTGGGGCGAGACGACGTGGGATTTGACGAGGTACAGACAGGTGGGCAGCTCGATGACAGTGCGATTACTGCACTTTTTGAGATGCGGGTATGATACTGCTATAGAAGAGGATTATATGTGGCATTCGGAGCAGAATATGGAGTATTTGGAAGAGATCTTTAGTGAGAGTGAGACATTCGATTGCAGATTGCAAGACTAGCTGTAAGGCTGGAGATTTGCTGGATGGAAGGCCTTGGATCGTTTTGAGGCTGACGATGATGCTCTTGACGGTTGATGCGCTCCTGAGGACTGGATGGCGGAGATAGAGATGGAGGAGGGTGGATGGGATAGCAGTGCATGACCTGTTACTGATGTTTAGATAATATGAGTATACTCTACATTCTCAGCATACATGAACAAAAAATAATGATTTGTCTGTCATTCAATTTTTTAATTTGTACCGACAGAAAGCTACATAGCTAAATGAGTGACTGGGCACAATGAACGTAGTGATGCCAGATTTACAGGCTGCATTGGTAATGAGTGATGAAGCAGCCATGTATAAATACTCAGCAAAATGGCCTTTGGGGTTTCCATTTGACTGAATTAAGCCTTGATGACAGCTGGGAGTCGGCGGAAGCCTCCTCGGCAGGCAACATCGCACTGCAACTCAACCATGCGCTTCTGGTCGCCAGTAGGGTCTGGGGACTCGGCTTCAAGCTCCCAGCCAAGGAACTCGTTGGTGTAGTTGGACTTGAACTGGGCGTCCAAGACGCCGAGTCTCTGCCCATACTTGGTCACCTTGTTCCAGTCGCGCTGGACGTTCTTCAAGTCCTTTGAGAAGTAGGCAAAGCTACGCTCAAACATCTTGCGGTTGAGATCAGTCCCCATGACAGGCTTGAAGTCAACATATTCAGCCCAAGCCTTGTTGGGGTCGGCAAGGACGAAATCAGTGGCCTTCTTGACAGCACGAAGGAAAGCGCGAACTTTCTCCGGGTTCTCCTCAATGAAGGACTCGTTGCCGATGTAGAGGATGGTGCAGAAACAGCAGCAGCCCAGTTCAGCGAGCTCATCAATGCGAAGCATTTGGACGTCTGTCTTGGGGCGGCCCTGCTTGTCGAGCCACTCCTCGAGCTCAACCATCTGGACATTTTCCAGGCCAATACCAGCGTCAATTTCGCCGCTGATGATGGCCTTGGAAACATTCATTCCACAGCGAACTGCAGTGTAGTCCTCTGGAGTGAGGCCATAGTGGGAAGTAAGCTCATCGATCTGGATCTTGCCGAACTCTCCCACATAGCCGATGCGCTTGCCCTTGAGGGAGCAGAAATCAGTGGTGATGCCCGACTCCTTGAGGTAAATAACACCGGTGAATGGCTCATCGAGAAGGCTGCCAATGGACACAACTGGGAAGCCACGGGCCTTTGCCTAAAGGACCTTGCGCATAAGTAACCATATAAAGAATTGTTTAGTCATAGGCATATAGCCTTACAGCAAGAGTATGAATCATAGCCTTGAATCCGAGATCCACTTTGCCGGATCCGATGATCTCGGTGACATCCTATCAATGCGAGTGAGTTTCTGCTTGATTAAAGGTTAGGAAATGTTACATACGCTAGGGTCGTTGGGCTCCAAGAGAGCGACCTTGATACCTTCATCCTTGAAGTATCCTTTCGCTTGAGCGAGGTAGACTGGTGCGTGGTACGGGGTGGCGTGCCTGTGCCTTGGTTAACTTTACGGATCACTAGCCCAATTGACGAGGATGATTCTGACCAGTTCGCCAAGAACGTGATCTTATCCGTCGACATTTTGGATAATCGAGCAAAGAGCTACGTGGGTTAGTCTGTACACTATGTGATTAGGAGAGCAGTGGAAGCCCAAGAAGCAGATCCTTTCGCTGGTATTATCCAGATCAAGTTCGCCGGTATTTCTCAGATCAATCCACTCTACCATGCTGTCTCCTACCTTAAACCAGACATCAAGATAATGGATCGAATGACTCGACCACCATCGAGAGCTAGCGAAGAGAGAGACAACATGATAGAACGGATCGAACACCCGGATGCTTGCTCAGTCTACTTTACCTCGATGACTGGATAGTTCCATTGCGACAAGTAACATGGCTCCTTGGAGGCGAGCCTCGTACCAAGAGATTTTTTGGGGGAGTTTGTTGTTTTAGGTGACAAGAATTCTGACAATCTCAAGATTGAATAAACAAAGGTTGTGTGAAAAAAGAAGGGAAGAGACGGGAGTTTTAGAATTGAAATAAAATATTCAAGACTTACCCCTCAATCTCACGGTGGGTATCAATTATGTCATGACCGAAGTCGGATATCGCGCATGTAAATTGTGGTCATTTATATACCCGTTTATACCCGAGTACACCAATATACGATGTCAAAACTTGTGGAAATGTACACTGTACTGGAAAAGATGTTGCTTGTTTCGAGACTTATCGAGGCGAGCAGCCTGGGTTGATTAGACTTGTTAGGTGGGATGATCTAGACAGAATCTCAAAGTCCGCCTCAATTGATGAGTAGAGTCAAATTACATACTACCTTTCTATCTTAGAGTAACTCATCTAAAGAGCATCATCTGAAGAAGACTCTCAAAGTCGCGTGAGGAATTGATGCCAGGGTTGAAAGGGACTTTGACATGTACATGCGTCTTTAACCATTCGGCTATGATTGAGAACTTTCTTACACGTCATACTCCCTCCATCGATATCCGCCGTTGTTATCAATGGGTGCCCGGGTTACCTGCCAGAAGCCAAAAAGTTATATCCGACAACCCGGCGCATATATTCTAACGAACTATTATTCTATGCATATGATAGTGGAGAACTGCGCGAATAAAGAAAGCGCCATAATGCGAAGACAGCTTCATTCAATCTCATAGAAATAGACGAACATCACTAGGAATTGACTATCAGGGCACAAGTCTGAAACCCTCAATTACGACTAAAAGTCTTAGATGTTATTAATTTATATATCGTAGCTTCGTATAATTCATTAGCAGGCTGCCGAGCCATGTATCAATCTAATACTCCAACAGCGGCCGCAATACTGCATCGGCCACTGTGGATACAGCACTTCCCAAACCAGCCAAGGTAATGTTAGGGCATGTAAGGTCAAACACCGACGGAGACACAAACTGTGCCTTGGGGCTGTTGTTTTGGCCAAGCACGATCAATGAGGCCTTCTTCTCGTTGAACTGAGGCCATCCAAGGCTGCTGAGGCCTGAGGAAGGGTTGTTGCTAAAGGTAAACCAAGCGTGTTGCATCAGCTTCGTGAGGCTTCTCTGGTCTGCGGTCGTGGGCAATCCGCTGACATCCGCGGACGCTCCAAAGATCATGTGAAGATCGACGCCGTGATAAGCACCGCTGGTGGGATAGAGACGAGTGTTATCCCAGTCAGCCATGTATCGGTAAGCCCAGGCTGGCACCCCGCGGTTGCGTCGAGCTTTGGCCTGGTGGGACACGGGACAGGTGAAAGATTCCAGCAGGAAAGACACCACCTGGTCAGCGGTCGGCACGATGCCAGAGGCGAAGGCCGGGATGCGATAGTATCCATCCTCATTGTTGTTATTTCCCAACAAGAGAGGCACTTTTGCAAAATTACCAGCCTTGGTCAATGAGAGATAGTCAGAGAATACAATCTGTTCGTCCGGGATCGGGTAGAACGCAGGAATGGAACGCAGAACACTGCTGCTCGGCGTGGGCTTGATGCCAGCCGCAGCGGCCTTGATGTTTGTCCAGTCAGCCTGACGCATGCAAGACATGACATCGCTGGCAGAAGTGCAGTTCACAGCCGCCACAACAGTGTCCCAATTCTTCTCGGGGACGCCCGGGGCGTTGACGGGGAAGCTGAAGACATTGCCCGAGTGCGCAATGACGCCGTTGACAATGGGATCCTTGTTGTATGCGTAGGTCCAGTAGTCAACAGCAACACCTCCCGCAGACTGGCCCGAGATGGTAATCTTGCTGGGGTCGCCGCCGAACTGCTTGATGTTGTCTCGAACCCACTCGACGGCCGCTCGCTGATCGCGGAGACCGAGGTTCTGCGTCTCGCCGGGGGCACCAGGGAAGCCGAAAATGTTGATTCGGTAGTTGACCGTAACGACGACAATATCCTCGGCGTCGGCAAAGTATTTGCCAGAGTAAAACGGGCTGTCGGTGTTTCCAATGGTATATCCTGCTCTCGTTGTTAGTAACCGGATTCGTCGCCGTGTCTCGCACGGCTTGTAGAATTGAATCGTCTATATGCTTACTGCCTCCATAGAAGAACACCAGGACAGGCTTCTTCGCTTTCAATGCATTCTGAGTGGCCTTGGACCAAATGTTGAGGGTAAGGCAATCTTCACTCTGGGGAGTGCCCGCCGCGGAGGCGAAATAGCTGACAATCTGCTGCGCTTGGGGCGTAAACCCGGGATAATCGACAGGCTTCGAGGGCGTCAAAGGACAATCAAATCCAAAACTAGCAGCCACATAGGGCTTCTTGGATTTGATCTTGGCGGGTGCTGCAAATCGCAAGTCTCCAACAGGCGGCTGCGCAAAGGGAACGCCCAGGTATTCAATCACGCAGGCCGAGTTGGACGCTTGGTGGCCGGTGATGGGACCGTTGGACGTGGGCACGGTGAGAAACTGACGGGTGTTGCAGTTCGATGCCGGCGATGCTGTGACATTCACAGGAGTGGCTGAAGCAAGGGCCGCGCCCAAGATCAAGGCCGCGCTCTTAGTCGTGAGAAGCATGGTGAAGGTGAGGCTGCTGGAGATGTGGTGAACCGCCGATGCTCAACAACACCTTTTCGTCCGAGTGATACGACAGCAGCATCTGCGTCACTACATATATACATATATAGTCGTCCAGTTAGTCGTCTGTCGTTGCTTGACCCGGGCCAATTGCGCGGCGTGGATCCCGTTCATGCGCAATTTCATCAAACCACCGTTTACTAAACCCCATATTGATTGCCATCACCCACGTTGAGGCGCTCGCATCTGCAACCCGATCCAGTAACCAGGCCGCCAGCAGAGCTCCTCCAGGTAGCAGCTCGGCAGCCAAGGTGCCGGGCCTCTCCAATTGTCTCAGGCAATTATGGAGGCCCAGCTCCGGGATGCGGCCAACAGAGCTCGTTTTCCGGTCGCCAATATTTATTTCCAGGTTGATTGATGCGGGAAGACGCGAAAGCTTCATGGGCCAGGGCTTTTCCAGGTCGTTGGCAGGGATATCATCGGCCAACATCCCCCAAACAATTGGGGGCAATCCCTGCCGAGAGGTCACCAATTTGCAGCCAAGAAAATTACGGATCAATTGCTACATGGCGGAGGAGCGGCTTGGTCAGTAAATCTCAGGCTAAGAGGGAGTACGAAGCAATAAAAAGTCAATCTGCGGGCGCGAGGATTGAATACACAGGTGGAGATGCGGAGGCCCTTTGATTTTGCTACGAGAGATTCAACCCTTGCGGAGGCTTACGGAGTGCAGCATTGTGCGTAGTATTCTAGCAATCTCTTGCATCTACGGAGTAATCAAGCACAAGCATTTATAGTACTCACGCTCCGAATTACTGCCCTCCATTGACAGCCTCGTTTATGCTTCCATGATCTACCGATTTCCGAACATCAAGAAGTAGGCACATACACATATGTAGGTGCGGTGCACCCAGCATCACCCCTTTCTCACTGCAAAGCATCGAATAAGCCCCGACAAGTTTATTGCGGTCCCTGTTTCGGTGAACTCTCAAAACAGCAACGCACTAGGGTTCCTTTCAACTTCTATAACATCTCAACCATTGTGGGTGAGAAAAAAAACCAATAGTTTGTAACCACCTCTCGCGCTTAATTGCGCCGGTATGCTCGGCATCGGGCCATCCTTGTGACCAGCAACGATTAGATACGAGTACTACTCGACTTCAGCTGATAGTTGTGCTCTGTACAAGTCTGTGAGCCTGTTCTCCGTACAGAAGCACAAGCATTTGTCATCTTGGCCGAACAAGCCCAGTTCTCTCCCCTGGGCAACTCATCAAGGGAACCTCTGAAGACAAACTCCGCAGTTTGTTTCCCGCTGTGACTCGAGACAACAGCTAACAAGAACTAACCACGGCGGACGAGCACTAAACCGCGTACTAAAACCGCGTACTAGAACCGCGTATAATGTGCTGGTTCCGTGGCGGGAGTGGGCTCCGGCGTTCTAGTCGACATTGCCATGGCAAGGATACAAACTAGCGCATGATTTCATGTTTCGGTGCCTGTTGCACTCCTCTCTACCCGTCGGGGCCGATGTTAGAAGAATTTAAAGTTGGCGATAACCTTAGCTCATCCGCCAGAGACACGATTCGCGCGATGCAGAAAAAGCAAAGCGGGCGAGATTCCATCGCACGACATCGAGAAGCGACGTCCGCGCTGGCTGTGACCGGGTAATCCAGGCCTTTCGTAAAGATTCTAGTCGATCCTGAATTCCTTCATTGAGGCGTCCCGAACCAACACGTCCTTCCTAACCAGTGGACGGCTGGAGGACAGGGGTTGGGGAGTGGAGATGCTGTTGGTCCTGCGTGTCTGCATGGATGTAGACGGAGTCCTGCTCAGCTCCGCGAGCGAAAGCTGAGCGGCGAGGGATTTGTAGCCGTGCTCGTGTGTAGGTTCCTTGCAAGCAGAAGAGTTCCTCGAAAGCCCTTTGGGTGTTTGAAGATCCACTGCTGCAAGTGAATGAAGCCACTAGCACTCTAGTATGGCCCTACTGCGTGGCTTGAGACGCGCGAAGGAGCTGAGTGTCGAGAGTAACACCAAACCAAAGACGATTAGATGATCGAGGGAGAAGAGTGTCATCTTTTGGGGAGGAGTAATGGCAAGCAAGTTGTTCAAAGAGTATGGCATGTCGCTCGCAAAGTACAAAAGCTCTGTCAGCATGAACACTCTACTTTCATCCTCATGCCCAGCCAGCATAACTTGTGCAACGGATCTGAGATTTTAGATCAGAAGTGCTCCGGTAGTTTGCTCCTTTGAGTCCTTTCGATACAAATTACGGGACGCTGCGGAGTACTACTTGGCTAAATCCTGTACTCCATGCCGTATGAGTATATCAAGCTAGCTACTTATATGATAGCAGTCGTATTAGTAGTAGTAACAAGTTTACGACGCTCAATCATCCTTTGCCATCGTGAATGTCGCCGAAGAGAGCCTGTCTCATTTCGTGGACCTCTTTTGCCGGCTCCACTGAGCATCACCCCAGCTCTCCCGGCCTTGCATTGTTGCATCGCTTGTCCTGCATGCATTCACAGGGTCTCTGGCTTATGACATTTTATCACTAGCTACAGAGTAGTAAGACATACAGTATTTGTGCATTGCAGAAAGGGGAAAGAAGTAATACTAACGGCAAAAGTTCTCGTACAGGAGTAATCTGCCCGGAGGTTAATACAAGGTGGTGTTACTCGAAACCCTTGGCGCTCCTCGACGGCCATTTCTTTCCCTTTCCCTGCCAACAGGGGGCATCTAGAGTTTCTATTCATATTCCGGGGACGGCACTCCATGTCTGACCAACGCGAGCAAAAGCTGTCGACACCCTACGTTTCTTTTGCCTTGGCCGGTCTGCCGGTCGAGGGCCTCTCCACCGCAAAAGCATTCGATCGCCACGGCTTCCCGCGCCGGGCAGCGGGATTAGTCTTCAGGTCAACATCCGGCTAATTCGGGACGGCGATTATCCAACAGAAAAGAGTAGAATACCAAAAACGCCCGCCAGAGCCATGTGTGCCATCAAGTTGTGATTGTGATCAACGCTATACACTCGCGATCCACGATGGGGCCGAAGGGTATGGGTTTCCCTGCCGACGGGATAGACAATCATGGCTGGAAGTTATACATCACCTCTATGGTAATGATCATCGTCGCCGGCTTGTTTGTTACTTTTAGATGTGCAAGTCGAGTCTACCTCTTCAACTTTGGTGCTGACGATGTTGTCATCATCTTCTCCTTGGTGAGTTCCGTCGCCTTTTTTCTTCTTGCCCCTGATTCACGTCAAGACTGGTCTTCGCTAATCTTGCATTGATCGGTTTTCTTCATCTCAGCTTTTCTCCATCGTTCTCTCCGTTACCATTCAGCTTGCCATAGAAAATGGCTACGGAATGCACAAAGCCGATCTCACTGTGGTTGAGCTTGTCACCGCTCTAAGGTGGTTCTTCATTGCTCAAACCCCCTACAAAGTAACCGTTTGCCTCAACAAAGTGGCCACCATCCTACTTTATCAGCGTATATTTGTTACCAAGAAATTCGAGATTGCGTCTTATATTGTAATGGGAGTCGTCGTTGCTTGGAGCATTGGAGGTGTGGGATCTACCATTTTTCAATGCGTTCCCATCGCTGGTGCTTGGGATAAGAGCGTGAAGGCAACCTGCATCAATTCGGATGTGTTCTGGGTTGCCTACGCCGTCATGAACATCCTGACAGATGTGATGGTCTTGGCTCTTCCCATCGCGCCAATCATGCAACTCCAGCTCAGCCCACGCAGCAAGGTGATGCTGTGTGCCATCTTCCTGATGGGCGGTTTGTACGTAGAGCCTGCCCTCTAATACGCCCCAAATCTTCCTGCTCTAACAATGAGCTAACAATCATTTACCTTCAACAGTGTTACTGTCACGTCAATCCTCAGAGCAACATCTGTGAAAAACTCACTCGCCAATAAAGCAGACACCACATGGAACTTTATCGATCGCGGCATGTGGACGTTGATCGAGGCCAATGCGGGCATTATCGGCGCCTGTCTTCCCGCTCTAAGACAGCCTATGGCTCGAATATTCCCTCGCTTCTTCGAATCGACTATGAAGAACTCAAACCACAATGACAACAGAACTCCCGGCAAGGGGGCTTTTAATCTGTCCAACTTATCCGGACATGCATCCCATCCAGGCATGTGGCGTGGAGGAGGACACAGTCGCCAGGTTGTGTCCATCTCCGGACCAGAAACAGGATTGGGGAGGAAAAGTGATGAGCTACACATGATCGATGATGCTCTCAAAGATAATGATAGCGGCTCTGATACCGCAGGCGTTCACGGTATCTCAAAAACGGTTGATGTTGTGAGGACGTCATACCACATGGACCGGGCGGAACAGCAGTGATACCCAGGATACGACATCTTTCAAAAACAATATTCCCTTCTTTAACTGTAATAAAATTCTCTTTGTTTTCTTAAGCTTGCGGAATCTTGGTATAGTGAAAGAAAAAACAAGTGTCAATACTTGTAAAGTGGTATATATAGGTATATATGGGATGTGTATATATAAACATTTATGCTGAATAAAATCTTTCAAAGCTGAAATTCCATGTCGTCTTGAGGGCGCCGCCTTTAGCCGACGATCCTCGCGCTCCAATATGCTGAAGAACACTAGGCACAACGGCCCATTTATCCAACTGGAGGTCATCCGCCGTCTTTTCGATAGTAGAGTCGGCAGGTAAGTCAAATGGGGACGCCTGCAGCTTCTCTTGCAGCAAGACAAGGTGTCGGTTTGGTATAACCAAGCCCTGGCTGCAACAGCCGTATCGCGGCATCTCTTGCACGCCGTATGGAATGGGATTGACTGTTAACCGACCAGCCATGAATCCAAGCCCAATGAAAAGAGGTACCCATATAAACAGTACATTTGCCATCAAGAGCTTTGAGTTTTTAAACGTTCGGTCCTTGAGCGAGGGCGGAGCCAGTTGGTGAAGATAGCGAATTGCGAACATGACTCCCAACACGGCCATATATATGAGCGCAATATTTCGAATATACATCGGCCATTCCTCCGAATTCCATCCCATGTAGGTTTCGGTATAAAAAAGTCGAATGTAAAGCCAATCTCGGCCTTTGGCAACCGCGCGCTCGTTCACTTTGGGTGTTGCCACTACGAGTCGCTTGAACCACTCTCTCGCGGCGATGACATCGTCTTCGACAAGAATAAAGTAGTCTGCCTCGTTTCGGCGGCATGTCTCGGATAGCACTGAATAGTCTCGTCTTACTCGCTCGTCTCTGGCCGCCGATTCGGAATGTCGTGGGATCGTCTGATAGCCATTTTCAGCGACCAACTTCTCTGGCGTATCTTCATGAACTATGACTGCATCGGCGATCGCGTGAAGCCAGTCTTGCCCAAATGCAGAGTTTTTTGTCGCATCGGCGTCGGACAATAGAACAACGATGTGAATCAGCTCTCGCTCCTCGGGTGTCAATGAGTCGACAAGAGACGCCGCCGCTCTCGGAAAGAATTGGGCCCGCTCTCTCTGGAGTGTTGGGATGCCGATGCAGTATGGAGCGGCTCGGCGAGCGCTTCCTTCTGTTGCTTTGATTAATCTGCTGTGTCGTGCGCCCTGAGAAGCTAGGAAATCGTCGGCTTCCTGCTCTCTAACAGCCGAGTAGAATGGTTGGTACGCGGCATCCGAGCGGAAGAAATATGAGGACGGGTCGTAGTAGGTGGTTTGTTGACAATATCGAACGGCGATAAACCAGACCAAGAAAAACACAAAGTTGACCACTCGTAGATCGGTAGTAAATCGTGATAATGAGGGGGCTGGTTTAGTCATTAGGGCATTCTTTTGTTACAAGTGTCGAGCATGGACGAGGATATGTACGTTGTCGTTTGTCGGACATGAAAGGAATGATTTTTTTGGAGAAACTCCAGCGACCACGGCGCTACTAATATGAAGAAGAAACTCGCAGGGATCTTTCTTCAATTACAATGATGCAACTCCATATTAGTTATAGCCTAAAACGTCTCCACGGAGTGGCTGCCATTGGGATTCTAGACAACCTCGATCCTTTAAAACCATCGTCGAATGAGAGGACGGGTAAGCGCTAGCTTTTGAAAGCATCCATGTTGGACTCCTTGAGGCGCAGAGCCCCGTGTACTCGTATGTCGTTTCCATGCGCCGCCGCCAGGTTTCTGACGTAGACAAGCTGTCGGTCCAGAGCATCAACTAGTGGCTCAAGAGCTTCGCTATTCACCCACTCTAAGATTGCATGCATGAAAGGAACAATAGTATGGCTCCAGCACTTGGCATCTTTTCTAGTCGTAAACAGCTCCGTGAGCTACCCACAGTGATGGGCATAACTCTGCAAGGTTTTGCTGCTTGTATGGGGGGGTGGCGGCTACCATAGCCACCGCGATACGAGACGGCACTACGTTTACACAGCCCTTCCACGCAACAGATGCGTTTCAAGCTTATGGGTTGAAGGATCCGGTCAATATTCGGAAACAAATTAAGGTTATGACGGCTGCTAACAGACATGCCTCTCAAGGCGACAACCTGCGATACAGTAATTGCTAGTCTGAAAGTATATGGGCGTTGTGATGCCACAACAGCCACAAGCTGGATCATCAAGAAAGTTTCATCTTGTTATGAAAGCAGGACAGGGGAAGCACCTTTGTTATGGGTCAGACTTGGATCCGGGCTAGTATGTAGTTTACTCGCCGCTTGCGGGCGTGATTCAGGGGAACCGACACCAACTAGCAGAGCTGAAGTCTAAAACTGCGTGGATTTGTGAGTGCGAAGCTACGGACGTTGGAAGTCATCTGTCTCGGGATTTTTACCAGTGGATACTCGTTGGTCTACGATCCGTCTTGGCCTCGCTTCCTGGCTTCTTGGCTTCTTGGCCTCTTGGCCTCTTGGCTTCCCGGCCATCTCGCAGCGATGACTTATCCCCACGCGGAGAGGGGAAAGAAGAAACACTCAATCTTTAAGAGAAGAAAAGCTACAAAGCTTCAAAGAAAGGAGCTGAACGCCAGTTGATCAATAGCCCCTCCATTTAATTACTTACCCAATTAATAGCTGGGGACTCTAGCGGGATCCAGTCCTAAAACTCGTCTAGTATTCATGCTTCGGTTATGACGGCTCCCGCTGACTAGGAATACGGAGTGCCCAGACTTGAATCCAGTCGACCGACACCTTTGCGCAAGTGCTTTCGAAAGGGAAATGGGACGGAATAATTATTTTGACAGGAGGACAATCTGAACAGGCCTTTTTGACGGAATTTTACTCTCCCAGCAAAGCGCAATAAGACGCTTCTTCTTTATTGCGTGTTGCTCGAAGCAAAGTGGATATCCCTATGATGCATACGAGTACGGCAGTGTCATGGATCAACACTGTGGGAATCGAGTTCTGGGATTGTCGATTCTTCAAGCTTTGTTAGCGAGATGATGGTATAAGCGCAGATACACAAATGCTCGTATTGATTGCTGGAGAAATATACGGAGTAGGAGAGGTTACAAAGTAAATGGAGAACGAAAGATGCAGCAGAATATTATGTAGCCGTCAAACGCGTTGTAGGGAACTGTGAGAGATTTAACGCGTAAACAGGAGGCTTTCCGAATTATCCAACGGAAATCCCAGGTTTATTTGAGTTCTTCTTCTGCAACCAGCTCTACATAATAAGCTTTTAAGCTTTGCTAGTGTCGGCCGTTAGCGGCATCTTATTACAATCCATGAGATTCAGCAATTTGAAGCAACTGAGATTGAGGGTGCCCACCTCGTTATTTTCTTATGCAGGAAATGCAGGAGAACTAATACTAACGCGCACAATGAGGTGTAAATTCTTGCTACGTTGATTTTTAGTGTGAAGATGGCTGGGAGACCGTTTAAACTTTGTAAATCCTGTCTCACAATTTCAAGGGTAGCAATCCGAAGCAGCAATGCGCAGCCCAAAATGACAATCAGACACTCATTTGCATCGACGGACATTGCTACTTTCCTTTTATAGTTCATCAGCATCTCATTCCTCGTATCCATTTTCACGTGTATTGATGAGCCCAAATACAGTCACTTGAACCGTCATCTCCTGGTGGCGTGTGCTTTACACGATATGCCAAATACTGCGCTGTGTTTGATACATATAAGAAGAAATAGAACGAAATAAAATACAAATAAACGCAAGACTACAACGACTATTTGATTCTTTAATTATTTATCTAAAATGCTGCATAAATCGAAAGACTGGCGGGATTTCTTCATACTGTAGCCATTCGGCGGAGGAATGCTAGGATTGAAAGAGATGAAGCTACTAATAAGTCTGCTTATACAATAACTTATATGGTGCAACCGCTATGATGCTTTGACAAACGTGATAGCAAAGTACATGATTCCGAGTTGCACATTTAAATACGACATTGACAACCGTGACCCTCCACAAGATGCTACACAAAGTTTCATGTGATTGTATTGACTCTAGGATAACATGTTTTTTTCTTCATACCTCGTCATAATTCTCATTGACTATATTGATAGAATCGGCTATATCCCGCTACCTAGTGGATTTGATTGCTGGAGAATGCTAGTTCACGATCTCGATGCAAATCGCTCGCCCCAGCCGTCAAACCATTTACTGTAGGGTACTCAAGAGGAGGAGAGGAAGAGCATGCCGAGACTTCCATGTCTATGACTTGTATGCCGAAAAGTTGCCAAATTATCACCGGTGGCGTAGTAATATCGTATTGAGGGTAGGTTGGGAAGCATCCAATGTCTGCTTCCGAGAGCCGATGAGCCTATGCAGCTTCCTGTTATGACAGTCGCAGAAAGATCTCGGTAGAGGATTGGCTGAGACATGCTTAAATGGAACTTTGGTAGGCTTTAATATATTGATCAACATCTGGTTGGTTGTTTTTGGCCGGTGTCCCCATACCCGTTACATCGGGCACCACATTTAGCGGAGGCGAAGCGCTCATGACCTCTGGAGCATTCCTCGGGAAATATTGGCTTTATAGTAGGCCGTGGATGTAGATAGATAGGTCATAATACCAAAGACAGATCGTACTATAGTCATTGGATCGTGCTTATATAGTGACTCGTTCTATTGTTCCTCAGTAGAGAGAAAAGAAGCAAGGAATTCTATTTGCGTCATTTGAGCCTCTATTATTGTCCTTCTGATCTCATGGATATCGTCGGCAAAAGTGGCGTCGTATGCATGATAATTCGTCACCGTGTTAATTATCGCTGGTCAAAAGTCCCATCGTATCGAGAGAACCAGCGACTCTCCTTCTGGCAGGTCGATCTGCTTGGAATGCTATTGCCTTACACACAACCCCTCCCTCTTATCGCCTCCCGCGGAATACCAGCTCTCTTCGGCAGTTCCCATCAACTCGACTCGGCAGGCCAAGGCACTCGAGTATCTCAGTGGTTATGAACTGGTCCAGATCGTGGCTGGATCTGCGTGATGCGGACCCCCCTTGACGTGATCCGATTAGCGGGTTCGGGGCATTTGATCGTTTACGGCCTCGAACGCTTTTGACAGCTCCAAAGGTGAAGACCTTTTTTTTTTTTTTTTTTTTTTTACCCATCTTGGCTTGTTTGCTGTTCATCGGCTTCACAGCGTTGCACTGCTCTCGTTTATTTTGCTGAGCTATTGGCGGGGATTTGACATCTTCAATCTGATAACCACTCTACTGCCTTCTTCGCGGCTACTACCTTCTAATCGTGGCAATGGTGCAAGTCCTACCGGCATTTGATACCGATAATGTGCAATAGAATGGCTTTGAATGAGGAGGAATGACCGACTATATAACATGCGACGTAAACGTATATCGGACGGAATCCCTTCTCCTCTCGGTACCTAGCTTGGTATCACCAAAGCACAAACTCGGCCCATTCCAGTATCGTTAGCATTTGCCAGCCATGAAGTCCCTTGCTCTACTCTCCGCCCTCATTGCATCGGCATCAGCCGCCGTTCTTCAGCCTCATAAGGTCTCTTATGATGGACACAAAGTCTTCCGACTGTCCGTCGAGGCCGACAACATTGGCCGAATCAACGACATTGTGGACAGGCTGAACCTCCAGACCTGGAAGCCTGCCAGGAAAGTAGGATCTTTCGCAGATGTCGTAGTGCAGCCTAGCCAACTTGAGGCTTTCAAGAAGGAGACGTCGGACTTGAAGCCCGTGGTCATGCACGAAGATCTTGGGCTCTCGATCGACAAAGAGTCCACGTTCCAGCCCTACTCCGTTGAAGCTGTCAAGGCCGTCAACAGCACATGGTTCACCGCGTACCATGCCTATGCAGACCACCTGCAGTTCCTCAGAGACCTCTCGGCGCAGTTCCCCAACACTTCAGAGATTGTCACCTCTGGAAACTCTTTGAATGGCAACGCCATTACCGGCATCCACTTCTGGGGCAGCTCAGGCAAAGGCGTCAAGCCTGCCGTCATTCTCCACGGAACTGTTCACGCCAGAGAATGGATCACTACTCTGGTTGTCGAATATTTTGCCTATACTCTGCTCACCAGCACCGACGCCACGACCAAGGGCTTTTTGGACAAATATGACTTCATCTTCTTCCCAGTTGTGAATCCTGACGGTGAGATTGCGCGTTCCCTCCGAGATATAAGCTCCCAACCTAACATTTACCTCTCTAGGCTTCCTGTATACTCAAAGCACTGATCGCTTGTGGCGAAAGAACCGTCAAACAAATTCCGGCAGCTCATGTGTCGGTCGTGATATCAACCGAAACTGGAATTACCAGTGGAATGTCGCAGGAGGCGCATCTACCAACCCCTGTGCTGAAGACTTCAAAGGTGCCTCTGCTGGTGACTCTGTCGAGTTCAAGGCCCTCTCTGCCTACATCCAAAAGATCAAGACGGCCCAAGGCCTCAAGCTTTACATCGACTATCACTCCTACTCTCAGCTCTTCATGACCCGTGAGTGCCCACAAGGCCCATAGAAAAACCTGCTGTGCCTCTTTTACTGATGATGCCATATTTCTAGCCTATGGATACTCTTGCTCTGCTGTTGCGCCAAACAACAGCGAGCTGCAGTCCCTCGCTAAGGGTGCCGTTGCTGCCATCCGTGCTGTTCACGGCACCTCGTTTGAATATGGTCCCATCTGCTCGACCATCTACCAGGCCACTGGCTCCAGTGTCGATTATGTGAATGATGTTGTCAAGGCAGACTACACCTTCACATCCGAGCTCAGAGACACCGGGAGATACGGATTCGTTCTCCCCGCCAACCAGATTGTGCCCAGCGGAGAGGAGGCCTATGCAGGCTTCAAGTATCTGCTGCAAAACATGAAATAAGCAACAATAGTTAGACATTCCCTGTGAGGGACAAAAAAGAATTATCATTAACTCCGTTTGAATTTGTCGTCGGTCCAGAATTTGCATATTGTATCGCATTAAATTTGGTCGTAACGTCCTGGTGTTGAGATTACCCCTACATGAAGTAATCCAATCCCTTCCCCGCTTCCTGATTTATTATTATCCTGTCTCTGTCAGCCATTGTATCATTCAAATCACAGCCCCCCGTCATTCTCCTTCTCCGCTCGTGTAATCAAGTTCTGTATACCTAGGTACATATAGTCAGTACATGTACCGAGTGTTGCCATTGAAGTCTCCGGGTGAAACAAGCCTCTCCACAGCCGAACCTCGGTCCCCCGCATTCCTGATGCTCCTAAACGGAATGGCGAAATGTTACAATTGAATCATAATAAGCAAACCTTTTTTTTTCTTTAGCTCCACACATAAAGACTTTAATTTGTTTTTGTCAACTGCTCGTCAACTATTGCCTTTGTCCTTTGAGTTGCCATCATGGCGGGCCGTCTCTCCATTGCCGTGGTGCTGCTTGCTGTACTACTTGGCTACGTGTACAACTTTTACGTACAGCGAACAGTCTACATCTCTGGCCTCTTTCGGAATCCAGAGGCGACTGAATTGGCTCCAGAAGACTATAAAGTGATTGAAAACGCGGTCAACTGTGAAGACTTGCACCACCATGAACCAAGCGGCCTCATCTTTGGTGCCTGTGAAGAATCTGCAGGAAGCCGCCTGATATGGTTCCCTCCTCTTGAACATTTTAGCAACCCATCGACGGAACGGATGAAGGGAAACCTCCAAGTTATTGATCCCAAGGTAAGAATGATTAATAAACGCCAAGGTCCCGTGTCAATGCATGAAATTGGGTTTTAACGCGTTGACGTAGACATTCAAATCTCGGATCCTGGCCCTCGAGGGTTTTAGCGGCCCATTCGTGACTCATGGCATTGATGTTATTGATGATCCGGATAAACCGAAAGGCGAAGCAGTTTACATATTTGCCGTCAACCACAAGCCTAACCCCGACCATTACCGTGAGAACGGCGACGTCAATGCCCCAAAGTCGCATTCGGTGGTGGAGCTATTTCACCATGTCATTGGCTCTGAGACAGCGCGACACGTCAGAACAATATGGCACCCCCTTTTCGTAACGCCAAATGACCTGGTTGCTGAATCTCCGACATCGTTCTTCGTGACGAATGACCACTATTATACTGAGGGATTCATGAGGATGGTCGAAGACTTCCTTCCTATTGCTACATGGACCAATGTCATTCACGTCCAGCTCCAAGAGCCGGAGTCGGTTGATGGTGGTGACAGTGCAGGAGTCCATGCGTCGATTGCACTGGAGAATCTGCACAACCTGAATGGATTGTGTCACGGGAGAGCTAAAGATGATATTTTTGCGAATGGGTGTGCCAGTGGCCTCATGCATGTAGGAAAAATCCGGGGAAATGCCAACAAGGTTATCGAGGTGACTGAAACGGTCGAGTTTGGGTCGGCTATTGACAATCCAAGCTATTTCAGGGATCCATATGCCAACAGCTCCTTTGACGCGAGCGGCATTGTTTCCTGTGGCCCGACGAGGAGCATCGACTTCTTCAGTAACAAGGGAAAGGAGTTTGTTCTGGACCCCATCATGGTGTGGAAGGCCTCGCCTAAAGCTGGCAAAAGCGAAGAAGGAGGTGCTGCAATTAAAGACGGGGGAAATTGGGATGTCAACGTGATCTTTCAAGATGATGGACACAGAATTCGAACTGCTAGCGTCTCCGTGCTGGTGGCCATTGATCCAAAAGAAGAGGGAGGCAGACGCAGGGCGTGGCTATTCGTCTCGAGCTACCATGCCTCGAATGCCATTGCTGTCAAGATTGATTTGTGAAGGGAGATGTATTTGCTTTGGGGGTTTGCTTCTTTCTCCCTTTTCAATGACCCGATCATGAAAGCAACAATATGCGTTAGAGGTCGATCTCTCCCGCGCCTTGTATACCATGCCATTACTGCAGTACCATGTCGTGCTACCTGACCATGAGCTGCTGCATGCTTATCTTGTGTATCATGTCCGGAGCACAATCAAGACATTCTATCTTACTGCCAAATACAGCATGTGCATCCAGAATAGGCAATTGAAACCACTGATGAGACGGAGTCAGCGGTCCATTGAGTGCGCGATTGTGCAAGGAAACTTGCCCTCTGCACTCCGCGGCGTTGCATTTCCCAAACGGTGACCTATATATAGATGCATTAGTCCTACAAGGATATACTTGCAAAGAAGTTTTCGGCCGGATCCATGGTTCCGCTCCGACTTGTGTTAATATCTGTCTCGATGCACTCCGCAAAAACTAATATGCAGCCAGACTGTCTCCAGAGACGATATCAGAGCACCCAGAGGTAAAAACGACCATCAAAGTCAGTCGTATCGCCGATTCTCCGAGTGACAGTGCTTGGCAACCCTCCATCAGCGCTCATCGATCTGCGGCATTTGGTGCCCCATCCAATAGTCTCTACAGGCAGGGCAACCACAAGTGCATGGCTAAAAGCCCGCCTTGTCATACCCCGGCTGCTCATCAGGAAAGACTTTGCGGTAGGTATTTTACCGGGCCGAAGTGCTTGATGTTGCATCGGGGCAAGGATAATTTGAATCCCAAGTCCCCCCAGGCCGCCGACATTAAACCGGCACTTGGCACTGGTTTGAGCCCTACAAGCATTGATGATTCACCTTAATTAAGCTATCTAGGCTAATGGCACTTTAAATGACAGAGTCACAGCCGTCGCCATGTTCTCCAGAGCGGGAAGCCAAGCCGAGCCTTGGGAGACGAAAACTGCATGTGGCTTTTGCCTCCGCTCTTCCATCTGCCCAGTTTCTCGTATACTCGAACTTTCCCCCCGAGCAAGGCGGCGGGCTTCGGCTCAATTGAGAAACTCATCTTTCCTGCAGCGGCTTAAATGGAGAAGGAAACATTGTTGGGACAAGTGATTATCAATGGCGTGCTTTGAGGGCTCGAGTCGAGGCATTTTCGGCATCTGTGGGTTCACCTCGAACCCCCCTTCACGGAAAATACCCGATTGAGACCTGGCAGGCCAATCAGGAGGACGAATTCGATGGAGTCACACGAGTGAGAGACGGGCTACAAGCTACAAGAACAAACTCACGACGGTGGTGGCTTGTGAAAAAATTTTATCTGATCATCTTATCAATCCCATCTAATCTCTAGCGGGCATCGTCACTCCACCATCCCTGGCTTTGTTTCCAGTTCTACCCACTTAGTCTGTCTTAAGCGGTGATAGTGAACATGCGACCTCGGCGTCTCCAATTCTCGTGCAGTAGTCGCCAAAAATGGGTGTTTGTGCGTTGAAAATTGAAGCTTTCTGAGAGGGTGGCCTCCCACGACCAATTGGGATATTGTTATATTAATCTTGCCACGGCTCACTGTTACATTACATATGTCAGCGAATCCAGCGTGTTTTTAATTTGTCTCTATCGGTCCTTGATCAACATCAAGGTCACAGCCGGTCGGGAAGGTCTCCAAAGGCCAAGGTATCAATCAGCATTGACTCCACACACTTGGCACGACCAGGCTCCGCAAGCCCATTTTGAGAGTATCTGACAATCACACACAAAATGTTTCCCTTTCGGCTGTTGAGAGATCTGAGCCAGGCACCCCTACCATCTCCAACCCAGCCCTAGACAACGTTGTCCCGAAAGCCGACTCCGATGGCTCTCCCGGCAGCCCTTCATCAGGTTCGAGTCGAGACAATACGGCTAGTTCCTCCGAAAATGTGGACTATTTGGTGGAAAGAACTATTCCGCAGCAGCCCGACTGGCTCTGTCTGATATCAGATTCTGGTGGATAGATGGAAAGCTAATACTTGCCACGCTATTGATGCCTCGGGTATTGGCCGATTAAGTATGTCTTCAGTGAGCCCACCCTTCGTAGAGGTTGTAGTCAAAAGTCCGCTATGTGGATACGATCACTTGCCAGAATTGGCAAATACTACTATCCCAGTTTGCAATTGACATATATATATCAAGACTCTGATGCCTCTCTCTCTCTCTCAGAGGCGGCTTGCTCTCCGGCTGTCAGCTCTCAACAACCGTTGGCCGCCTGAAAGGACGCAGATAACAAGATGTTGTCACGGACCTCCTACCTGCTGTGCCTCCTCTTCGCTGCTTGTGCCCATGCGGCCAAGCCCCTCGGGCTCGAGGTTTGCGGAGCCTCGTGTTACTACACCTTGTCCAAGACCAAATTCGCTTCTGATAACGTAACGGAGCAGACGCTTTGCACACACCCCCTGCGTGTCACTTCGACATACCTGTGTCTATGGGAGCATTGTGAGGAGAAGGACTTGGTTCCCGGTATCAATTGGTGGGCTGCAACATGCAAGAAGTCTGCCAAGGTGGTCAATCTCGATGCGTATAGAAGCACTGTCGCCAATGTGACGCAAGAGTACATTGATAGTCTCCCCACTGTCGAGCAGACACAAAAGACTGTCGTGGACGTTGTGTCGATTCCCTCGCAGGCAAATTGGGACATCTCTCATCGAACTGTCAACACTTACTACACCAACATTGTATACCACCAGAAGCTACGGTACGTTACTTTTACGCAATATTCCTTCACCACCACCCCATCTGCTAATAGTTGTATGATGATAGATGGATTCCATACGCCTACTGGGGATTGGTGCTGTTTCTGGCCACGGTCAGCCACGCTATCGCACTGCTTCCAGTGAAACGCTCCGGCCAACCAGTACGAAAGAATACTGTGCCGGCAAAGATCAAGGGCTGGTTCCATCGCAACCTCATGATGGCCCCTACATTCTCATACCATCATCATCAGCCCTTGGGATGGTTCACCGTTCCTCTTCGTCTGCAATCCCTGGTCATTGCTGGCTACATCATTACACAGATCTTCATGCTGGCTTTCCACTACCCTGTCTTTACCGGCAATATTTAGTATGCATTCTCGATTTACTTTTTACCATGACATTGTTCTAACATGGCCATCAGCTACAAAACTATTACAGGACAGGTCTGCCGAATTTTCGCTGATCGACTCGGTATCTTCATGACGGCCGAACTGCCATTCATCTTTCTTTTCAGTGGAAGAGCCAACATCCTCATCTATGCCACGGGATGGAGCTACAGGACATTTAGCATCTTCCATCGCTGGCTGGCCCTGACCCTCATAGTCGAGGGCATCTGCCACGGCGTTATTTTTTCCGCCTACTATGTCAATGGTAAGCACATCTGGTTGATACACTTTAAATAAAACACTGCTTATATGACAAACAGAACAAGGATGGGAAGGTTACCACGAGGAGTTGCGTACTGATGAAATTTTCCGCTATGGACTTCTTGTAAGCTGTCAATTTGCATCCAATATATCTTGTATGGGTATTAATAGAGGCCACAGATGATTATATCGTTGAGCCTTGGCGCAGCTTTTGGTTTTGCTCCTCTGCGTAGCCGACTCTATGAGTTTTTCAAGGCTGCCCATGCTTCTCTGGCAGCTGTCTTCCTTGCTGCGCTGTTTTAGTACGTCATCTGGCTTCTTTACTCTGTATGTTTCTTTACTAACAGCATGTCAGCCACATCGAGGGCCAGTTCAAAGGCATGTATAAGGTCTGGGTGTGGGCTTGTGTTGGTCTGTGGGCTGGCGACCATTTCCTCCGTATGCTGCGCGTCATTGCCATGAACTACAAGACCTTCCTCGGACAAGGCTCTCTTGCATTGGCCAGCTACAGCGAAGAGACTGGCATGATCCGTCTCCAGGTCAAGCCTTCAATCAATGCCGCTCGCCAAACCCCGGGAACTTACTACTTCGTGTACTTCCCCAGTTTGCACTTCTGGGAGTCTCACCCCTTCACTCTGGCAGGAAGATCCAAACAAATCGATGATATCCCGTCATACGGCAGCAGCAGCGATCATCCCAGCGACAAAGAGGCTGGCACACGGTCTCCTCGTGTTACAGAGTTGAGCTCTGAACCGGGTGACTCATACATGACCTTTATGATTCGTCCTCGCGATGGAATGACCCGAAGACTGCGAGACAGATTGATTAGCAAGAGCGAATCCGGACCCCTTCGTGTTAGAACCTTCCTCGAGGGTCCCTACGGTACGCCTGCTCGTCTTGATCACTTTGACGAGGTGCTTTTCATTGCTGGAGGTAGCGGTATTACAACAGTATTGCCCTACCTCCGCATGTTCTTTGAGGATCAGAAGGATTCGCAAACACCTCCCAAGGTCCGCTTGGCATGGATCGTGCGAGACGAGGGTTTCGTTCGAGATGTACTTGCCAACGATCTTCGCGCCACTGAAGGGTCTGCGCTGGCAGCATCAAGGCTCAATATGGAATTCTATATCACGTCAGACTCTCCCAACGCCACACCCAAGACCGAAGAGGCTGGAAACAGCATCGCCGATCCTAGATTCAGGAAATCACGACCTGACATCCACTCCGTGGTTGACACCTTTGTCACTCATTCCCAGGGTAAGACGGCCGTCTTTGTCTGCGGACCGGCAGAAATTGCCGACACAACGCGGCAGGCCGTGATTAGGCAGACCAAGAAGGATCACATTGACGTTGAGCTATTTGAGGAAATGTTTGTTTGGTAAAAAACAGGGACTAAAGCGGCGGTAGAGCGGCGTACTAGGGATTTTATGAGGCGTATGAAATATTGGGTGGATATACTCTATAGGTTATGCATTACGGGATTTGAAAAGAATTAAAAAGCCATGACTTTCAAAATTTCACCTGACGCGTGTATAACATATCACGAACAACATTTCATATGATAAGTCGAGAATCTAAACTTGATGATGTGGTATTCAAAAGATTGAAGCTGTGCTATCATGTAGCTACAAGGATGCCCCATCTAACTCAATGAAACATCATCCCTATATTCCCACTGTCAAAGCGCGGTCGATAGGATCTTTTAGCTGGCGCAGAAGTGCGGGCAACGCTGCTACTATTGTAAGGGCTCAAACTCGGCGGGAGATCCTCCACCCTAGTACCCCATGAACTCTCCTTGCTACCCAGAGTGAGTACGAGCTCCTTTCCTTCAAGGAAGAAGCTATGGTCAATCCAATTCTTCGTGTAAGGCTTGCCATTCAAAGTAGCGTTTTGAATATACACATTCTTGTAAGTGGGATCAAAGTTGACGTTGCGAATCGTCGCAGTCTTCCCTGTAATCGGACTTTTGATGCTAACGCTCTCAAAGTAGGGTGGAATAATGAGATAGACATCCTGGCCAGGATTTGGGAATAGGCCCATCATGGAGAAGGCAACAAAGCTGCCCATGGCGCCGCTGTCGTCATTACCTGGCAGTCCATCTGGCGTAGGAGCAAAGAACTTGGGGATGTAGAAATGACTGCGTTCAGCAGACAAGGCTGGTCGGCCAGCATAATGGTATTGGAAAACTGTAAGGAAACTGGGTTCGTTGCCGATACTGAAATATTGTTAGTTAAAAGGACGAGGTAAACGTCATTAAAGGTCACCTACTATGTAATCTCCTGGTCGTGCATATAATCCAGACGGCTGACAAAAGCGTCAGAGCCACCATAAAGGTTAAGCAGACTGGCCTGATCATGTGGAACGAAGCTACAGAGAATGTGCGTTAGTCTCAACATCAAGTGAAAAGTAGAGCTCCTGAAGAAAATCTCATAAACTGACAAGCCGTATTCCCAAGTGCTACTCTCGAATGTCTCAGCCCCAGAGTTCTGAAGCGAGCACACGCTCCTGGAATCCAAGTTGCTGCACATCAATGGATCTTGTGTGAACCAAGTTTCGTTCAAGAACTTGGCTTGGAAGAAGCCTTTAAACCCAGTGTCAGTCCCATTTGAGAAGAGCGAGGTCTGGTCAGCTTTAAACAGGTTTTGCCAATTGCCGCTGGATTCGATGTATTTCTCTTGGTCTCCCTTTTTACCCAACCCTCCAGCAATCTGGGAGATGCAAAAGTCGTTATAGCTATACTCGAGAGTGCGACTGATGGTGCGCGTCATGGTTCCAAAACCCTTGTAGTCAAAATCTTGTACGGGAACGTAATTGAGCTTCTTCCACGAGTCTATGCCTCCCCTACCGTTCGTGGACCAGGCATAAGGCTCAACTTCTGCATCTTTAACAACGGCCTCGTAGCCCTTTTCCCAATCGATTCCATCTTTGAGGCCCTTGAGGTAGGCGTCTGCCAAGACGTTGTCTGCGTTTGAGCCACCCTGGGTATAGCCCGGACAGAGACTCATACGACAGTCAGGCAGCCATCCCAGATGTTCGTAGATGGATATCAGCGAACGGATCTGCTCTGTAAGAGCCGCAGGATCCAGAATAGTCATAAAGGGCATTTGAGATCGGAATAAGTCCCAAATACAATAAAAGGAGTCGTAGTATGGCTCGCCGTCATTCCAGAGAGGATTCTCTCCGGTATAATTTTGAGGATTGACCAGCGTGCGATAGATTCCCGAGTAAAATGACTTGATATAGTCCTCACTAACACCATTACCAGCCTTGATGGTAATAGGGGAAAGCTTCTTGCGCCAGATATCAGCGGCTTCATTGGCATACTTGTCGAGATCCCATTTGGTAATTTCTTTCTCCGCGTTGGAGCACGCTTGAGCACTGCTGATGAAGCTGACACCAGTACGAGCATATATGGGCTCTTGAGCACTGGCGAAGCGGACAAAAGCACCGCCCGGTAACGGGTAGCCATTGATAGAGCGCGAGACTGTCAAATCTTTGACGTCGGAACTGGCGCGCGAGTTCACAAAGATGCCATTGTCATAGATTTCCGCGCCTGAGAAATCTGTGCAAAAGTACAACTTATAGGTGCCGGTACCAAAGCTGGGAACGAAAATGGCATTGCCGGTAAAGCGGCCCGTCTTTCCGTCCACGCTCACGGTGCCATTGTCTTGCCTCGAATTTGAAAGATCCGTCAAGTCTTGCAGGATCAGCGGCTTATCATCAGGGCCTGCATTGGGGAACGTGAACTTGAATAGTGCCGCATGCTGAGACGTTGTCATCTCAACCTTGGGCCCGCTGTTGAGGGTTATTCCAAAGTAGCCCGGCTTCGCGACAACGCTCTCGTTGGAGAAGCTGCCAAACTTGACACGGTCATTCTTAGGAAAAGAACAACCGTCTACTTCGCCGCCTGGGCAAGAAGTATACGGAAATAGTGGGAAATTACCAAGCGACGGCGAGCCTCCAGTGCCAGAGTCGTGCATGACGCTGAACCCGGTGACAGACGAGCCATCCAGAGTAAATCCACCTTGGTTGCTGCCGCTGTTCGTATCGGCTACGGCCTTTGCCATGCCAAACGGAAGAGTAGCTCCTGGGAAAACATTGCCACCATTGCTGCTGCCAATGAGAAGGTCGACATGTGTCAAGGGATCAAACGAGGCGGCCCGAACTTGCGTAGTCGCTGTAAGTCCATAAAGCAGACCAACAGCCTTGACAGCTCGGTTCAAGGTCGCCATACTGCCACTGTCTCTTATTACTATGCTAGCAACAAACCGAGACAGATGGAGAGCGCCCTGCACCAAAGGTGCTGCCATCACGACTCCATATGTATTCCATTGTCTCTGCCGTTGCCAGCAACCCCTCAGATCTCAGCGATCCCCAGTTCAATTCCTTGCGTTACATCGTCCATGTCTTATCACACAAGTTACCAACCGTCGGGCCAACAATGAGAAAAATTCTTTCCGGAATTCATGCCGCAGCTGCATTCTATGCCGTGAGACATTTTGCCGTGGATTTTGATGAGCATGTCTCAGACCAAGAGGGGAGGTGCATTACCACCATTTGCATATGCCGGGTTATACCCCTTGGATAAATTGCTGCAACCCCAGTCGGCCACCATACCGTCACAACGCGTTTCTTGCCCCTCTTTCTCGGAGGCAGCAAAGCTGGAGGAGGGTTTCATAATTGGTGGGGTGCAATAGAGATCTCTTAGATCTGAATCTATGATTTCATCAAGCATTTGGCACAACTGTATTGTTCTAGTAGTTAACTGAAGTTATCATTGAAGCCAAGTCTCTCCTGCTTTGGTCTTCAATCTTAAGAGTCTGGCGGGTAGAATTCATGCGCAGAATCAACTATGACGTGTAACAACACATTGCATGCGGTGCGAGGTAGACATGGTGGAGCTTTTTGTCCTCCAAAAACTATCCGCTGCTTCCACTGGAGATAGCCAGCTGCCCAATTCATATCAAGCGCCCGTGGAACGATCGGGATACGGAACATCGTCTGTAGAAGCGGGGGAAGTTATGTAGTATTCCTTATCATGTTTGGCAAAGATGCCAACGGTTGAAAAAGTGCCTAGGAATGCCGAGACGGGCGCGAGCATGGAGATAACATCCGACTTCGCCCCAGTTTACTCAGTATCACAATCCAAGAGGGTAAGGACATGAAGATCGCACCACCGGTTGGTGATTTCGTATCCGACCCCGCAGTCTTAGTAGCTGTAATACATGCAGGCACTTTGTGATAGCCCCATTGCAGAAACCGGATTGGTTTTGTGAGAAACTCTCCTATTGAGCGATAAGTTTGAGAAAGATGACATCTCCCGGTCCATACAAATATTGCCTTTTGCTTTGCTATTACAAGAGACTCGTACTGTATCATATAGTCTTATTGCAATTTCAACTAGCTTTACATTACATTATCTCATAATTCAGACTTGTTCCTGCAGTGTCATACAGGCCTTGTTCTCATGATGACCCAAGATCATACCGAGTACCACGCAGAGCTTTGGCTGGCCCATTGCCAAGATTAATCTCGTTGAGATTCGTCAGCCCATATGCCTTTCCAGTCCGCCACAGGTAGACTCGGAACCCAATGAATGACAAAGCAACCACTGGCAGCGTTACATAGGAAGCGAAAAAACCAGACACAGAAAATTTGTGAATAAATGCCTGGAACCCATTGAAGAACAGGATGATTGTAAAGAGTACGATGCAAATCCAAGCCATATATGGCTGGGACCATCCTCGGAGATCCAGATTTCTTCTATCGATACCCTGAACTGCCAGGGCACGATAAAACCTGACGAAGCAGGCACAGATGGAGATCCATGCAATCAAACTGCTGAGGGCTAAATTTAAAATGTCAGTCAATAAGCATACAAAGGGTCCTCAGAGATTAGTAATTACCCGACAAGTTTGAAAGCCAAATAAAAGCTTGGGCAGAGCCGTTGGAGACGGAGAGGAAAGCCAACAGTCCAAAGCAGAAAGATACCAGAACGCCCCAAAAGGGTGTGCCCAAGCGGCTGGTCTTGAGAAAGCATTGAGGCATAGATCCTAGGCGGGCAATGTTAGCATCCAGTGATCAGCTGCCACTGAGGCCTTTGAAGCAAGAGTCTTCTTACTTTGTCGAGATAGCGCGAGCAGCGTTCTCGCTACGGCGAAGACGTTTTCGTTACATGATGAGAGTGCAGACGTCAGAACCTGAGCTCAGCTGTGAGTATAAGCCGTCCATGGCCTGAGATTCTTAGCTACTTACCACAGCGTTGATAACACTTGGGAGGACTTTGACGCCGGTTTGCTGGCAGATGACAACGAAAGGCGACGATGCCGCAGTGGAACCGCCCTGGGCGACTGCGTCGAGCAACGCTGGTGAGTGTTGGCTGACATTAAGGGAGATCATCAATACGGTGAGAAGGTACAGTCCAACTATGGGAGAATGTCAGTAGAAATGTCCTTGGTACTCCAGATTCTTCCACTTACCAATTCGATAGAAGACTGTTCTGACCGCCCTTCTCATCGTCTTCCTAGGGTTGTGCGCCTCGCCGGCCAGCACACTGATACCCTCGATACCACCAAAGGCAAAAGCAGCTTGAGTAAGAACTTTCCAGAATCCGAGGAAACGTGAGAGTGAGACCGGCGACAAGTTTGCAAACGAGTCATTGAATGGCTCATCTCGCCAGTAGCGGCCGCCAGTGTATACGCCATTGACGCCGCCAAGATCAGCTATCAAGCCGAATAGGATGAGAGCAATAAGCATCAGCACCTTCATGCAGGCAAACACAAACTCAATCTCGCCAAAGTATTTGACGCCGAGAAGGTTGATGCCGATACTCAGGACCAAAAAGGCCGCGATATATGCTGATACGTGATCCGAGACATGATCCCAGTAGCTGATCATGACGGCGGTAGCTGTAATCTCTGTGGGGATAGCCAGACCAGTCTGTAGGATGTAGTTGATGCCCATCGCGAACCCAGCTTCGGGGGAGATGTACTTGTTGCCCATCTCGATGAAACCGCCAATGTTTGGTGAATAGACGGACCTATAGACTCAAGATTAGCACCACACAAGAATAGCTTGGAACATGTTAGTAACCAGACTTACATTTCACCCAGGCAGTACATCATCATGCCAACCAAGCAGCCGACAATGGTGTAGCCAAGGAAGAAGCCCACAGGCCCGCCATTAACCAATGCAGCACCAGATCCTAGAAATAGACCAGTACCAATAGTTCCGGCGACAGCAATCATGGAAACCTGGCGGGGTTTCTATCGACAATCTCAATCAGTCAAATACTCTTTCGCATCGAAGAAGAGTAGGTAGTATTCAGTGACTTACAAGGTCACGCTTCGTGCCAAACTCTCCCTTGTGAGTCGATTCGGCTTCATTCTGGACATCAGGGTCTGCATAGTCTTCCAACACACCGCTCGTCACTCCAGGGCGGAACGAAGACACGGACTGCAGACCCCTCTCATCCTTCTCATTCAAATCTGGCTGGCCCATGATGATGGCTTTATGGAGGTTAGATCGTTCAGATCCGAGATCCGTCTCAGGTTCTCTGCAGGTTCGCGGGTTCTGCCGTACACAATTGGATACCGGTATAGTCTCGCGCCGTGTCGCTCTTCCCACACGACAGATGTAAGAGGGCAGGGGAGAGAAGAATGACACACACCACCACGATGTACTGGGTGTTCAACAAAGAGATGTAATTGGTGCCAAAGAAGGCTGCTATCACAAGGTTGCATTCGGGAACAGGCTGCACGGCATGGTTCCTTGTTCCTTTTTAATATGCACGTCTATACGCGCTCAAAGACGATGAAGATCATGCCCTCATATACGGTGGGGGGTCGGTCGAGATGATGGTTGAAGAGAGATCCGCCCCACACCCATTCTCGAGATGGAAACAAGCAAGATAAAGAAATATACCTATCATCAGGACAGGAATTTCCCGATGGCCAGCGCAGATAACATGGCAACAATCAGCGACAAATGCCGAACCCAGCTACAGTATGGCTTATCGACGAGGGTGGAGCAACCTGGTGATGGCTAGAAACTCGATGGTTGTTCGTGGGGGCTTTAGTTCATCGAAGAAGGGGAACGAGCTGCTCGTTTCTGACAATGGGGGTATAGACGGGGGTTTCGATTGCAATTCTGGCTCTCCTCCCCCGCATTCTTGAGCTTCTTCTGTGGGGTTGAAGACCGGATAATGTGCCTTCAGAGTCGACTACAAGTACGTGTATCTCTCTCAAATACGGGACTAGCAGCGTATCTGTATTCATAGCCGTTTATCAGAGCCCAAGGCACTTTCAAGAAGACGTCCTTTCATCCCCCACGTATCGAGCGCAATAGAGTTCTCACGGATGTTCTGGCAGAAGAAATCCTGATTCTGATGATGAACATGGCGACTTGCCTCCGCCTCGTTTGCACAGTGTCGCCGCCATGGCAAAACGCTTCAGAGCTGAGGGGAAGCGCCAGCGTCGAAAGCCGACGCTCAATGGTTCGATAACCCGCGGGGACGCCGGATCTCGCTCATAGGCTGCAAGTCGCGCCGTCGGATATAAAATCTTGCGACTCGTGACGGCAATTGCATGGGTGCAGTTCGTATCTAAATGATAAGGGATCTGTGGCTAGCCAGGCGATGTGGAACTCGGTCAGCAATCATTGCATGTAGCGTCCTCTCTCGACCTATGTCTTTGTTTATTTGACGGCCAGGCAAATGTATCGTGTCACATTGAAGATTCCATGTGTAAGGATGCAGAACAATGAGCTCCTTCGAGGTATTGTTTTAGCTACCGACTGTGCCGGGTGATGTAAACTCATCAATGGCCGAACGGTGCTCTCAAGCTGGAGCTTCGCCCTTCACCATAAAACTCATTCGCCTCCTACAGTACGCATTAAGGAGACCAAGCCAATGAGAAGCTTTTGACCAAACAAGTGCAATCGCACCACCCATCAGTAGTCTGTACCACGTGTGAATTACGTGCTGGTATTTCTAGAAAGCTGCACACACGCATGCCATCGTACCCATTGACCTATTAGGTTCGAGTGTTGCGGCCCTCGATGCGGCATGCCTTCACTAGATCGCGCCACCAATCTATTGAAGATTCAAAGGCTGGCTTCAATACAAGACCCCCACTGAAGCCTTTACCGACAAGATGAAGATAATGGGTATGAACCAGAGATACGAGTGTACCTACGGGGGTCAAAGCTGAGAGAATATGCGGTAGATGAGTTTTTACATATGGAATGCAACCAATATTACTCAATATTGTACTATCATCCCATATACAGAATATTCATATTGCCTATCCACTTGACGTGTAAGTGCATATTGGCAAAGGTTTCTATGTCACTCGTTCAAACTGCCGTTCTACGCTTGTTTGTTTAACCGCGTAAGATTGGTTTCCAATCATGCTATTGAGACATGCCGGCTCGAATCGTATCAGTCAGACATGAAATTGAAGACAGGCACCCACACGATAAGCTACCTCAATGTATTGCTACAATGAAAACCGGACATACATCAAATCTCGCCCAAAACGATTCAATACATTCCCACGCAAGAATTCTGAATACAATCCCACGCAATAGGATTGAGTTTCCTGAATGCAGAGTCAAACTGCACAATTTTCGACTCCCACTGGTTATTTCCTCTGTACCGCCTACCAAATAAAGTAGCCTTGCCGCTCTCGAAATCAGGTAGCGCTACATTGACATTGTTGAAGCGCTGGGATGCTGGGATGGTTGGCAATATTTCCGCTACCGACGGGTCTGGCAAGTAGCAGCTCGGCTTGATCTCAATCCCTTCATACATGCCCTCCTCTTCTATCTCAATCAACAGATCGCCCATGTTAATAACTGTGAATCCATCCCAGGCACCTTCACGATGCGGAACTTCTTTCAGCAACTCGAGGATCATCCTGCGAAGGTTTGGCTGGCGGCATTTAGCCAGCGCGTAATATAATGGCGGTATGAAACCCATGTCGATGGTGAAGTTGATGTCTGGTCTGCTAGTGCCTCTCAAACCAAAAGATTTCTTCATTGCGGTACGCATCAAGTCCCACAGGTCAGCCGACTGCTTGATCAGGAGGGAGAAATCCGGCAGATATCGGTCGTATATCATTTCGTCTGTCCCACGCAGGGCAGTGGCGGCCATGATTCTCGTCATAGTGTGATATAGAAGCAACATAGGTATGGCAAATTTGGTGCGAAAGTCCGCTCGACTGGTCAACTTTTCGTGGCTGAAGTCCAAAGCACGAAGCCATCTCATCAAGGCCGCCTCCAGGCGTCCTTGGTCCTCGTAAAGCCTTTCCGGGATAAATTGTCCGCCCAGAATCAGCTGACTTGCCTGTTCCCCTAGGATATGCGATCCGTTGATCAGGGCATCCATATACTTCCGTGCTTCGAGGAGAGATGAGAACGTCTGGGGAATATCGTACGTTCTCGGTGACTCTGCACTATCTCCCACAAAAAGCAAGTATGAAGAGACTTGGCCAAAAAGCGCAACTTGCACATTGAGCCGTGAGAAGACTTCGACAAGAGTATCCTCGACCGATACTGCTTGTGATCGCAGAATAATATCTCCGTCAGAGGCGACTCCCTCGCGCTGCTGGATCTCACGAAGTATACGGAGGCCATTGGTCAGGTGTGCATGGCCTGCTTTGAAGCCCCCTCTCAACAGCTCAATGCATACAAATAGCATACAAGTGATGAGGCACACCCGGAGAGCCTCTTTGTCTGAACGATGGAGACTCCGTCGCAAGTGCCGGATGGCTTCGTTGTATTCGGTCAGTGAGATGCGCTCCTCATTCTTGTGAGCCGCCCCCAAGGCCGTGACCGCATGCAGGACAGCCGGCTCCTGTTCGCTTGCTTGCAGCACTAAACAATCCCAGAAGCCCGATTCGAACAGACCGGGAAGCTTAGTGGTGGTATATCTCCGAAAGTACTCAAACCCGAGACTTGCGGGCTTACCCGCGATCGCGCGTGTCTGCGACATGACGACAATGTTCCGCAGGGGCTGCATCTGATTCCTGCGGACTAGAGAGGAAGAGGAAACAAACGGAACCTTGACAGAGCTTCCGCAGGCATTCCCTCCGCCCCCCCATATGCCGTACCCGTCACAGACCCGACCAGTCGAGACACATCTGTAGCAGGCCGGTCTCCCCTCATCACACTTGACACGCCGCTTCCTACACCCGATTTGTTAGTTTCAAACAGTAAGATGATCATCAGGATGCGCTATGGTTGATGATAGAACGTATTATGCATACTTGCAAGTCTGACACCCCGTCTTCACTCTCCTCCTCCCCTTTCGGATGGGAGCATCTTGGGGCATATTATCGAGCTTCTCTGTTGGTATGCCAGTTTTTCAACTAGTTTGTCTAGATAATGTCTGTCCAGCTGTCTATTTCTTTATAAAGTCCGGTTAGATGGAGGTATCCAGCATTGATGAAGGGGAGTAAATAAGAGTCGGTTCTGGAGATGCTTCAGAGATCCGGACTCTCATCTGATAGTGGGGCCGTCCCGGCTCGGCTGCTTTGCTCATCACAGATTTCCCCAATTTAGTTGATGGAGTCACAGAATGTTTTGTTCATTGGCTCGCTCGCAAAGTCTGACACTTGATTGGCTAGAGTCGGGCAGATTGGTTGCCGTGTCGTCTCAGTTCGCTTCATGCTCAGCAAAGCAAAGCAAGGCTCACAACTCAACTCAACTCAACTCAACACAGAGCCAAAATACGAAGGTGTTGTACGTTTTCATAGATGTATCAATTATGAGTGAAGTCGCTATTGCTCCTGATTATGCATGCACATCTTCCATCTCTTTATCTCTCGCCGCCCCTCAGAGCAAACCCTTGCCGCCAAGCTCCGACTCAGTCCACTGCCACAGCTTCTCAGCCAACTTCGCGTCTCGAGCCTGCTCACTCGGTGTCCCGATCTTTGCATATGGCACGACATAGGCCCCCGAATCCGACTTCTTGAAGTCGCTGCTGGCGATGGCAAAGAGCGAGGACCAGGCGCCCTTCTCTTGCTTATCAAGGATCCCGAGGCAGCTCATGATGGGAGTAGCAATTCGCAAGATGGGTGCAGGTGCAGTCCCCGTGGCTTGTTTATTCAGATCGCTACACTCCTGTTAGCTTCCAAATGCACCTTCAGTCGTTGGAACTTACGTGTTAATGTGGCCGGGATGCACTGCTGAAAACCAAATCGCTGCATCGCCAGATTCCGCAGAAACAGGGCCGTATCGTTTGTTCAGCTGCACTGTATGCAAGACATTTGCCAGTTTGCTCTGGCCATATCTCATCATGGAATTTTCCTTCTCTAATCCAGTGTCTTCGAACCGAATTCCGCTCGGAGGCGTAAACCTTGCGTGTCCGTCCGATGTCAAGTTGACCAAGCGGACAGTTCCTTCAGGCTTCGACTGAGCGGTAGATTGAAGAAGTGGCATCAGATGATGGGTGAGCAACCAATGGGACAAGTAATTGGTCTAAATCATTCTTGTTAGCCTCATACACCTCTCTATAGCAAGAGAACAGCAGCTGATTTCGCAGCCTAAACAGTATGAGCATACCTGCCATTGAGCCTCATATCCATCGACGGTCAGAGAGTAAGGCACGCCCATAATGCCAGCATTGTTGATAAGTCCATGCAATGCGGGTTCATCTTCGCGTATCTTCTTCGCAGCCGCGATGACACTCTGGAAATTGGATAGGTCGAGGTCAAGAAAAAGAATATTCGCAGATGGTAGCTGTTCTTGTATTTCGTGAATAGCCGCCATCGCCTTATCCTTGCTGCGCGCGCCCATATACACTTTGGCACCACGGGCTGCCAAGCCAATCACAGTCTCCTTACCACTAGGTAGTATTGTTACTAAATCGATTGTAGGAGGAATTATACATGTTAAACGGCTGACTTACATGCCGGCATTGCCGCCGGTAACAATATAGACTCGCCCTGCAAGATCAGGAATTGATTCAGGTGAAAACTTGGAATGAGGCATTGTGGATGTTGTTAGTGATCGCGTAAAGAATACGTAGGTAAGAGGTCTTGCTAGAAGTCTGCTATTAAACGATTCTTGCTGCTTATGCTAATTCTTCTTCAGCAACAATTGTCGCTGGGAAGCTGTTATTTATATTCTCTGCCATCGCGATGATAGTAAGGGGCTCAGTTGTGAAGTCGCACAGCAACAGTACATCCTCAGTCTATTGTCCGCTCCGCCTGTTTCCATCGAGTAAACTCACACTCCGCAATAACACTCGTAGATGTGAGGCACAACATGAGAAAGCCTTGGAGCACCAGTTTTGGTACAGTGCGCTGATGGTTGCTGACAGTTTCTTTCCCGGTATAGCGTGCTGACTGTCGTGAGTGACTAAGGTCGTTTTGATGTCCATCTCAACCAGCAGATGTTGATCCGGTCGCATTCTTGTTTCTCCGCAAGCCCGCCAAGTGGATGGATGGACATAGGCGGCCGTGCGGCCGCTTTGCCTTGTAAACTCCGTACGAATATCCGCACATTGTGAACAGGATGAGTTGCACTAGGCTACAAACATGCAGATAATTCCACAACATGTCCGCCCATTCAGGCACCGCGGTCTGTTCTACGAGTATATAGTTGGAACTTATAGCTTCACGATAATTTCGTACTTGCCTTGATTGTGCAAATAGCAGTGGCCAAAGCAGCATCTCATGTGCGAGATTGCCAAAGTCCTAGTCTCGGAATCCATTTTTAAAACGCTCATCAGGTTATTTTCCCACCTACTATGGAAGAATTTATATCTTAATATATCTATCGGAAGCCGTATAGACAGACTGAGGCCGTCAGTTGGAACGAACTATACGTCAACGCTAGAAGAGGAAAAGTCGCGAATTTTCTATGCTGCTAATGATGAAGAAAAGGGAATTCCAATTCCAAGACGCAAATAAGGAATCGATTGGTCATATGACTTTTTGGGAAGAGTGCAGTTCGTAAGCCACATCTATTGGAGCAGCGAGTTTAGAAGCTTTCATGAGTTTCTTAAGATGGGGCTTCGCGTTCTCTACTTGACTGTCAACGAGAACTGTCGAACCAATTGAGGATAGCAACAGAATAGCCCAAAAATAATCTCAGATTTATTCAATTCTATTTAAATTAAAGCGCAACATTAACATTTTGTCATTAGAACGGGTGGTTATGGACCGAATGCAACCTACCAAAATCCTCACCACGGAACCAGTGGTCAGATCGTCTAATTAAAGTTATTGAGCAACACCAATACATCATAGCGAAAAAGACCGTTGATAGGATATTGAAGATTACTTGCCAGAAACCGCAAGAGAGGCTCCATTAATAGAGCCACAAGGCGTATGCGAAAAAGAGGAGACCGGACATGATCAGCATAGAAACGGACAACCCACACATATCCGCCACACTAAACTCATCTAGCACGGAGATCGTACTCTCCCCATGGATGCATAGTTTCATTTTGTGGCCTCAAGTTTTTGTTTTGCAAATCGCCCGAGCCCCTCGGCGGCCCAGAGGCGAGAGACTTGTATGCATGTCAGCAGAGTGAATGAGAGGCTTCCATATCGTGAAAGACTCATGAGTAAATGATGCATATTGACTCGCATACAATATAATCCATGAGAACCATAAACAATAGATTGGCTTTTCAGATTATCAGTAAGTAAATCATTCTTTAATCTGAGCTGCATAACTCTTCTATGAGGGTCTTCCTAAGATGTTGCCCGGTTCTTCTGCCGCTTGTAGTATAGCCCTATAGTCGATCACACTTAAAACTTGGAGTAATCCAGGCCGTTCGGATAGTATAGAATCTGACATACGTCAGGTATAACATCAATTTCTAATACATTCTCCCTTTTCTTAGCTGATGGAATATTGTTTCGTCCGTAACTCGTCCGTATCACTTTCCATATGATCCGTGTAGGGTCAAACTCATCGCTCGTCCGGTATTCGTCCTCGTTCTTCCATTCATTAAACGTACATTCCATTATTCGTCCGGGTCTCATCCATACTTCATTCACACCGCGGCAAAATAGAATCGGGGGCGGACGAAGTGCCGGACCAAAGAGGAGGAGCAAGATATTACGACGCACGCCTTCTACCATATAGTATTATGTTAAGCACATCTGGTCGGGAAACGGCGGAACAAATTATTGACTGGAGATTCGACAATGTAACCTTTTCATCGGCCACTCATAGAAACTAGGCACTACATCATCCAAACGATCAAGGCGTATATGAGATACGCCATGTCCGTCCCACTGATGATGCAACATGGTGCTGTCCGTCTCCATGGCATTTTAGCAACGGACCCCATGGACTATAGGGGATTTCCATTTTAAGCAGTATAATTAGTTAGAAATTGGGTTAATCCCAAGCCGTTCATTCGGTGAATCAGGCTGTCTGCCGAGCCGTCTTCAGACATGACTTATCCCTCAGGCAGGAATGGCACATTACTGACTCGGTCTGAGAATCTTGCAGACATATTCAACATATATTCGCAATATATTACAATTATGCAGTATTGTGGAATAATTGTGTAGTATTTAGTTCCTAAATGCTAGGAACGTTTAGGTATAAGACCTACTACAACCAGATCTTCATATACATCTCATAACCCGAACACGAGAAGGGAGGTACTTATAAGAAGCACTCAACAAGCCTAAACGTACTTTTCAAAGCATGCTACTCGTATCCAGCCATTATTCCTCATCTTATATTCCTTCTTCCTTTGATCATTCTTCTATCTATCATAGACAACATCTTCTTTCAGGAAAAGAATGCATACCCTCAGAATGGCCACTCCAGAAACAAAACTCTTCATCAACGGCGAATTCGTTCCCAGCATTTCCGGCAAGACATTTCCAATCTTCAATCCTACAACCGAAGAAAAGATTGTCGACGTGTTTGAAGCCAATGCTGCCGACGTTGACGCTGCCGTCACTGCTGCCGAAAACGCATTTCCGGCCTGGAAAAGCCTCTCCGCACATGACCGTATCGACAAGTGCTTAAAATTTGCCGAACTTATCGAGAGAGATCAGCTCGAGATTGCCAAACTCGATGCTGAGAATATCGGCATGCCCGTGTCGGTAAATCATCTTTTCATTCAGAGAGCAATTCGAGACATCAAGCATACATCTGGATTAGCCCATGATGTGCATGGAGAAACTAGCCTGAACACACCTGGGCAGATCAATATTACCTTGAGGCAGCCTTATGGGGTATGTGCCGCCATTCTTGCTTGGAACGCGCCAGTCGTGATATTCACCGCCAAGGTCATTCCATGTATTGTGGCAGGCAACACAATCATCGTCAAGTCATCGGAGAAAGCTCCTCTCTCTTCTCTTAAACTGGGAGCACTGGCAGCCGAAGCCGGGTTCCCTCCAGGAGTTATTAATATACTTTCTGGATTCGGCCATACCGTTGGCGCAGCCTTGTCCAGCCATATGAAGATTCGCAAGCTTACATTTACCGGCTCTACTCGTGCAGGCAAGCTCATTCAAGAGGCTGCCGCAAAGTCAAATCTAAAATCCGTTGCACTTGAAATGGGAGGCAAAAACCCACTGATTGTTTTCCCCGACTGCGACGTTGAAGAGGCCGCAGGCTCTGCTGCTGCCAGCTTGAAGTTTAACTCGGGTCAAATCTGTGTCTCTAATTCACGAATCTATGCCCATAAAGACATTTTCCCAAAGTTCCTCAAAGCCTTCAGTGAAAAGTTCGTGGAGCCCGAGTTTGGAAGCCCGCTAGAGCCCACCACTTCTTTCGGTCCGCAAGCCGACAAACTACAATTTGACCAAATCTTGAAATATATTGAGCAGGCCAAATCCGCAGGCGCAAATCTAATTGCTGGAGGTGGTCGTGCCACCGGCAAGGGATATTACATCCAGCCAACGGTCTTTGCAAAAGTCCCCGCCACGGCCGACATCTTGCACGAGGAAATCTTTGGCCCGGTAGCTGTGATTCAAGAGTTTGAAACAGAAGAAGAGGTGATCACAGAGTGTAACGAGACTGAATATGGCCTACACGCTGGCCTTTACACAAAAGACATCTCACGCGCATGTCGAGTAGCGACAGCATTGGAGACGGGAGTCGTCACAGTGAATTCTGGTGGCGGCGCTGGCGCCTATGACATGCCTTTTGGCGGCTGGAAACAGTCTGGTAATGGCAGAGAATTGGGCAAGTTGGGCCTTGAAGAATTTTACGAGATTAAAACGGTTATCATCACATTGTAGGTAGCACCACGAACGAGCTCTAGGCTTTCAAATCAAGACCAAACTGTGGAGATGGATAAGAGATCGTGTTCGATAGAAAGCCAAAGGAACTCAACCGTGCGCACGAATATGCTTGCATTCATCTAAAGTGCTGACAATATTTTGTACCAAATCTCTAGCCTTCATTCAAATAGCGGCTCATCCATAACGTACTTGAACACCGTCTTCTCTAAACCAGTCATCCGCTACGGCTTCATCACTGGAAGCATAGTTAACAATGATGCTCTTCGTCGTGGTATATGCATAATATGCCTCGACACCATTCTCACTTCCAACTCCGCTCGCACTAGAAGCTCCTCCCCACGGACTGCTCGGATCGTTTCGATGGTGTGTGTTGACCCAGACAATACCGGACTCAATTTGTTCAGACACTCTGAAAGCTTGACTTAGGTCATCAGTCCACAATGCCGCTCCTAGGCCAAATTCGCTATCGTTGGCGAGCTCCAGAGCTTCTTGCTCGCTTTCAAATCCAACCAGAAGAATGACAGGCCCAAAGGCCTCCTCACGCCAGATGTTAGTCTTAGTGATGTCGCATGCTGGACCAGAAGCCAAGATTGTTGGAGGGTAGAAATAGCCTTCGCCAAAATTGGTGGCATCGAGTTCAGATTTGCCAGTCATCCTCTTACCGCCACAAACAATCTTTGCACCATTGGTAACAGCATCATCCACAAGTTTCACGACATTGCCAAGTTGCTTAGACGATATCAGAGGACCCATAGAAGACTTGGGATTTGTAGGTGCGCCCATCCGTCGTGCTATTGATTCAGCTTTGTGGGCAAGTCTCTCCTCCACGGTCGCCAAGATACTCTTGTGGACAATGATTCGGGTTGCTGCAACACAGGTCTGACCGCTTGCAATAAACGATCCGAAAGCAACGCCATGGACGGCCAAGTCAATGTTTGCCTTGTCGAATATGATTAAGGGTGCCTTTCCTCCCAGTTCTGCGGTGAGCCGTGCCAAATTATTACCAACAATAGAGCCAATTGCTCTTCCAGCAACAGTTCCTCCAGTGATGTCCACCTTCCGCACAAGAGGGTGGCTCACAAGCGCACGTCCAGTCGTAGCTCCGAGACCGGGTAACACGTTGAAGACACCATCTGGCAATCCTGCCTCTTTCAATATCGGTCCCAGCAGCAAGCTAGTCAACGGTGTAAGCTCACTGGGCTTCAATATTACGCTATTTCCAGCGGCTAGAGCGGGTGCAAGCTTCTTGACTGCAATGAGAAGCGGGTGATTAAACGGCGTGATCTGGACAACGACGCCAAGTGGCACCCGATCCAGCCAGTTGTGTAGCTTCCCCTGAGTTGGCAAGACAGGACGCTCTTCAGTACGGAGAACGGCAGCGTAGTAGCGGAACCATCGAACAAGAGATGGAACTTGAGCTTGCATCTCTCGGATTGCGCGTCCCGTCTGCTCGACCTCCAATGGGATCAGCGTGGCGAGGTTCGAAGTGAGAAGCTCAGCGGCCTTGTCCAGCACGTCTGCTCGTGTATGTCGAGGCGCCTTGGACCAAGCCCCGGATTTGAAGACAGTATGAGCAAGTTGGACGGTATCATCCACATCTTTGGGTGACGCAGAATGGCATCTAACCAGCGACTTGGAGTGAGTACTAAACAATTCTTCCAAGGAATGAAAACACTTACTCTGCGAATACGTTCGTTGTAGCTGGATTCTCAACAGGTATCCTATGCAACCACAGTCAGATTCATCCTGAGAGCGGCTTTAGGCGAAGAGTAACATACAGATCACCAGTACCAGCCACTTCACCGCCCCCAACCCACAGCAAATAGGATTTTGACATTTCAAATGATTATTCCGTCAATATATAGAATTCAACAGTTACACACAACTATTGCCGCATATAAGAGATAGATGCTTAAAATAAAGGTGGTTGAGCTTATCAGAGATGCGCAATCAGTGCGGGGAGATGCATGATATCAATCATCACGTGTCGTCATCGCGCAAGTATTACAGATTCGGACTGAGGATCAGTTATAAATAGCTTCTCAAAGATACTCATGAAATTTCACTAAATCAATTGAAACGAAGTATACACCGTTTGCCAACCATCATGAAACAGGCATTCTCAATCCCGAAACAAACCAGATGATGAGCGAATATGTACTTTGACTCGGAAATCGGCTTCACTCACCCGAATACGAAGCACAAGAGTCAACCACTGTGATTCAGGTGTGAGACCAGCAGGGCAGTAAATATAAGCCTCACTTACAACGTACTTGGCTACTATTAGTCTGTTTTTATTTTACGGATATATACTACCGATTCATTTATTCGGACCAGGACGTCAAGAGCTGCAACAGACACAAGATTTCCTCCCAATCAGCGCATTTCCTCCCAAGCTGAAGCTACTCGACAAAAGTCTCCATGAATACATGTATCCTCACATTGTCAGTGCGACACCATTCGTACTCCAAAAATCACACCGCTGCTTCAAGCCTGAGTCAACGGGGATCATCTCCGCCTTGCCTCCAGTCTGGAACGTGAGACGGCTTTGAGCCCTATCAGACCACGCCTTCCACTGGGGGTATTTGCTGGTGGAATAGATGTTTTTGCCATTGGGGTTGTAGTACTTGATAAAGTTGAGCCAGTAGTGCTGTATCGTAGGCGAAGCAGCAGCGTTGATCTGGCCATCCTGATAACTCGCCGGCGCGCCGTCGACGTAGTTGGCGCCCCAGAGAGCGTTCAGTTCGACGGTGTGAGGAACACCCAACCCAGAGGCCACTTGGTCAGGATCCTCGACGTTCCATCGATAGACCCAAGAATCCTTCCCGTGTTTGTTCACGACAGAGCTGATGTACATGCCAGGACACATGTAACGAGCCTCTTGGTAGACGTTGCTGGCATGTCTCCAGTAGCAGCCAACAGCAGGGCAACTCGTATTCGGGTTGGGATACATCTCGTTAATCTGCCCAAGCATCTCCAGAGTGAGCACAGGATATTGATCCAATACATAGCTGTTGCTCTGCTGGAGGGTGGCGGTGTCTTTGGGGGCAAACTTGGTGCCTCCGTTGCTGTCGTCGCCATAGATGGTTGGCACCTTGATAAACTTTCCTTTTTGAAATACTCTGTATGTGAAATCCTGTACGAATTCTTGGTCCAGAACAGGGAGCCACATATAGTTGGGTGGGTTGGCCGCTCCAGGAAGAGGAATGTTGAAGTTATTTGTCTGAAGCTCCACCGCCGTCTTATTGCGCATGCAAGCCAGGTTGTCTCTGCCAACACAGCCCACACGAGTTGCAAACTGAGTGTACATGTATTGAGATTGAGCCACCGTGAGAGTCGTCGCGAATGAGGGGGACTCTGCAATTGCAGCATTGAAAAGGCCTCGGTTGGTCCCATTATTGGCAGTAAGGTGGTATGTCACACTGGCTGCGCCAGCACTGCTTCCTCCCAGAGTGACATGGTTTGGGTCGCCACCGAATCGAGAAATGTACTTTTGCACCCATTCCAACACCTTGCGCTGGTCCCGAAGGCCGTTGTTGGGGAGGATTTTATCACTGTCCGTCATGAAGCCGTACGGGCCAACACGGTAGTTGAGGCTCACAACGACGATATCGTAGCCGCTGTTGATGATCAAGCCAGAGGCATTGGTGTTGGGGTTTGAGTTGAGGTTGAAGCCACCGCCTTGAATATAGAGGAAAACGGGGAGTTTCGAGTGAGCTGTGGCTCGAGTCGGGGCCTGGACATCCAAGAACAAACAGTCTTCTGACGTAGACTTGGCTGTGGGCGTACCACCAGTCGCAAGACAGTATTTCCCATGCTATATTGAGTGTTAATCGGGACATTCATCAACACTAAATCATTCTGGCACAGGCACTGACCTGAGTAGCGTCTTGAATACCCTCAGTACGGAGAGGATCTTGTGGAGGAGCAAACCGCAACTCGCCCAATGGCGGTGCAGCATATCTAATCCCCAGCCATTGGCTCACGCCATTTGGAAGTGCCTGTCCTTTATACACAGAGTATCCAACATCCACAGTTTCCTGGACAGCTCCCGCTATTGATAGCAGGAGAGTGGACGCGAGAAGACTTTGTGCCAACATTTTTACCAGCTGGGTACTGAAGTGAGGAGGCTCCAATGTAAAATTCAGCTCCTAGACGCGATGCTACCTCGCTATATATACTTACACGAGGCCTGCCAGACATTCGATGCAGAACCCCAGATTATCCTCTATCCACTCTTTGGCCACCAATCGGTCGCTTGCGCTCCCAGTTTGCTCCCCTTGCAGCTTCTCTCCGGCCATACTCTCCGACCCCAGCATACGGCTAGAAAAAACTGAACGTCCGGAAGAAGGCCGATATGGAGTTTGTGGGGAAGGCCAAGATCGTTTTTGCGGGGGAGATTGGGATCAAAGCGCGGGGAATTTATATGACATGGATGGTTTGCGGACCAAGTCGGGCAGAGCGTTGGATGAAAGATGGAAGCCTTGAGTAGAGAGGAGAATAGTGGTGACATACTCCAACATCCGAGGAGAGATACACCAAGTATCGGAAGGGAGAGATGCCCAATTGTTCAGCCTGACACGAGGTAAACGGCTGTTGACTTCCGGCATCTCCAAGACATAGACCCGCTACTGTAGTCACCCTTCTCACCTCCTGTGGAGACGAACTTGGGGTTGTACAACTTGGAATATTACCAGAATTAGCGGGCATTCCCCCATTAGGCAGCTCATCCAGCTGCCGCTCCGTCATACCGTGGGTCGGTTGGAGTCACGAAGCAAGTTCGGGATGCTTGTGATTTAAGGTCTAGCTCACTGATTTAGTCAGTATGCTTAAAGCATAGAGTTGAAGTAATTTGTCTTCTCTTATTCAAACATAGAATGGATGAGACATTTAATCATACTAGCGGTAAACAGAGTACAAACGGAGGTGCTCATGCCCCGAATACCGGTTTGTACTGAGACAGTTTGTTATGAACCAAGCTGAGACATGCATGGTATTACGGAGCACTGATCTTAATTTAGAAAGCAAAAGCGACCGTTTAGTGATCTAAGCCTGTAGCACATACATATGATGCCATATTAATGCTGATCTCTCCAGCTCGGATACTCCTTACACTTTCACCGCTAACAATATGGAAGTCGTAGACGGGATCCGGCATTTCGAGATATATGGTTGAACCATGTACATGGGCTGAGCCATTAGATACCACTGATACTGTTACACTTAGGCCAAGCCTGTTTGCTGGCCCATCTTGAGGTAGTAGATCGTAAAGGATAAACAGGATATCTCTAGCGGAACGATGAGGAAAGGCACCTTGAAGACTAGATTTCTGCCAAGACGTTGGATTGTTAGACCGGTTCCAAGTTTCTCCAACAATATAATTGCCGAATAAACCGAATCGACCGAACCAACCGAGTTTGCCAGCCAATGGTAAGACACCACCCTCGGAACGCCAGATGCGGAGGGGAAAAAAAGATGTTGCCTAGCGTTACCTCGTGGGTTGCAGTTCCAACGTTGCGTAGCGTGATGAGTGCCAAGCTGTTCTACTCCTCCTCGTAATCCCAGACACCACGCGAGATTCTAGCTGTGCTGCGACGTTAGCATGGGGATCAGCACAAGAAGAATACCAATGATGGGTCTAGTAGATGTAAATAAATCTAGTAGACGTAGACAGATTTATATTAGAGGTATCGTCAGAATGGACAAACAAAATACAGACACGGTCTACTAAGGGGTGGCATTGGTGTAATTAGTACATATCACGACTACAGACAAATATACAGCCATCCGGATCATTTTCGAACCCCACGGCCTAGACTGCATATCGATCAGTCGCATCATGCGCAGGACGATACACGAAATAGTCAAACGTGGCCTTCTTCTCCGTCCCATTCAAATCCGAGCAAGCAACGCCGACAAAAGACCCGGTGAAGCTCCCATGAGCCTGGTGTCCACCACACTCATCCGACACAATCGAGGCGTCCAGCACAGGTCCAATCTTCCGTAGCTCTCCTTGCTGTTGGCCGTCGTCGCCGGCAACAAGAGCGTAATAGAATTGCAGCTCGCTCCCGCGAATGGAGGCCACCAGCTTGACTTTCCCCTCGGCGGGAAGACTTACGAAATAGGCATTCTCCCCAACATCAGTCAGCTTGCCATCGGGCCAGGATGCCTCTGATCTCATGATTTGGATTTCGCGCTGGCCGTCTGAATGTGCTGACACGGCGAGGTAAAAGAAATTGTACCGGCAATAGTACAGCGTCAAACCAGCAAACTGGCGCTCGTCTTCGGGCGAAAAGTCGATGACCGTTTCAGCGTCGAAAGAGAAGTGCGTCTGCCTCCGAGCCACCAGAGACTGCTCGTACCAGGAGCCAATGGATTCTCTTCCTGTAAGTACAAGCTTGCCATTCTCGAATGCAAATAGCCTCTCCGGCTCTGGCGTCCGCAGCCATTGGAAGTCTTTATGAAGCCCATCCCGGAACTCATACCGTATCTCTTTCCAGTAGGCATCCTCATCTCGCGTCCCTGGTACTTCGACATCCAAGGACGGAACTGGGCCATTCTTGACGTACAGCCAGTCGTCTTCACCCCAGTATGCTTCCTGCAAAGCCGTCTCTCGCCCCAACACGCATCTCCGCTTCTGTCCAATTGGTCGACCAGCAAGATGCACCAGATATGTCTTTCCATCGGGAGTGTCTACGAAATCAGCGTGCCCAGCTCTCTGGAGTGCCGTAAACGGGTGGTCCCTAGAAGATACGATATACTTTTGCGGATGAAGCTCATAGGGGCCCCAGATGCTTCTCGACCGTGCAAGCGTCGCAGCATGGGTATATCCCGTGCCACCTTCGGCCGTCAAGAGATAATACCATCCGTTTCTCTTATACAGATGGGGGCCCTCTACCAAGTCAAGTTCTGTGCCGTGGAAGATAATCTTCCTAGGGCCGACTAGCTTGCTTTGGACCGGATCGAACTCTTGCAGTGCGATTCCCGAAAACGTTCTCGGTCTCCCTCGGTGGTCCTGGGTCATGTTGACGAACCACTTGCGGCCATCATCGTCGTGATATAGAGAAGGGTCGAATCCGGACGAGTTGGCGTAGATGGGGTCAGACCAGGGACCTTCAATCGCCGGCGCCGTCACAATGTAGTTGTGCGTGTCCTTGAACGATCCATCCTTGCGCTTCACATCTGTATACACGAGCCAGAACTTCTCTCCGTCGTGTGTCAAGCACGGCGCCCACACGCCGCAGCTGTCCGGCTCGCCGCGCAAATCAATCTGACTCCGCCGGCTCAGCGGACGGACAACAAGGTCCCAGTTTGCCAGGTCCTTGGAATGGTGTATCTGAACCCCTGGATACCACTCAAACGTCGATGTGGCGATGTAGTAGTCCGTGCCGACCCTCACAATGGAAGGGTCAGCGTTGAACCCTGGCAAGATTGGGTTGCGAACCAATGGCATGGCGAATATGTATGTTGTTCAGCCGTCGACTATCCTATCTTTCCATTATCCAGATCGTATTTCATCAGATTCCTTTTCTAGTTTTCAACCACACCGAATTCATCTTGTATTTCTTCTTTCCTCTCCATGCGCAGGCGAAATCGGCGCCATGAGGAGAAGCTCTCCAACTTAGCCGTGTGGGGAAGCCTCTAATCAGCCTGAAAGCTGAATCTCCGCATGAAAGCGGCGCCTCCATAGCTTAGTCTTCATAGTCGTAAGATGAACAGCACCAAGCCTCGAATCCTCTTTAATACGAACTGATGCTAATACGAAGATGATTCCCAAGACTCTTGGCCAATAGACACGAGATCCCCCACCTTTGAACGCTTCGTATTTATCCGGGAGCTGGCATGGAGCGCATGATAGTTGAACCACGGTGCGAGCTAAACTAGGAATTACGGTAATATCGGTCACCATATAAGCTTAATTCGAAGTCATCCACTCTCCTTTGATACTGTAAAGCATCCGTTTTCAATGTATTTGGCTATCATGCACAATCTCTAGCCCACTCGAAGCTCCATTAACATTACTATAAGGTCTCGCATCTTATTAGTTGTAATATACTCCACCAAGAGATTCAGAAATGCGCCCTACTCTGAGTCTGCAAATGTGGCAATGTCCTCGTACCGACCAACCTTTATGACTCTCCCATCCGCAACCCAAGCAACCATATCCTTCTCTGGTCTCATTCTTCCCACAAGCCCGCTAAGTCGATGAGCTACAATGACGGCCGTATATCCTGCCTGTATGAATTCACTCTCCAAAACATCGTAAATGGCCGCCTCTGTAGCCGAGTCAAGCGACGAAGTGGCCTCGTCCAAGAGGAGAAGCGGCTTGGGCGTATCAACACCAGGATAATCCGACTTAGCTAAAGCATGCTTACGGACTATGGCACGAGCCATAGCAAGCAGCTGTTGCTGTCCCACGGATAATACGGGCAGTGTGGAGAATTCGCTGTTCAGTACTTCTGCCGATGTGTCACTCCTGCTCGAAAAAGACGACCAGATGCCCACCTTTTGCAGGGCCATCTGAAGTACTTCATCGGAAACGATGGAATGGGGGTCTAGGTTGAATCGCAAGGTAGCTTGTGGTATCAAGAATGGCTCTTGAGTGATGGTTATGAAACATTTCTGTCGCACGATTGACCTAGGGGTGCGAAGCAGGTCTTGTCCGTCCACATTGACTACTCCAGTGCCATCGATCAAGCGCAGCAAAACAGCGAGGATTGTACTCTTCCCACTAATGCTGACTGTCAGCCGTCAAGGGACGAGAAATGAGTATTGTGAGGTTCTTACCTGCCAGTTCGGCCGCAAATGACGAGCTTCTGGCCCGCCTGAATATCGATGTTGACGTTGTGCAAGATTTGATGATCAGAGCTGCCCTCGTTAGTGGTTGTGCATGCATTTTCACTCGGGCAAACTCACCTATATGCGGCATCGAGATCTGCAATATGAGCTTCTCCTTTAGTTGGCCACCCAGCATATGTCACAAGATCCTCTCCAGGTAGGTCCTCCTGAGGAGTAAACAGCTCCACGTTCCTAAGTCGTGCAATTGCGCCAAGAGCCACCTCAAGAGATGTCCAAGACTCCACCAGTCGCACCAAGGTCGTGCTAGCGAACAGAATTAAGTTGAGCGCTGCGCCGATATCTCCCCCAGTCGTGGTCCCCCTCCACTTCACAGCAAGAGCAATTAATGCAATCGCAATTCCGTTGACAATCAAGTTAAGAACGAGACTCAGCCACCGCTGAACGCACATGAGAGCATAGCGCGGACGAAGAGACCAGTTCAGCGCATCAAGACTCTTCTGTTCAGCTGCAAAAGACCAGCCAAAAGACCGTATCGTGACGACACCTTCCGCTGTTTCTAAAAACCACTGGTAGAGGGATGACTGATACTCGAGCTCGAGGACTCGCAGTTGGCGAGAGGTCCTGAGGTAGAGTCTCTGTATGAGGTAGATGGCAGCGACGCAGATAGGAAGGCTGAGAGCAAGCCATCTCTGAATATTGATGATTAGCACAAGCTGGCCTAGTATCTTGAAGATTTCTATAACAAGAACAATGAGTATTAGTAATAATGTGGTGATTCCCAATATGGAGCATTGGCTCTCTTACGAGTACAAATAGTTATCAACGCAAGTGGCAGTTGTCTATCCACATATGATATGTCTTGACTGAACCTATAGTTGGGGGTCAGCATCTCTTAGTACCTAGATAGCCAAACATCAATACGCTCTTCGTACCTGTTGAGAATAACGCCAATGTCTGTAGTAGAAAAGAACAAAAGCGGTGCACTAGGAACATTAGCATCTTTCACTACAACTCTCCTCATTCACCCTACCCAAATATCGTCCGAAGAAGAGATTGGTGTAGCACTGCACCAGACCTCGGGGCTAGCATGATGTTTGTACTCCTACATTAATTGTCAGATAGGTGGTAAAAGCATATCCAATCTTGAAGTATTCTTCGAGACTCACCACGTGCTGCCATTTGTTGCGACCCAAGCAAGAAGAGCGAGCGAGAGATATCCAACCATGTAATAAGTCGACTTGTCCGGGGAACCTTCTGTCCACCACTTGAGTAGATACTGCGGAAAGAACATTCCAAAGGAATACCCGGCCGAACATCCAAGCAGTATAACCACGTTGAATACACCAGCAGCCTTGAAATAGTATGCTAGCCAATCCCATCAGTTGAGTTTCTCTAACACACTTTACGTGGTTACACTTACAATAAAGCGAGAAGTCGCCCGTCTTCCGATATAGATCCTCCTCGGCGTCCGCGTTAGACTGCGACGCCTTTTTAGTGACCTTGAGAACGGCTTCCGGTTTCTTGGCTGTTTCCGTAAATGTAAACTTGGATAACTCGGATAAAGAGGACTTCAAGGCATCCCATGATCCTCGCGATGCTATGCGACCTTTCTCGAGAACCAATATCTCGTCTGCAACGTGGAAATGCTGGGCTGCTCAACGATTAGCTTCATCTAACACCAGAAGAAAGATACTATGGGCTTACCGGAGTTTGTGACCAAAAACACCGCCGTGTTATTCTTCTTGAACCATCCATCCGGTCCAAGCAAATTATCCACTACCATATTCTCTGTGTTGCCATCTAAGGCGCTAAACGGATCATCCAATACCACAATATCGTGAAGAGAGTATACTAAACGCGCAATGGCCTATACGTCATAACATGTCAGCTTCATCCAGCAGAAGATACGGGTCTTTCATCTTACCAGTCTCTGTCTTTGTCCGCCTGAAAGATTGATCCCCCGACTACCAACAATGGTATCGTCGCCTTCGGGGAACGTGCCTAAATCATGATCAAGACAACAAGCACGAATAGCAGCATTATATCTCTCTGTATCAATAGTGGTAGAAAATCCACATACAATCTGCTTGACTCTGCCGGTGGGTAGCCAGGCATGTTGGTCGCAGAATCCTATAGATGCTGAAGAAACTGTAATAGAGCCTTCAGATGGTGCAAGTTCACCTAATATCACCTTAGCAAGTATTGATTTACCGCTTCCAACAGGTCCAGAGCACGTAGTTATAGATCCTCGACGAAGCACCAAATTGATATCGTCCAAAAGGGTCTTTTTTGTCGATGCGGATTCTACTGTTACTCTATTAAGAGTTACGGCAGTTTCTGTGACATCTGCTCCCAATGCGTTCGCAGGTCGAGGCGGAACACGGCGCTTGTCTGTACGAGGTGACTCGAGTAGATAGGCTTGGATCCTCTCAAAATTGGCCGAGGTTGCAACCGCGTTGGGCACAATCGTCATGATCATGTTTGCAGGTTCAGTTACGAGGGCCAAGATGGCAACAGTGGTGAACGCAGTGCTGACGCTCAGTTGCGAACCTTGAAGGCGAGCCACAATGGCATATACCACGATGGTGGCTGCCGGCGCAAAAATTCCAAGAGCATTTGCTATTCCAGCATCTTAGCAGCTGTAAAAACAACACAAAGAAGTCGAAATAGATGGGAACCAAAGCTTACCACTCGCGTTATAAATGGCATTCATCCAGCGAACTCTCTTTGAGCTGTTGATCTCGTCTTGTCGCAGCTTGTCAACATAGTCCATCATCGCTCCTGATACTCCCAGAGCTTTGACGCTTTTCATCGACCCGAGGATCGAGCTCAAGGCCGATATCCGCCGTTGAGTGGCCATATTCCAGCCCTTTTGTCTGGAACGAATGTTTTTTGCCACATAACGGCTAATCTGAGAGCAAACTACGTGCCAAATTCAGCCGTCAGGTTACTATTACACCAAGAGCCTGGCTTCACGCTGGTCAACTTACAGATGATGATGATAAAAGGGAGTGGAGCAAGCCACTTGACTTCTCGAATCAGAAGGATTATGCCAAACACAAGCTCAAAGAGCTTAGCCCAGGCTTCGTGAAACATCTTTCCTGCTTCAGCTGCGCCATTGACGTCCGTGCTCATAATGGTTAATACTTTGCCCGTGTCGGAAACGTGCGAGCCGATGGCCAATGTTTTGTTGTAGATTAACGTCGTGAGGCATCCGCGAATCATGAGTTCAAGCTTGTTGAGACGATGAAAGTATCTCGATGACGAAAACTAAGACGAAATGATGAATATCTGCTTTATGCAACAGCAGTGATGATCCTTTCATGGATGGACGGCTTGATGCTTACCGTCTGGCCCAAGTAGACGACAACAGCCGCCACCATTAACCAATATCCCTCATTAGTATCATCTTCTTTTGTATATCCCTGAACAAACCGAACGGCCTTTTCAATGAGTATAGGCTGGCAACATCTAAAAGCGACGAGGCCTAAGCGCGGGAAAGTGGCGGAAAGAAAGGGCCCTGAAAGACACCGCAGCAAGACTTTCGGCAGCGTCAAGATGGTTTCAGGTTTTGCTGTTGCAACGGGTCAAACACAATGAACAATCTATATAGGATGTCATAAAAGCTGAGACTCACATCTGCTCTCCCACGATGGCAAGATATCCCGGCGAAGGCGCTCAGCCTCCAGCTCTCTCTCCAGAGGCGGCAGCTGAGTACCACGCAAGATGCTCCTGTTGCCCCGACTCAACAGTTCATTCATCCACCAGAAAAGCAGAGAGCTAATCAACCCGGCGGTTTCTTCTGGAGAACGATTGCTATACTTTGGGGTCAATATGGATTGTTTTTCTCGACACTCGAGCGTCAATATCGCGAGCCGAGACGCAAACCCTGCCACCAAGGCCGCATTGGTTCTGCCGCCATTTCGAATCTCAGAGAAGCCGGGGTACGTCAACGCAAAGGCATCCCAAGAACAGGTGAGCAGTAGATAGAGCACCGCGAGAGTAGAAGGGTGAATGGAACGCTTGTGCTCTGCCACCGACAGCCAAACCAAAAGGGCGGACGCAATCAAGGATGCACTGCGCGATGCAGTTTCCAAGCGCTCTTTATGCCCCTCTGACAGATTCAGTGCCAAATCAACAAGCAATATCGCGGGTAGAGTCAAGGCTACGAGCTGTTGTTTCACGGTATCGGGTCAGCGATGGCATGTCAGCAACAAACGCGCAGCAAGGGGTGATGCGTACGGGTTTAATGACAGCGAGCCAATTCGGCTTTACTTTGACCGACTCATGACGCAGAGCCCACAGCCGGTACGAACCAAGAGCAATGAATGCAAGTGAGGTTGCCAAGACGAGTGAGAAGAAGAAGGATATGTCAACACGAGACGCCATTGTGCGTCAACAATTCAGATCATCCCTCAGCACCCGCTATGCTTGGGCATCTCACTAAAATACACGCGTAGTTGTAAAAGGTCGGTGAGTTGAACAATTGAAGTCAAAAAAAAAAAATGACACTGATGTCTCAAAGGTCAAGTATCGGCGCGTCCATGTATGTATTTACTTTTGAACCAAAACCTTGAACAGGCGGCAACGCGACTCTTATCCGGCACAAGTTATTGCGTGCTCGTGATGCTGTTGGCCGACCGAGCCAAAGGATTCAGATCCGCTTACCGATACGACCAGAGTCAAAAGGATTCAATCGACTCCACGTCAAATACGAGGCAGCTTTTCAGGTCTGCTGAATCCTCGTTTATGCACAACCTAGGCCCTATCGGCGCTGTCACTCTGCTGTTGGGCCCAAAAGCAGGCGGGATTCATCTCCCGCCAGCAGCTTTCGGCAATCTGCTCCGTGCCAGCCTCCCCAATCTAACAATTCACATGGACACAAATGGTACATGTATCAAACTACCAGGAACATGAGTACATAAAGTTGTTTTTCTTATTTTGTAATTTTTATCGACGAGGGTATCGCTAACTATATTCTTCGAACAAACACCAGCCACTAAATCACAACAACAACAGCAGCAGCAGTAACTGCTACACCAACGATGAGGCAAAACTCGGGGCCTCTGCAGCAGCTCAGTTCAGGCCAAATGCCGCCTTGGCTCTGGTAAAGTAGGCCAGGCGATCATCCGTAACAGACACACCAACACAAGCCATGTACTTTTGGAATCCAGTATCGACGTTATCCCACAAGGCCTGCTTGAGAGAGGCGTCGCACTGGGTAGAGTAGAACCAAGGGCCGCTGCCAAAGTTGAACTCGTCGGGCTGAAGGAGAGACAGGATGTGGTTCAGGTCATCCGGGCTCAAGCCATCGGTGGTGGTAAACTTGGAAACCTGGTCCTTGAGGCTGTCGATGCTCTGGGCATACTTGAGGTTGAAGTTGGCCATTTGCATGTTGGCAGTGCCCTGGCCAGGGCGGCCGGGCGAGACGTTGTGCTTGAACTTGAAGTCAACAGACTCAAAGGCCATCAGGGCGATGATGGCAGCCATCTCGGGCGTGGTGTAGACCCCGTAGTCGTACATGGCCTGGGCAATGAAGGGGGCAGCCTGCTCAGCAGTGCGGCACTCGGTGGTGTCGGCGCAGTTCTCGGCGTTGGGAGCAATCTGCTTGACGATGGCAGCAGCGGGCAGCTGGGCGGCGGCGAGGGTGGCGAGGCCCAAGACGAGCGAGGAAACGGCGGACAAGTGCATGGTGAATGATGAGTTTTAGTTGGTAGTATCACGATTTCGAGATGCGAGATGCGAGAGTAGGAGTAGAGTAGAGTAGAAGTATCGAGGGCGTTGATGCGCGCGTAGGTAGATGCTGTATATGTAGGTAGCCAACAAGGGACACCAGGTCTTTGTATTGTGGGCGAGCAAGGGACTGTTCAAAAGTCGAGTAAAAAAAAAGTGAACGCAATGCGTAACAGAGAGCTGAACGCTATGTAAAGAACGGAGTGATGCAGCGCCAGCCAGCGACGTGAGAAAAAGGAATGAATGAATAGGTAAGTAGACAGAACCCGTGGTCGTAAAAAAAACGAGAATCCACGATTCTCCCGAGGGCCAGAGCAAGACCCTTTTGTACGGCTCCCTCAACGAGGGATATCGTGAATCATTGCTCTCCAGGGGTTGCGCACGGGCTAACAATCAATCGCCTCCAAGGCTCACATCAAATCACATGCGCCCATTTGCTTGTGCCCCCCTGGCCAACCAAAAGGCACCGCTCAACCATCAGCACTTTCAGGCGTGGCTCGAGATTGGCTCCCCTTGGGATGGGTTAAAGGGACGCAGGGATGCGCCGGCGACGATCCAATCGCAGCGGCAGGAGGCCAAAGCACTAGAGGGGGGACGTCTCATGAAACAGGCAGAGCTGAGCCGTGAAACGCCAGGAGGGCGCTAAAGGCGAATATGCAGAGAACACGGCTTGGGGGGAGGGACAGGGGTTGGCTGAGATGAGATTGTGATGGGCTTTGTTCAATATCAATGTTTCTTGGCTGAGGTGAAGGGCATCATGCGAGTCATTTGGCTTCACGTGTGGCATTTACTTGACTGTATATTTGGCGTAGTACGAGGCATATAATACACCGTTTGACGCAATGTTACAGCAAATGTCAGATTCCTGCGGGAACAAGCACGTTCCATGTCTTGGCTCTGCCACATGATGTTGCCAAAAACACCATGACACTTTTGTCTGTGCATCTTGGTACGATACGAGGCATGTAACAGCCCCCCCCCGTATTCGCAAACAGCCTCGATAACGCAGAAACCCAAGCATGGACATATATAGAAAGTCTGTGACGAGTACCATTGGAAAATAATCAGAATAATCAACACATCCCACCACGTGGCACGAGAATGCGCAGCCGCAAAAAAATGTGAAATAGATCTAGGGTAGCATGCAAGGCCGCGATGGAGGCCAAACGCCCGCATTAGCTTAGCACCAAGCAGGCCGCGGAGGCTACCGAGGCCAAGGAATGGGCTGAACTAAATCGGGCGGTGGTTGCTTGTCTGTATCAAGGTACCTAGATGACAGATCCAAGGGTTGTGTATTCCATTGGTACCTGTTGACAGCATTCAAGACGGATTGAATGCCATATCGACACAGCTACACGCTCGTGAATCCTACACGGGCCCATCTCAAATTGCTCATTCAATCACCGTGCTGCCGTCTTAGGTAATCCCAGAGCCTCGATTCTGGCATCACGAGTCCAATGGGCGGATGGTTTAGTGGTATAATTTTCCCTTAGCATAGCGCAACCTTTGGATTGCGGCACCGCCTGGGAAAGGTCCGGGGTTCGATTCCCCGTTCGTCCATGCGTGATGCGGGCCACAGGCTCGCAGCCTCTTTTTGTCTCTGTCTTTTTTGCTTCCAAGTCTTTTCCATTCACATCTTTCTGCACCTATGTAGCTGCTACTTTCTCCTTATTTACTCAATTCATTCATTCACTCAATTCATTGAGGTACTCACTCATTCGTCTCCCTTCTGCTCCCTTTTGTGGCAAATACCACCTCTCAATTGACTGTCTCATGCACACCAAGAATGAACCAAGAGAACCTGGAATTCCAAAACAGTCACCGTCCTTTTTGAGCTGAGTTTGTACCATCTATAAAACCTCCAAAAGAGAAGAGTGAGTCCATCATTGTATGCTGCCTTACTTAGGTTCCAATGTCCATCATAAATATACAACTGTTGTACACGTCGGCATCTATATCAAACACAGAATATGCCACCAGCCTCCTCCATCACTTCTAAAAAAAAAAACTGAGACTGCACAAAGTCCCATCCCATTTTACCTCCCTCTCTTCCGATCCAACATCTCCTGGATATCGCCCTTCCCCTTCCCCTTCTCCCCGGCACCCCCCTCCGCCGCAAAGCTCGTCGAAACGTCCATCTCCACAGCGCCCTGCTTGCGCAGCTCCTCCAGCCTCCTCTTCTTCTGCAGGTCCGCCACGCGCCACTGCTTAAAGTACTTGACCCAGGCGGCCGCGCAGTCGCGCTCGAAGTCGGCGGACTGCCTGGGACACGCCTTGGCAGCGGCGGAGGCGTCCTTGTTGGCGTCAATGATGTTGTTGGCGTCCAGGCAGGCAAAGTAGGCGTCTCGCGAGGCCCAGCAGACGGTGCGCTCCTCGCGGTTGGGGATGGCCGTGCCGCTGCGGATGGCGTCGGCCCGGGTGTCTGCGGAAAACGGCCACCAGCCCATTTTTGCTCAGGAGAGTGTGCGAATGTGAAACTGACAGATGTTTCTGACGGAGAGAGGCAAACAGCGAGGTGCTTGTGTCGAGACCAGGCTTTGCTTGCACGATGCTGCTCTGATGGGAGGGGTACCAGTGTTGTGCTATTGCTGAGCTCGATGTCTCATGTAACTCATCCAGCAATGGAAGCACCAACAATTCGCCAGTCGTGTCTAATTGAGATGAAATGCTCTTAGCCTTGGCAATCCCGAATTGGTCGTAGACTGAGTAAACGACGTCAAGTTCGTTAATAATACATGCATGTGCACTATTTCGCATCAATCCATCCAACTATGACGCTGAAGCAAAAAGACCGGCAGAATCCCGCGGGCGGTCAGGCGCAAACAGCTCTGATGCAGCCTAGCGCAATCCGGCCCTGCAGGCAAGCTGTCACCTGTCCGGCGTATCATGCACAAGCATTCATCATTTGCTGCAACTCCCGTCCCTTCTCATCTCATCTGCCTCGTGCCATCACCAGCGTCTGCATCGCGCCAAAAACAGCAGATGCTCGCGGCGCCTCCATTCGAATACCTTCAATAACACGCAAAACTCCATTCGCCATCCATCTCGCCTCATCATGGACTAAAAGACACCCGAATCCCGAACCGATGCACGACGAAACACCGAGTCGCCTCATCCACCCGACTCGCATCTCCCACCCCATACAATAAACCCTCCGCTCAAAACACCACGAAGCAACCAGTCAACCTCACCCTCATTCCGTCCCTCCCATAAAATCGCAATGGCTCGCCGCCGCAGACCCCCTCGCGCCGGCGCCCTCACCGAACTCCCGCCCCTCAAAATCGCCTCCCAGATCGCCATCCTCCAGGCCCTCTACTACTTCGCCGCCCTCGTCCTCATGCTCTTCACCACCCTGGTCGCCGGCATGCCGTTTGGCTTCGACCTGATTCTCGGCTGGGACCGCGTGCGTGGCGACACGACCCAAGGATGGCTCATGGCATTTGTATGGCTCCTCAACGGAGGACTCTGCATGTACGCTCTCTCTCCTTCTCTTCCCCAAACACACCCCTTCTTTTACCGTCTCCTCCAACAGAACAAGCAAAAAAAAAAAAAAAAAAAATACGAATCTAATTCTTTCACCCATCAGGTCCGTCGCCATGGTCATCCTCGTCGCGCGCAGCAAACTCGTCCCCGACTTCGCCCTCACAATCCACTTCCTCCACCTCCTCTTCACATGCCTCTACACGCGCTCCCTCCCCCACAACTCCATGTGGTGGTTCACCATGCTCGCCTCCTCCGCCACCGCCGTCGGCCTGGGCATGTGGGGATGCCGCTACCGCGAGCTCCAGCCCGTCTTCTTCCTCGGCGGCAGGATCCTCGGCTCTGGCACGTCCGGCCCTTCCTCAAACAGGGGCGCCGGCGCAAGAGACGACGCTTTGCACCCAGACGTGGAAGATGGCATGGGCGGATCAAGTACGGTCAGAGAGTATGAAATGAACCAGATAAAGACTTCAACATAGAGCCAGCGAGAGGGAATATTTATATATATATATATATACAGACATGGTATTAGTCAAGAACGGGAGATTACTTGGGATGGGATGTATAATGCTTGTTTGAAGGAGTAGTATAGCGTGCATTATCCGGCGTTAATTGGGACGTTAAAGGGGCGCCATCTAGACAGCCGACAAATTCTTAGGGTAAAAGGGATGGAATACTAATAACACGGCATTTTTTTTATCGATGAAGACAAAAAGCAATTGACTTCACGGGCAATTCGCAATCCAAAATGGAGAGATTTCACAATGTACCTATTCAACTACAGTAGAACAAATAAAAAGCCACATCGATGCTACAACTTGGGCCGCACCACAGTCCAGACGCTATTCTGTATAAACAAACAAAAAGAAAGAAAGGAAAAAGAAGTTGCAAAAAACCACAAAATCTTCGTATCGGCATTCCCAAGCTGTGCAAAAAAAAAAAAAAAAAAAAAAAAAAAGAATAGTCAACGCCTCCCATATATACTATACAGCGGACTCCATTGAATGTCATTTCCCTTTCCGTCTCACTCCTCTAATGTTATTCCCCCTCTGGTATCACATTTACATCTTCCTCTCTCCTTGTCCAAAAATCCACTGTGTATATCCACAAAGGAGGCATGAGGAAAGTTGTTTTTTTCTTCTTCTTTCTTTTTAGCGTCAATTCATCCTCCCTCGCAAGGCATCAACTTCCCTCTGCAGCGATTCGAGGTCGGCGAGAATATCCACGCTTTGGCTACTGTGCTGTGCATCGAGATCGCCAAACTCGTCTGCAGACGTCCTCGGTTTCCTGGCCGAGTCCAAGCTCGCACGTCCGGATGGCCCGTCCGCGCTGCTCTGGCTGCTGCCCCGTATCCTTGACGGCGGCGGAGGGGGCGCCACCCCGTCTCGCGGCTTGATCTCAGCTAAACCTCGTCGTTGAGAAGAAGACTCCAGGCCGTATAAGCTTTGAGGTCGGCGGGTGGAGGGATTGCGCGTGGGAGGCGGAGGGGGGGCCATGGGTCTGGCCGAGTCCATCGAAGTCCTTGGGGTGTCCAAGTCGGGAGGGTGAATGAAGGTGGATGATTGCGGAGTGCCTGGTTGCCTCGAGCCCGATGTAGTCCTTCGAGGCGGTGGAGGCGCCGGCGCATGAGCGCTGTGGCGAACGCTGTTTGTTCTTGATGGCATCGATTCCATGGATGTCCGTGGAGGTGGTTCATTCTCTTTCGACTCCGGGGCACCTGTTTTCACCTCAATCCGAGGCTGCCTTCTCGGTGGCGGGGTTGGTAGAGGCTTCTTGGCATTGTTGGGGGGTGATACCGAAGTATCAATTTGATCTGGGCTGGCCGTGAGTGCGGGAGGGTGGGTGTCGATCTCAACAGGCTCCTCCTCTTCTGAGGAAGAACTGCTAGACGAGCTCTCTCGAGACAACACCGGTCGGGGTGGTGACTCGGGCTTGGATACGACTGGCTCGGCCGGTTTTTCTTTAGGGCTGGTGACAGGGCTCTCGATGCCAGTGACGCTCTGCCCTGGTTTAATCACCTTGCCGTGACGTGAGCTAGGAGGAGGCGGAGGAGCCTTTTTCTCCTTGTTTGTAGAAGCAGTATTTGAGATGTCCGGCGTAAGCTTAGGCTGGTCCGCCTGGTTATGATCGAAAGAGTCCTTTGGGAGCGGAGAGCTGGGCGGGCTCGTGGCCCCCGTCATCAGCAGCCGCTTGAACGAATCCACGTTCAGGGACCGCCTCGCAGACTGCGCCGCCTTCAACACCTCGCCCTCGTCTCTTGCAGCCTCCTTTAGCTCATCCTGATTCCCAGCGTCCTGGGTCTTCTTCTTGCTGAACGGATTGGCCACCGTCTGAACCGGCCTCTGCATCTCTGCCGCCGTCAACGGGTGCCGCCCCTGCGGAAGGGCCGGCTGAGGAGGTGGGGTAGCGGTTGCATTGTCCCAATCGTTGTCGACATTGTTGAAGGGATCTTGTTCTTGTGCATACGCGTGGGCGGCAGAGCCAAAGTAGCTCGCCGTCCACTCTGGTGAGTCGGGCGACCGGGGAGGCGGTGACAGGACGCGGACCTTCTTGACGACCTTGGCCTTGTTTGCGTCAACGGCCGGAGACTGCGCGGCCGGAGGGGTGTTTTCGTCGCGGAAGCTCGTTTTCGGGGGCGGGAACAGCTGGGCGGCATCTATAGAGTCGATTGGAGGGAAACGGCTCTCCGTGTGCTGTGTCGCACTCTTGCGGAAGGGGTTCGATGACGACGCCATCGTTGACGGGCAACGGTCTACTAAGGCCAGTGGGTAGGATCCGTATAATATGGTTTTGTATGGTTGGCTGGGAGGGCTTCTTGTATAGTATCCTCTATTCCCTTCGGTCACGACAGGAAGAGAGACAGCCCGTCCGCCATCTTCCAGCGTCAAAGAAAAAAACAAATCTTCGATGTTGACAGGAAATATGAAACCGTGTCTGGCTTAACAATCGTGCGGCCCAGGGAGCAAAAATATGGAAGTGAGTCGTTTCGGAAGAATCGGTTAGGCTGTCCCTTGCGAAGGGGTGAGCTACAGGAAGGTACGTCCAGGTGGTGGTACAGCTACAAGTGCCTCAATGAGGGGTGTCCCATGCCGAGTTAAGGAGATACCTGGGGGCTCAGCTACGCAGGAGCACGGCCGCAGGTATCGCGGCATCACAGCCCTGCCCTGCCTGCACATGGTCCCAGGTGCTAATGGTGCTCGCACGGGCCAGCCAGCTGTTCTCGGCAGGTACCGCGTGTTCCTGATGCGGCCGGCCATGGCGGGATGCGCTGACGAGATTCGCTGACGGTTGAGGCAACGTCTGGTGACCCCCGAGCCAAGTATGTACGAGTACCTACGGGGATTGCGGAGGACAAGGCGTCATGCCCAAGTCGGCATTGAAAGGGCATGGAGACCCCGAAGAAACGGCACTTACTAAGGGAATACGGTACCTAGACCTGCTAGGCAGAGGCAAAAGGCTGCAAGGGGCAAATTGTCGACGGACGGAGTGGATGGTGATGCTCTGAGGCAGCAAAATTAACTGCTTCACACGGGGCTTGGCCCGGGTCACTCCGTGCTGCGTCGACGTGGCAGCGAGCCGCAGGCACACGGCATGCTCAGTGCTACGAGCCTTGCGCATCGGCCTGGTAGCACATCCATGGCATCTTGATGTCCTATAATTCCATGTAATACCGTACAGGTACCTACCGTCAGGCGCTTCGTAACAGAGCTGGAGGGCATTGTGTAAATACGGTGGACGGGTGGTGAGCCCGGAAGCTGCAGGTAGAAGAGGCCCAGTCGGTGACGGCTCTTGTACAGACACGACGCCAATGCTGTGCATCCAGCAGCAGAAACAAGTACAAGTACCTGCCATCCCATCTTTCTCTGCCCCAGAACCCTTGAGCCAAACCCATTTGGAAGGGCCTGCGGCAACGTCATGGTGACCAACCAGACGAGGCTGAGCGCTGCCACTACGAAATTACTGGCTTAGCGGCTCTTTGCAAGCCCTGGAGCAACTTTGGGCGTTCTTCAGGCCCCATGTTCTCCTCCGTATTAGCGAACATGCCATTTTGCGCAAAGCTGACGACAGGTCCAAAACGGAGAGACGGATTTCGCAGCGTTTCATCGATCCTTTTCGGTTCTTACAACCGCAGCATCTATATTTGGTTCGACGGCCCGTGGAGAAAACAATGGCCCGGAATAGCACTGGACTGCAATGCGCCCCTCCGTCTCTGTCAAGCTCTCCCCCGTAATATTGATCTCGCTACGCGTACTGGTGGCGCAAGCTGTACCAAGCTTCGTACCGTAGCAAAAACACAGACTGTTGGGCTCCTTTCATCGCTCCCTTTTGGGGGGAATTGCAAACTAAAGTGAGGTCGCAGTTCGTATATTTAGTCAAAGATGCTGCATGTGAGTTGTATGAATTGTACAATTGAAGTCTATATGTTTTCCTATAATACTATTACAGCAAACAAACACCAAATCCCTCAGATACCGTGACGCTCATGTTGTTTTGCCCACAGTAATCCGCCCACCGGAGAAACTGAAAACGCGCAAACTTTGTTTTTTCTTTACAACACAGCACACGGACGGACAAGATAAAAGTCTTGTGGGAAAAAATATAAGTGATCCGCCCCCCCCCACTGGGGAGCTCATTCCAGGAAAGTCACATATATAGTGCGATAATGCCGTGCCCAGCGCGTCCGAGAGTGCGCGTATCAAAACAAACATCATTCCTGCGCACCGCCAAAACAGCAATCAATCAATCCCGAGCCAACCCAGGCTCTCCCTTGCCCGACCCGTAGTAATAATTTGCAACCCCAAAAACGCCGTGCCACATTCATCAAGGATACAAAAAGTCAAAGAAAAGCTGCTTTTGCTCACGCCAAGGACATCAGTTACGCCTTGGTGGCGGCGGCGGCTGCGGGAGCGGCAGCAGCAGCCTTCTCCTTCTTGGGAGCAGCAGCCTTCTTGGGTGCGGCCTTCTTGGTGGCAGCGGGCTTCTGGGCCTTGGCAACACGGCCGGACTTGGTCTTGGTCAGAACGGTCTCAGGCTTCTCGGGCTGAATGGGGGGAGGAGTTAGAAAAGGATGAGAGTAAGAGTGAGAATGAGATGTGATTCAAAGACATACCTTGGCGGGAGCCTCCTTAGTCTTCTTAGCGGTGGCAGTGGCCTTCTTGGGAGCGGCAGCCTTCTTGGTGGCAGCGCCCTCCTTCTTCTCCTTCTTTTCCTTCTTCTCGCCCTCTGCCTTGACCTTCTTGGGGGCGGCGGCCTTCTTGGTGGTAGTGGCCTTCTTAGCAGTGGCGTCCTTCTCCTTCTTGGGAGCGGCAACCTTCTTGGCCTCGGGCTTCTTCTTGGCCAGCTTGGTGCCTCCAGAGGGGCCCTTGGGCTGGGCAAAGATGCCCTTCTCAACACCGGCCTTGAGGGCCTTGTTGAAGAGAGAATCGAACATGTTGTCCGAAACGTTCAAGGTGTTGTTGGCCTTGACATACTTCTTCAGAGACTGACGGCTGTTGGGACATTGTTAGCTACTTGTACTGGCTGCTGCCCAATGAGTTTGGGCGACTGATGGGGTCAAGTTGCTTACCTAGAACCATTGCGATCTTTGAGCTGTTGGATGCGAAGAGAGAGCAAGTCAGTTTACAATCCTCGTGTGTTGGTTTGCACAAAAAAGAAATGGACGGGACGGGACATTACGCGACGTGGAGTGAGCGGTGTGATGGAGAGAGAGAGAGAGAGGATAGCCGCTATGAGAGGGAGGGGGGCAGTGATAAGGAGAGGTGAAGGGAGGGGGCAAGACGGGGAAATAAAGCGCAAACAGATGCGCTGGTGCCACAGAGGGCTGCCAACATACATTAACAATGGCATCCGTAATCATGTCCTGCATTCGGCCTCGCATTAGCTTCCAATCAAGACACCGCACAAGTGAAAAATCGTCGCCAGATGCCGGCATGCGGCCGACGGACGGTGAAACTAACCTGGTAGCTGGCGTGGGCAGCGCCGGACTTGGCCTTGGGGGCAGCACCTTCGGTCTTCTTGGGAGGCATGGCGGTGGATTGATTGGGCGAAGAAAACGTGTTGGACTGTGATTTGTTTGAAAGGGAGAGAGAGAGAGAGAGTCTTGATAAGCTGAGCTGACGCGACTGGAGAATTGCTTTTTGCAGAGCAGATGAAGATCGAGAGAGAGGGCACAGGCGAGACGTCGGGCGCGTGGGAGGGCGATGGGGCTTGTTTATATACGGGGCGGGGCCAGCGCCGCAATCAGTAGGTCCTTGGAGCTAAGAGGTGCTGGACTGGGAGCTCCAGCAGAGAGGTCCCCTGGAGTGGTCTGTGTTGGCCTGTGCGGTGCTGGGCTGGATCATGTACATACATCTTCCACTGCTGCTCTCCCATGCCCATGTGTGCCGCACCCGCTAGGCGCCCCCACTAGCGAGTCCAGTCCAGTAGCGCTCCAGTGGCCAGACCACCACCTTTTGCTTCCATCAACGACTTCTAGCGCTTGTACCGGTACAAGCCCCTCTCTCCCCGGCCGGGAAGCGATCCTGCACCGAGGGCGAACGCCACAACTTTTTTTCTTCTTCTGGGCTCAAACCGTCGGCATCTCTTCTTGTCTGTGCTCCCTCCCTCACACACTCTCACTCTCTCGCTCTGCCTCCCGTCTCTCTGTCCCCTCCTCCTCGTCCTCCTCTCCCATGTCCCTCCCACGTCTCTCAAGGCACCACCCTATACCAGCATCTCTCTGTTGACTTTGTTTTCATTGATTGCTGTATCCATTCATCTTTATGCTCATTTCATTTCATCGTATATCATCTTCATCTTGTATTCATCTTGTATTCAATTTCACCCACCATATAGTCTACTATAGTACCAGTGGACCTAATTCGCCATCAGGACGACGCCATCATCACCGTCCTCCCGATTTGATTGCGTGTGTAACCTTTTCTGAGCGGCCGGCTTGCTTGTTCCACCTCGAAACAGCTCTCCGCGCTAATCCGATACCACCTCGACCCAGGCGCTCAATTCCCCGATCCTCTCCTCCTCTTCTCCCTCCCTCCAATTGCCTCTCCAGCCACACACATCAGCCCGGACAACAGCTCAGCACATCACACACACACCCCCCCCCAAATGACGACCCGCCGTGTCCGGTACCTTGCGGTTGCAGGTACCGGTACATGCCCTCGCCGGCCCTCCTGCCAGAAGCCACGGGCCCCACAGCCCTTTTATGCTTCCAAAGTAAAAATCGACGCCAGTTCGGCTGCGAAAATAATCCCTTGCCTCGTGACCAATTTTCTGATTGGCCAGCGCCAACATCACCTCGTCTGCCGTGTACCTCGACCTCTGATCTGAGGCTCGACCGCTCCCCCCGACCTTGGATTGCCAGATTCCTGTCCGGCTCGCTTTGTTTCTTCTCGCTGGCCCTCCTTTTGCCTGGCAAGGTGAGTCATTTTTCGAGCTGCCCATTTGCCCTTCTGTCTGCTGCGCTCTTTGACGTCAGAAATCCTCTGGTGCCCGATGCGGCTGTAGCGTTGTTTGTTGTAAGAGGCCATCTGGTCGGCGGGTCGTCGCCGGAGACGTGGTTCGCTTTAGATGGTCCAACGTCGTCCGCTCCCCCATGGTCGTTGTCGCATTGTGAATTGCGCGACAGCACCCCCCGTTCGTGACCCTGTGAATGGTTGAGATCGAATGCCTGTTTCTCGGGCTATTCGCCGAGCCTATTTTTATTCAGGCTCCGGTGCATCTTGGTGTCTGTTTTGCTGTCCGCAGCCAAAGTCACTTTTTTGGCCCAGTATCGCGCTTTCGCTCGCGACCCAACCGTGAAGCTATCCAGACATGAGCGTCGCAACGCTTTCCCGCCGCCCTGCTTCGCAACCACTTTTCCAATCACATAGTTTCTGGGCCCATTGTGAAGTTTGGCAATTTGCGAATTGATTTCATCCAATTTTGCAATTATATCCCTCCTCTGCGGCGAGCTGTCGCGATTCCAAGACCGCCCGCTGCCGGAGTGGCGGATGGTCATGCGACCGACCGTCCTGTCATGGTCTCACCTTTGCCACTTTCGGAGCCAAATCTGCCGCTGTTTCTTGCCATGCTGCTCTCACCGAATTGCGGTAGACCATCTCTCATCCGAAATCAACTTTTTTCTCGTCCTGCCGGGTTTCAAAGCTGCCTTTTGCGACAGTTTTACGCCGCCTCTCTGTGGCTCGCCGTTGCACCATGTCATGTCATCCGTTCCAGGGTCCAATGACCACCCAGCCGCCCAGATGAGATCCCAGCGGTGCATGGCGATAATAACAGGCTTCAACTTTGCCGATTTGGTGCTTCCATCGTATATTCTGTGTTTTCCTCTTTTTTTCTCGCTCGAATAGCTGTTTTTTTGCCCTACTTTGCGGCAATCTCCAGGCCGCGCAACGCCGTCATCACCTCTCCTATCCCCGCACTTGGACTCTCTCCCACAACAACAACAACGACAACGCAGCCTAACCAGCTTGCCGGCTGTGCCCAACCCAGACAGCTCTCTTTTTAAAGCTCGTCGATTTGGGACAATTTCCTCTTCATCAACCGGAATTCTAGGCATTGATGCAGACTCCTGCATGAGATCTATCGCAGTCTTACACGATGCTTGCCCCAGTGCGCGGGTGCGCTCACCAGTAACATACCCTACTGCGTACTGGCAACGCTTTACAATTCACCGTGCAGGAGTAAGCAGGTAATTATCAGTTGATTGCCAACATTCAATCCGATAGAGACATCTGTCGTTTCCGTTTTATGCGAGCCATCGAGAATGGCCTGGTGCCGTGCCTATGATCGAATGACAACTCACAAATCCCCGAGTCGTGTCATGCCTGATGACTGCAGCACTTCTCCACGAGCAAAGCAAGGCACGCCAATCCAATCATCAGAGTGCCTGGGAAAGCACAGGTAGGCTTCAATTATTCTCCATCCGAGAAAATTTGATTTTTTTTTTAAAAAAAAGAAAAAGAAAAAGAAAAAGACTCAAAACTTCAAGTTGCAAACGAGCTGGTTCCATAGGACCAGACGCCGAACCTAAAAATGTGCTTATCATGCAATATGACCCTGCCTCCAGCGGATTGGCTCGGCGTGGTGCTCAACATATGTACAATGTATATCGGCCGTGGGAGACCTCTCCAGCCATCTTCAACGCCGTCTAGTAGCTCCACGAAAATCGATGGCTCTCTGCGGCATTCTCCTGCGGCTAGACACTGCAAACCTCTGCGCTCTTCAGCCTGCCTTTTCCCATGACATCTACGTCTCCATCTTTCGACTTACACGGAATGGCTGGCTGCTCGCCTCCATGTGACCGTGCACGTGCAATAACCCGATGGAGGCCGCTGTACCAACGTAGAGGTACCGACGTAGAGGTACCAACGGGGATACAAGCGGGGCTTCCCTTTGTCACGATAAGCAGCCGATAAGCCTCTAGAGCTCCGAACCAGGCTAAGCCAATCAGAGACAAGCGGCTACGAGGTTCTAAAGCCACGAATGTACAAAGTCGAAGCACCGCGAAAAGGCCACCGAGGCACTGGCGATTTGCAGCTTCACCGCGATCGACGTGCACGACCTTTGCGAGCCGGGCCTGTGAGCGAGGATCATGGAAGCGGTGCTGAGCATGTTTACCAGTCGTTGACGCTTTCGTTTTCTCCTTGTTGGCCTTGCCTTTGCTGCGCTGTCTCACCCCAAAAAGACCCCTCATCATCAGTCTGATCTGATATTGACATTGTCGATTCATATTCATCCTCCGCGAAGCCTTCCTCGTCCACGCACCACACAATGGACTACACCCAGTACCACGCCCTGGGCCACGGCGAGCCCCTCGACCCCAACGACCCCAACAAGACATCCGCCCCGGCCGCTCCTCAGTTCCAGAGTCCCGTGCCTCCTTCGCCGTATGCCCCCCAGAGCCCTTATGGCGCTCCTCAGTATGGCCACCAAGCTCCCATGGCCATGCCGCCTCCGCCCACGCCCGGCTACGGCCCGCCGCAGGGCCAGAGCTATCCCGGGTCTCCGTTGCCGTCGCAAGATGGTGCCCTGGCGGCGCAGTTTGGCGGCATGAACCTGGCCGCGGATGCGGGGGGTGCTGCTGCGAGGAGGAAGAAGAAGGACAGGCACGCGTACCACAGCGTGGAGCCGACCGGCTCGTCGCAGGCCTTTAATGGTATGCCGCCGGGCACTCCTGCCGAGCAGTTCCTCAATGTCAACAGCCCGCGCGGCATTCCTCCTCTGGGGCAGTTTGGAAGTCCTCTGGCCAGTCCTATGGGCACGCCTCAGATGGCCAATCCCGGCCAGTTCCCAGCGCCCGTCTCTCCATTCACCCCCTCGGCCCCCGTGTCGCAAGCCGAATTCGCATCGAGGTTTGGCTCTGGCTCCGCCGATGCCGCTACACCTATAGGCTCAGCTGGTGCCGGCCAGGTCTCGGCAGAGGACATGCCAAGCATACCGGCTGCCAGGGACTCGATCCAGGAGCACTTCAACAAGAACGTATACCCGACCTTTGAGCGCCATGTTCCTCCGCCGGCGACGACGTCGTTTGTTGCTTTCGACCAAGGCAATGCCTCCCCCAAATATACCCGACTCACGCTCAACAACATCCCAACTACGTCCGAGGGCCTACACTCAACTGGCTTGCCCCTGGGCATGCTCATCCAGCCTCTGGCTCCCCTACAGGCCGGAGAGGCAGAGATCCCTGTTCTTGACTTTGGAGAAGCCGGCCCGCCACGCTGTCGAAGATGCCGAGCATACATCAACCCTTTCATGATGTTCCGATCTGGCGGCAACAAGTTTGTGTGCAACCTCTGCTCATACCCCAACGATACACCACCAGAGTATTTTTGCGCCATCAGCCCCCAGGGAGTGCGCCTAGACAGGGACCAGCGTGCGGAGCTTCACCGTGGCACAGTCGAGTTTGTTGTTCCCAAGGAGTACTGGACCAGGGAGCCCGTTGGCCTCCGATGGTTATTCGTCATCGACGTCACCCAGGAATCGTATAACAAGGGCTTCATGGAGACATTCTGTGAAGGCATTCTTGCGGCCCTGTATGGGGGCAATGATGAGGAAAAGGATGAAAGCAGTGAGCCAAAGCGAAGGATACCCGAGGGAGCCAAGGTCGGCTTCATCACATACGACAAGGACATTCACTTTTACAACATTAACGTGAGTGCATTAATGGAACGATTTGATGAATTGAAATTGGCTTGCTAATCGTGAAACCAGCCGAATCTTGACCAAGCACACATGATGATCATGCCCGACTTGGAAGACCCTTTCCTCCCTCTCGGCGAGGGACTCTTCGTCGACCCGTATGAGTCAAAGGCTGTCATCACCTCTCTCTTAACCCGCCTTCCCGAGATGTTTTCCGACATCAAAAACCCCGAGCCTGCCCTGCTTGCCACTCTCAATGCCGCCGTAGCTGCGCTAGAGGCCACTGGAGGTAAAGTGGTGTGCTCTGGCTCGAGCTTATCAACCTGGGGTCCTGGTAGATTGTTCATGCGCGATGACGGCAACCATCCTGGTGGCGAGATGGATAAGAAGATGTACACGACGGAGCATCCCGCGTGGAAGAAGGTGGCTGAAAAGATGGCCTCGTCTGGAATTGGTGTCGACTTCTTCCTTGCTGCGCCGTCTGGCGGCTATCTTGACATTGCCACAGTAGGGCATGTTGCTGCCACGACTGGTGGCGAGACTTTTTACTTCCCCAACTTCATCGCTCCGCGGGATGGTGCCAAGTTGTCGATGGAGATTACGCATGCCATTACACGAGAAACGGGCTTCCAGGGATTGATGAAGGTGCGCTGCTCTAATGGACTGCAAGTGTCGGCATACCACGGCAACTTTGTCCAGCACACCTTTGGCGCCGACTTGGAAATCGGCGTCATTGATGCGGACAAGGCGCTCGGCGTATCATTTAGCTACGACGGAAAGCTGGATCCGAAGCTGGATGCCCATTTCCAGACCGCTCTCCTCTACACGGCCGCTTCCGGGCAACGGCGTGTGCGATGCTCCAACGTGATTGCCAGCGTCAGCGATACCTCTAAAGAATCCAGCACCAGGGAGCAGGCTATTCGGCAGTGCTTGAAGTTTGTCGACCAAGACGCCGTTGTCGGTATCTTGGCAAAGGAGGCCGGCACCAAGCTCGCAACCACGTCGAGCAACCTCCTCGACGTCCGGAACTGGCTGACGGAGCGAACAATTGACATCATGGCCTACTACAAAAAGCATTCGGCTAACCAGTTTCCGCCGAGCCAGCTTGTTATGCCCGAAAGGCTCAAGGAATTCTGCATGTACATGCTGGGCCTCTTGAAGTGCAGAGCGTTCAAGGGCGGCATCGAGAACTCGGATCGGAGGGTTCATGACATGCGCATGGTTCGAAGCATGGGCGCGTTGGAGCTTAATCTGTATCTCTACCCCAGAATGATTGCTCTTCACAATCTCCAACCCGAAGAAGGCTTTGCCGACCCCGAAACTGGCCATCTCAAGATGCCTCCGTCGGTTCGAACGTCGTTTTCACGCGTCGAGCCTGGTGGTGTCTATCTGGTTGATAACGGACAGCAGTGCTTGCTCTGGTTCCACTCCCAGACATCGCCAAACCTGATAAGCGACCTCTTTGGGGAGGGTCACGACACACTCAAGAGCTTGGATGCCTATACGTCTTCACTGCCGGTTTTGGAAACTCATCTCAGTGCCCAGGTTCGCAACATTATCGAGTTCTTGAAGTCTCTGAGGGGATCCAAGGGCATGACTATACAATTGGCGCGCCAGGGACTTGACGGCGCCGAATATGAGTTTGCGCGAATGCTGGTCGAGGATCGAAACAACGAGGCGAAGAGCTACGTCGACTGGCTTGTGCACATTCACCGGGGGGTTCAGCTCGAGGTACGTCTACTGATTTTTCTTTATTTTACTTGTGTTTCTATCAGATGCTAATCCTGCTTTGCCAATAGTTGAGCGGACAGCGAAAGAAAGAGGGCGAGGGCGAGGCAACCGCCGTAATGGCCAACTTTGCGGGACTGAGGCCGTCCTACTGGTAGCAGCAGTAGTTTTTAACCCAAGCTGTCAACATCAAACGATGGCGGTTTGTTCTCAGTTTCCAGCTTCTCGCAAAGTGAGAAGAGCACGTCGTTTGGTCGCTGGCACGGGGGGATGTCACTATATATAAGGCGCACGCTTTTGGGTAACATTGATACGACAACAACAACAACAACAACAACAACAACAACAACCAAAAAAAGAAGCGCTGGCACAAAAACGGGTCATTTGCTTTAATGTCCGAAAAATCGAGCATTACTAAAAATCGATGTGGAAATAGAAATCACATGTTTGAATTGCAACACAGTTTGTGTATGTATTAATAACGTCATTTTTTTTTCCCCTGCAGATAGTTTGTGCTCTCTCTTTCTCCCTCTTTTTTATGAACATGCATGGCGTGTCTTGGAATCATTTCATTTCAAATGCAAGCATGTTTAATTACTTTGCACCAACTTGGAAGGGAGACGAGGAGCAAAACACCTGGTCTACGGTGTGTAAGTTTTTTTTTTTTGTCTCGGTCCCGAAAAGTACTCCGTACTTGCAAGGAAATAACAAAGGCCCTGCTCCCAATTTTCGCCCATCCGCCCGCCCCAACGGTATCGGCATGTATCAAAAAGAATGCCCAAAAGAACGGCCGATGCTACCGTAACAAAAACGTTACATGCAATGCATCCGCATCCGCACTAGCAAAATAGGGCAAGGCAAGGGTCCCCCCATCAATCGTGGCATATTAATCAACTTGAAAACCCACCACGAAAGAAAAAAAAAAAAAAGGGCCGTAGACACATTGCCTTGCCGGGGGCTGAATTTGGAATTTCTCAGCCCTTTTGATGTGTGTCTGTGTCTGTGTCTGTGTCTGTGTTGGTGAACATGGTGATGGTGATGGTGATGGTGGTGGTGACAAGACAGACACACAGACCTGAGCGCCGGGTCCGTTTCAGGTTGATGAACAGTCAGATGGCAAGCTGAACTCTAAACAACAAATTCCATCCTTTTTTCTCTTTGCTTTTCCCTGTCAATGGCTGCGGGTTTCTTTTCTTTTCTTTTCTTTTCTTTTCCGTTGGTCAGGTTGAGACACTGAATCCCCCTCCTGTCTTGGGAAAGAGATTGAGCAACAAAAGGCCAAAAGACAGACATTGACTGATTAGTTGGCCTGGCCTTGTCTCAAAACCGAACTATCCGTCGAACCACCAACACGGCCCAAAATTCCCAAGACGCACGGCTAAGCCCACAGGCTAATGGCCCGAAGCCCGGTTTCCATCGAGTTTCCAAATGCTCCTAGTATATGCAGCATCGGCTTCTCTCCCCCCCGGTCCCCATCAATTTGCTCGCCCTCGCTGCCAAAAACAAACAACGCGACAACCCCATATCTTCAACACAGCTCTTCGATATAGAGTGCCAGATAGAGAGAGACATATCACACCCGTAGGAAAGCAAAACGACGACCTCTCCCGCCCAGTTTATAGCAACGTATGGAAATACGAATCGCAAAAAGATCCCCCTTTGCCCGCAGCCTTGTTGTGCCTGGGGTGCCGATTTGGGTAACCTAACCCCGTTTTGGGGACGGGGGGAGGGGAGAAAGAAGAACGATGATCAGGATGCTGTTTTTCCCATCCCACTTTTCCCACTTTTCGTATGGAAAGCGATCGTGCATTTCCAAGGAAGCGAATGACAGGCTGCCATGTACATGTAGCATGTAGTATTACTTCCGCATGATGTAGTATGTAGTAGCAGTGACAGTAAAAAGTTGACGGTGCTTCTCGCTGACCCCGGCACACTCGCCCGTCAAAGACCCAGGAACGGGCGACGGATTGAGCCTATCGAGGGTGTTACTGATGGGTGTGATCCAGGCGACATGTCACCTTTGCTTTGTCATTGATCGAGAATCGTGCTTCTAGCAGCAGTTACATGGTATGCCTCCTTTTTTTTTCTGCCTTTTGCCTGTTCCTCGCAAGAAAAGCACCGAAAAAAGGGGGTGTATATGGGCCTTGACGATGTGTACATGCATGCGCGCCATGTGTACTAACGTGTCGCCATTGAGCTTCCCGGCTAAGTTTGGTTACGAGTCTTGCTCAAACGTGTCGAGATCGGTACGTCTGTAGAGCTAATCTGTAAGCCACGCAAGCGTATTAGGTGATGTGATTGCGGTGTTGCCAAGTCTTTGGCCCTCTTGCACGAAACAGATAGACAAGAGTAAAAAGCGAGTGACGAATGCGAATGTAAACGCTCCCAGCAGTCTACAAAATACTCGGAGCAATATTTCGATTGCCCATGTTGCCAGGATGAATGGCCAAGCAAGAGAGATGCCCAATCCTTGGCACCTCGTGATAAATCCGGAGCCGGCTCCGTATGTACTTGGCCACACCAGGCACACGTTGTCCAGGCAGGCGTCCCTCGTACTGTACAGGCACGATACTTGTAGTACTCCGTACGCCTTCGCCAACGACGTAGACAAGGCAGGACAGGCTTTGATGCGGCCGCAGGGTTGGGACTAGAATAGCACTCATCAGACGACTTATACTTGTACAGACAGAGTACAACACCGGTTTCCCATGTCCCAACGGCCGCAGCTTTTGACACTTCAAGCATCATGGCATGGATGCCACAGAGCAGGCGCCAAAGATCCGGCAACGGGCGAGTTCCGCAATCCCTGCCCCAGTAACATGGTTTTCAAAAGGCAGAGCTTCCCAAGAAGCCTTCTGGCGGGGTGAGGGAGATTCAGATGCTGCCAGGCTGCTTGATTTCCTTTTTTTTTTTTTAGGGTGGCAAAAAAATTGCGGCTGAGTGGCAGCAATTTGGGGAAAGGGGACCGCTTTCCATGACTAGTGACCCATGGCTATTGATTCTGAGAGGGCCAATCGACTTGTGAGATTGGTGAGAATTGAGAAACGAGGTCGGCGATGGGCATGTGGCTCCTCCGTATGGGGAAGGGAAGGGCTGGGCGACCCCATGCCTCCTCCGTTTGAGTAAACCACGCCCTTCCACACTCCCCCCCAGAGGCTTTTCGTCGGGCTCTCCTTTGACAGAGGGTTAATGATCCTTGTGTCTCAATGCTCCTGCAGCACCCAGCGGCATTCTGAGTCAACAAACGGTCATCAAATGCCTGGGTATAGCGTCTCGGCAATGGAACTATCTGTAGATCGTGTTAGCCGCGAATCACAGAGACCACGACTTTTTAGCGCCTCACCCATCCCATCCAGCTTTCACCGGTTTCAACTTCTCGGCCGTCTGACGCATGCAAGGAACTCCCGGGGTGAGGGGTGTGGCGTCTAATAATAAGAATTTCGAGCAAACCCGTTAGTCTGTCGCGGGTCTCCGGAACGCCCAGTGGACATGTCCCGACTGTGGTTTTTTTTTTTTTTGGCTCATTGCGACGGTCTCACTCGACTTTGCAGTTCAATAATAGCCCGTGTCTGGGGAGGTTGCCCACATACATGGACTTTTGTAAACTGCTGCGTCGGGGGTCTGAGTTCGTATTTATACCAGCATTTTGAGATTCTACTGGCGGCCATTGAAGACAGGCAACTCATGCAGAAGCGAGGAGAGAAAAGCGTCAAGTCATCTACTCGTATGTGTGGAAGTAATTGTAGACGCCGGCCCCCAAAAGTTGGTTGACACCTTAATCGCCCTTTTTGCCGTAGTGCCATTTCATGTCTCAGCCAGCGATGGGGGTCTGATGTCAGCTGTCTTTCCTCTGTCACCAAATTTTGATGCCTAGTGAGTGATTTAATCCAATAGCATCTTAGATTCTTGGGGGGAATAAATATGAGAGTCGCCTGTCCAGGTTTCACACCGCACCTCAATAGCAGCTGGAAAAAAGGAAAAAAAGAAAAGAAAAGAAAAGAAAAGAAAAAACCTTCCAGGGTGCTTTCACACAGCCCGCCAATACTAAACTGCACTAGCAGCAACCCATGGCACACGCGAGATGACTCTATGCAGCATGAAAAGGTAAAAAAAAAAAAAAAAAAAAAAAAAAAAGAGAGAGAGACAGGAAACAACCCGGGAAAAAAAAAGACCTCGTCCCAATATGTGATATCCGTAACAGTTTAGCCCGTCCATCCAAGCCCATAATGAACCAACCTCCATGGTGTCCCAGCCCCAGACATTGACGCCCTTCTCCACTCGAAGAAGAGAAGACAAAAAAATGCCCGAACAAATAAGAAAGACAAACAATACCGCCCATAGCAAACTAAAGCAGCCCTCCCCCCTCTTTTGATGACCCGCCCATGATGAAATTCAAGCTAGGAGAGGAACAGAGAACAGAGAAAGGGGGTGGCGGCAGGAGGGCTTTACTTAGCGTTGCAAAGCCAGTGAAACCCATGTGCGTTGTCGCTGAGTTATGTCCCCGTCCTCGCAGCTGGTCCATAGCCGTCATCCTTGCAAAGATGGCGGAAGAAACGTCACGAAGTGATCATGTCAAGTGCGTATCGGGGGTCTGGTCGGCAAAGAACATGCTCAATCTCTGTAGGGTCAAAGACGCCCTCGAAGATGTCCATGTCGGTAGGGCCGTTACCACCAGGGCCAAGGGGCATCTTTGGCTTCGACACGCCGCTGCTCTTTTGGTCCTTCTTCCGCATCTCTTCGTGGATCAGGCGAGTCGTGCTCTGTGCGGGATCCTCAAAGACGAAAATGACATATGAGAACTGACCGCGGAGGTCGGGATCAAAGAGGAAGATGTCCCGCCAAATCTCAGCGAGTTCCTTGGGTGGGTTGCGGTAGCCATTGCCGAGGCCAAAGTCGCCAATCACTACCCGATCGTAGTTGTTGTATAGACAAATCCGAAGGGCGCCACGGATTTTTTCTCGAATCATGTCCTTCTCTGCCGAAAAAGAATATTTGGTCCCGTTCTCTGTGAGCTTGGGCCATCTTGTTGGGGCGACGGAGATGACTGGCAGATCAAACCAGCGATCGAGCTGTTCGTACCGCTCGTGAGGTCCACGGCAAACAACCACCGAGTCAGAGAGAATGCCCCCAGGAGTGGGAATCGGATAGTGGGACACCTCTCCCACCGTCGGCCATGGGGTGCTCAACGTAGCTGAGAGGTTGCTTCGTCGACAAAGCCTCTCCTCGTAGCCGGAGCAGCCAGTCTCCCAGTCTCCCCCAGGACGACGCTCATTGGCGGCGCAGATGAAGGGAATCCGAATTCTCGGACCCCCTGCCGCCTCACTAGACTCACTATCCATGGCGGCATAGTAGATGGCTCTCATGACAGGATCGCCATATTCTACTCGAAACACCGGAGGACGAGTAGTCGCCTTCCGGCGGGGGATATCAAGCTGCACCGTAGGTTGCCGGTAGAGGATAGAATATGGAGGAAACACCTCGGAGTATTTGGCCTTGACAAGAGGTATGAAGTTCCTCTTGGTGTCGGCTGCCACGTCCGACGGCCTTACTTTGCTAGATCTAGAAGTCGGAGCCATGTCGAAGACTCTTTGTTGAATAGACAAGAGAAGCTGGAGGAACAGAATGTGGTGAAGGAGACGTCGACAAATTATAAAGAAGAAATGCGTGAGTTAAATAAGAAGAGCTGGGGGGGGGACACTTGTTGTTTTGAATCCCGAGAAAGTAAGCCAGTCAGCAGGGCGGGTGAAGTGCAGTTATATCATTGTCTCGGCCTGATATAATATGCTTTTCTTTTTTTGCTCCCCTTGTTTCTTCCTCTTCAAGCCAAGTCACCAATCAGGCGGGCAGTCATTCAGAAGCGAAGGCTCTTCGAGAGGGTGAAGCGAGATGTAGGGATTGCAGTGAGTTGTACGACCCAATATGTCCAGAATCTGAACCACATGTTTAGAACAAAAGCCAACGGCAGGCGAGCAAGCAGGGTCAGCAGGAACAATCAAGAGGCTAGTGATCTTTAAGTTGCAAAGAGAGCGTCAAGTATCGCTTGACAGACTACCAGGACCTCAAAGGGGGGCTAGATGATGTCTTGCCGGCAAGACAGGAATTCATACCGGGACCCACGAGGGCGCCGGCAGCCAAGTTGGCGGGACATGCTTGTACATGGAGGGGTGGTATAGGCCAGGACTGGCCAAGAAGCCTTGATTCGCGTACTGCGAGATCTCAGAGGCAGGTCGAGAGCCCAGGTCGAGGGCCGGGAAGACATAGTACGAGGTACCCCCCCCCCCCGTGGGTCTCTCAGACAAAGATGTACAGCGTTCATGGTTCATTACGGCGTTTCTGGCTTCACACTGGGTAGTTAGGTAGGGGAGGCCCTGGTGGGCGGAGCTGAAGCCGGCCTGCCCATTGGATTCGACACGGCAAGAGCACATGCAAGCAGAGCACAGCGGGCGGAAGCAATGACGAGAGGCACTTGGTAACTGTTGCTTTTGGCATAGGCCGGAGTATTGTTGCGGACGCATGCGCATAAGATCTGTGATACCTCATCTCGCCCTGTTGTTGAACCTTGCAAGGGTCTAAACTAGTCTGTGTCGGCGCAGGACATGGGCCGGGGGGGCTTCAAGGGCCTTTGCTTTGGGGGTCTGCGTGTACTCCGTAACGAGTCCTCGTACATCCAGGTAGGTGGCAGATCTCGTTGGAGGCGGTACGAGTGGCACTCCCACGAGAGGTACACGCCTATATGGAGTACGGCGCACAGGCAGGTCTTTTTGTTCCTCGGTGCCGGGATTGCCCTGGCGGACTCGAGGGTGGAGGCGGAAAGCGGCTGCGACTTGGCAGGCCGTCCATCGAGCCATGGTGATGGTGGTCGCAGCGATTGCCCAATCCCATGGCACTCGCCAAGGATGGACATGATGGTTGACGACGGTGGAAGGACTCGAGCTGAGACATCAAAGCCAAGCTGGTTGGACAGCCGTTAGCCGGGACGCCACCTGCAGCGTAGGTACTCGTACAGTCCCAAGAGCAAGAGCAAGAGCAAGAGCAAGAGGCAAGAGGCAATCTCGCGACTTGGCTTCCAGCAGACCTGGCGAAGGAGAGAGAACAAGGCCAAAAGGACCGCAGTCGCCAGACAAGTGGAGGGTGCGAGTGGAACATGGCGCTTCTGGCGCCCATTCAGACAAGGTGCCCATCACTTGATGACAGGTTAAGACAAAAAAGAAAAGGGAGATCAGGTGGGCGCGGCCCGCCAAGCCTGGAGGCGGCCCGAAGGCCTCTGAGAGGCTCCAAGCGGAAGCTTTGCATGACGATGCTGGATGTGAAGAGGGGAGAAGATGCGAGAGCAGAAGTTGAGGATGGAAGAGTCCAAGCAGATGTAGACGTACCGGTACCTGCCTGGCACTAGAGACACGAGTCCCACACCGGCTGAGGTACTGCATGCTCCTGTTCTGGTAGCAGAGAGACCTGCCAGCGAATGGTGCTAAGGTACCGCGGGTGCTAGCCACCAGATAAGGCAGTACCATGCACGATACCTGCAGCTCCTAGTGGCCGCAAGGAGGGCAATAGACGTCCATGCCAGGCTCTAACAGACGCTCGTCGGCCCCTTTCTCTAGCGCGATGCCACTACTGTATTAGTATATAACCATTGAGGTCTGGTGTTGCGAGTGGCAGTATCAGCTGGGCTGCTAGCCGTGGCGGATACTACCTAGTAGGTTGATATAAAATTGATCCATTCAGCCTAAGTGCTTTGCCTTGCGGGAGAGAACCAACACGACAGTTACCAGGTAACCTGGTACCTGACCTGGCATATGCTCTGCAGCAATAAGTCGTTTGTAGGTACCGAACTGTCGGACGACAAGTACCAGCTCCGGGCTCGCTGGTACCAGATCATGTACCGGTACCTGATCCTGCATCTGTGCTACAGCCCTCCACGAGTTCGCGAGCGCCAGGTGCCACAAGAGCCCGCCTGCATTGCGCCTCACCGCCTTGGCCCGCACACCAACGACCAACGGCACAACTGTTTTTCCTTTTTCTGCCCAACCCCTGCTCGCAGCTTTCAGCCGGCAAAAAGAAAAGCAACGAGACCTCCAAATCCTGCTCAGCGAGACAGCAAATGACAACCACCGGCATCGAGATTGGCCCAAGACAGTCTGTACGGCCATTGCGTTGCTTTGCCTCTCCCTACCTAGCCCGGGGCTACACGTCATGAGACGCACCCAAGCTCTGCCGCCTTGCTGAAGCCGCTGAGCTATCATATCAGAAGAATTCATCTCATATCATGTCTCATCCTCTCAGCCTGTTTGCCAGACGATATCGGCCCTGCCGTCTCCTCTACCGGCGAAGCTATTCGGTGCGCATCCCTGGCGACGACGGGCAGGGTCTTCGGGATATCAAGACGGTGGCAGACCTGAAAGAATGGCAGCCTGGACGCCTTGTCTCGGATGTCCAGCTTTGCGGCTGGGTTAGATCAGTTCGCAAAAGCTCTAGCGTGCGCTTCGTTGACATCACAGACGGCTCGTCAATGAGGCCTGTGCAGGCCGTCGTGGACAAGAGCCTGGCCGCAGAGTACGTCAGCCCTCGTCTTGGCATCACGGCGAGCAGTAGCTGACAGCACGTCGTAGTATTCGCCCTGGTGCAGCCGTCCGCCTCACAGGCGTGTGGCACAGTAGCTCCTCATCCTCTAAACCACCACCCAGCGTAGAATCTCAAGGAGGCAAGCTTGCCCGTAGCTCCGTTGCAGGCCAGTCAAGTCCGAGTGATGTGCATGAGCATGAGCAAGAGGCTGCTCGCTCTGCTGGAGTAGACCAAGGCCCGGCACCGACTACAGCTGAGCTACGGGTCAGCGAGGTGGAAATTCTCGGCTCGTCCGACCCCCAAGTAAGGAAAGCTATGCTGTTCTGCAAACAAGCTGCTCTTTGCTCCCCTTGGCTCGTGGAATCGGTCTGACGTTTCTCAAGACATATCCCATCCAGAACAAATATCAAACGCCAGAGAGCCTGCGCGCAATCTCGCATCTCCGTCCGCGAACCCCCCTCAACTCAACACTCCTTCGACTGAGGTCGGATGCCATGGCCCTCCTGAGCCAATTCTTTTTCCAAGAAAAATTCCAGCAAACACACCCCCCAATCATCACCTCATCAGATTGCGAGGGTGCCGGCGAAGCATTTACCGTCAAGAGCGGCGGCACGACCGAGTTCTTCAGAGACCCCAAGTACCTCACTGTCTCATCACAGCTGCATTTGGAGGCTCTAGCTCAAGCGCTGGGAAATGTTTGGACTCTGTCGCCGACGTTCCGGGCCGAGCAGAGTGACACCTCTCGCCATCTGAGCGAGTTTTATATGCTTGAAGCTGAAATGAGCTTCGTTCAAGACATGGATGAGGTCATGGACCTCGCCCAAAGAATGTTGGCGTCGCTTTCCGGCGGGCTCAAGCGGCTCAGTGCCGCCCAAGAACTCGAAAAGCACCGGCTCGACTCCAGAGACCCGGCAGAGCGCTTGGCATTCGAAGACCTTGTAGATCCCAAGGAGCTGCAGCAGCGATGGAGGGGTCTGATGTCGCCCAAGAGATGGCCACGAGTGACGTACACAGAGGCCATTGAAATCCTCCAGCCTGTAGCCCACATGTTTGAACACAAGCCCGTATGGGGATCGGGACTCCAGTCGGAACATGAAAAGTATCTTGCTGAAAAAATCGGATACGACGAAGCGAGCGACGCGTTTCTGCCCATTTTCGTCACCCAATACCCGCGAGAGATCAAGGCCTTCTACATGCTTCAGTCCGAGTCCCCGCCGCCTCAGGGGCCGACTGTCGACTGCTTCGACCTCCTGGTCCCCAGTCTCGGAGAGCTTGCGGGAGGATCCATGAGGGAATACCGGCTTGCCCAACTCGAGGACAACATGCGCCTTCATGGGTTAGAGGTCCCGGCACAGCGGAAAGCCAGATCCAGCGACATGGGGTGGTACCTAGATCTGAGACGCTGGGGCTGTCCTCCCCATGGAGGGTTCGGCCTTGGTTTCGATCGCCTGCTGAGTTATCTCGCTGGTGTACCCAATGTGCGTGACGTGGTGCCATTTCCGCGCCATTTCGAGCGCTGCGATTGCTAAATCCGGCTATCATTTCGACCTGGCGGCACATCAGCCTTCGTCACTCAGACAGGAGATTGCCCCGACGTCTCGGGAAGATGGCAAGCAACCAGCCTGTTGTGTTCGTCAACGCCTGCCTACCTCGGACTGTTTCATTTCAGGCAAGCTTGCTCGCACGACAGCAGCAAACGGCGATCCGCGTCAGGGGACCGATTGCATGACGCAACGCCACGCCGTGATTAGGTTACACTGCGTATCCCAATCTTGAGGTTAAAGACGAGGAGGCTTACGGGAAGCCGCATGTGCCATTGTTCTAGCCTCCTTTTAACGATTCTATATATACCATATACCACTCCTTCCATATATATACATATGCGTGCTCGCACACACACATATATGTACCTTACACGCGAGACGGGGATGCCGACACCGCCTATTTGAGAGCCGATGCGCCAACAGCGATTGGGTCCATTCCAGCGAGTTGGTTTTCAGTCACGAATGGGGAA